ACATAACTACGGAAGGGCACCCGTCGGCGAGGGTACCGGTGCTGGGACGCCGTGGACCTTGAGCAGTTATGGACCACGAAACGTGTAAGCCCACGTAAACTTTTGGGAGCACAGATTACCAACCAGCCACGAAAGTGACGCCAACTACGGACGGCCATGGAGCCAAAAGAGATATCACAGAGTCACTTAGTAGCGTGGGCTACGGGTGTGTATTCCGTACGCTTCCGTTGCTCCGTACTACAGGTCGGACTTAATGTTCTTCCCTGTTATTAGTGGCATCGTGGCTCTCTAATACTTCGACTAAAAAGTCAGCGCAAACCTCAGAGTAAAATATCTGCATGAAGGAGCACGAGACCACGAAATACCTAAAGTTGCGAACACCTTAGCTTCAACAAACCATGTTATCCCGCCGCGTAGCGGCGGCGAACGGCTAGTTACCTAGTATTTAAGGCTAGCACGGTGTCCGTCCGATCGTCACACGAAACGCTCAGATTTTTAAGCATTCTCATTGGCTGCCGAGCGGAGCAAAGATTGCTCCCATTAACTAAGAGTGTACCTGCTGCCGAGCACAGCGAGGCGGCCCAAGACGGCACTTGGTGCAACCTTGTGGGTCCAAAGGCCCGCTCATCCATAGCTTACCAACTAACCATGCGAGAAGTGCAGCGAGCCCGTGGCGAGCGGAATGGAGGCGCAGCACAGTAAGTAGCATGCATGCACCCCCGCCGCGAAGCGGTGGCGCTCGGCTGGTTTAAAGTTATACGAGTACCGCGTTCTGGTTAAAACATTTTTTGGCTTCGTGCCTTTAGTACCTTAGTTCCTTTATGTTGGATCTTCCAACATAAGAAGTGTATACCCTAATTCACTTCTGTTGCACCTTTTATTTTATGCTGGAGGTCCAACATAAGCAAAATTTATACCTGAATTTTGTATGGGGCAACGGTCCATATCCCCCTTTCCCCGCTATAGTGAAATGAAGTCATTGATATGAGTGTAAAAAGGGCACATGCACAGGCTTAGGTTTAGCTTGGTTGAATGAGTTAGAAAAGGGAGGTACACACCCACTATCGAGCGAGTGGCCACCAGCCACCAACCTCCTCACTCTTCAAAACGACGGTCGAGAGCAACATGGTTGCGCCGACACCCAAGACACCGCGTTACCACCTCACCGAGCAAGAAAGGCGCCTCTGTCGCGAGGCTCTGCTAAGTGAGCGTCACGAGCGCCGCATTCGACGGGCAGAGCAGAAGAGCGGCAGCGATGGAGCAGGGCAGACGAAGGCAAAGAAGGCGACAAAGAAGAAGGCTGCCAAGCGCACAACGGCAGATATGGAGGTGGCGCAGTATATAGGTCTGTATATTCCTTCAGCAAGTGCTCAGGTTGCAGACACGGCGGGTGAAAAAGAGGGCTCGCGAAACCAGACGATTGCTGAAGCGAAGGAGACGATAGAGACAACTGCGATAGCGGGTGCGATGGAGGTGGAAGCAGACCACGAGACGGAGGTGACAGAAGTCGTCGCGGACATGGTTTTGAGCGTTGAGACGGCGCTGCCTGCCCAACAGTCTGGTATCACGTTATCTACTACTGATTCCAGTGCTGAAAAACGAAAGCGTAGTACGCAAGTGCCGACAAGAGAGCATCGCCGCGCTCTCCTACAAGAAGACAGCGATGGCGACGATGACACGGTGCGTTTTGTTCGTTTATCCAACTTAGAAGGATTGTGGCTGACAACACGTCTAACATAATATCCAACATACGTGATTTATGGTGAACAGAGAATGCAAGGTGACGAAGACGATAGTGTTTACGAAGCAGACGTTGTGCACAGAGTACCTGCGTGTGTCATTGACACAGACCCTAACTTTATGGACGAAGGAGCTGACGAATGCACCGGGCTCAACTCCGATGAGGACCCAGAGCTTCGTGAGGAACCTGAAGACGAAGAGAATGCTGATGACGATAGTTGGGACGGTGACTGGGACATTGGAGAGCTGACAGATGAAGATTCGGACCACGACATCGAGGAGCTTCCAAACACGGCGTGGTTGTCCGCAGCGAAAAACGCACCACTGATCACTGCAATGCGTACCGATGGCTGGGAGTATGGTACGTTATGTTGTCCGAATCCAACATAATCCTTTCATTTTGTTTCTGAGTTAACATAAAGGCTAACATAGTTTTTGTCCTTGTGTGTTGTATCTAGACGCGACTAAATTCGGACCCGACCCAACGTATGCTGGGTTGTATGATGGGCCATACGGACCAAGTGCCAGCGTGCTACGCGTTGGGGACGATCCGCTGGCATTGCTCTTCTTTTCGCAGACAGCAACAGCGTAGTGGTGGCGAAGCAGAAGATCTTGCTGAAATCAAACGGCGGTTGTCAGCAGTTGATGAAATACAAACTTACGAAGTCCTTCAAGCTATGGCGTTGCTGATTGCACGTATGTTGGTCCTTATCCGGAAAGGCATTGCAGCGCATTGGTCAACGAGGAAAGTTGGTGTTCTGCCGTCAAACCGCTTCAGTCTCGTGATGGGAAAGAATCGTTTTTTTCATATCGTGGGATATCTACACTTTTCGAGCAACAAGTCGCCACAAGCCCGTACGGACCGAGCGTGGAAGATTCGACCGGTGCTCGACGTGCTACAGCGAACATTCGCTCGTGGATACAGAGCTCCCCCAGTCATCAGCTTCGATGAAGCAACACTGCCTTCGCGCTCGCGATACAATCCCATGAGGATCTTCAACAAGGACAAGCCCCACAAGTGGGGGACGATGGTGTTTGTTGCTGCGTGTGCCAAGACCGCGTACTGCATGAGGTAACTGTGAGGCAAGCTTCGGCTTGCCTTTTGTTTTGGCCCAAGTACTTATGTTGACTTGTCCAACATAAGAATCCTGCGCCATCTGTTGATATAACATAATATTAACATACTCGTCTCTGTTGATGTGTTTGCCTGCTAGAATTGAGATTTATTGCGGGGCGAAGCCAAATCTACGTACTCCTGTTCCAAAGGATAACAACTCTGGAGAAGCGGCTGTACTTCGAAACATGAAAGCTCTCTTATCTCCGTCACCGACGTCTCCATGAAGGTTAGTCGTCACCGACCGTTTCTACACGTCGGTCAAGGAGCTGCTTCATTATCGGATGTATCTAACGGGGACGATACAGACGGATAGATCAGGTTACGATGCTGGAGTGATCACTACGGAAAAAAAAGGTGAACAGGCGCGAGGTACTGGTGCCTCCGCAAGGTACCATCAAGCTGGCTCAAAACAAGATGTTTCCGCAACTAACTGCTGCCATGTGGATGGACCGTAACCCGGTGCACCTGCTCTCAAGTGGGGGCAGCCGCCAAACCGGCACCGTGAGTACGTACTACATGCATTATGTTCCTATTTGGTTGTTAGCACTAATTGTATTTGTATTCTAGTGAGACGCATCCACGGTGAAATGACGCCGGTGCCGGCTCCAGAGCTTGTTCGCGACTACCACCGCTGGATGGGTGGAGTCAACGTCCATGATCAACTCCGGTTGCAATGTTACAGCGTGCAACTTTGCTACAAAACACGCAAGTACTACAAGACTCTGTTTCTGGGGCTTCTGGATATGGCGCTCGTGAACGCGTTTATCGTTCATCGACACTATCGAAAGGTAAACAACAGGCGCCCGCCAAAACACTTCTCGTTTTTTGAGGAATTGATGGAGCTGCTACTGGCAGTAGATTCAATCGAAGCGTTTAACGAGATTGACGTACGTCAAATGTTAACCAGTCGACATAACCTCATGCTTCAGCAGTCTTCCAACATAACAACTAATTTATGGTGGGTGGGAACAGCAAGCGACATCTGCGCAAGATAGAACTGCCCTCTCGCCGGCAAGAGCAGATTAACACAGCTACAAGGAAGCGCATCGTCAGCTATCGACGGACATTGTTTAGAAGAAAACCCAGATACTGTCGATTGCGAGCAGGGTGTGAAGCGACGCCACCGATCATGCAAAGTCTGTGCCATCTACAAGGTCAAGCCTCGCAAGTGTACGAAATACTTCTGCCCGAAGTGCTCGAACGGGAACAAACGGTGCGTAGCTCGCTTGGTACCCTTACCGTAATCTTTGGCTAACTCGTTTTGATTTAGTAAATACCTATGCAACGTTCCGCGTGAAGGCAGGGTCAGTACGTGCTTCAGCATTTGGCATGCTGATTGAAACAACGGCAACGACATTCCGCGCGACCTACTGCAAGATCACAGGACACGTGAACGACCGCCAGCGTCGCGGCCAGGCAAGAAGCGGAGACGCAGACAGCAGGTAGGCGAGAGCGGAGCAAGTGCTGGTGCTGTTGCTGGGGAGTCGAGCGAAGATGATGATGAAGCGGTGGAGGAGGAGGCGTAGTGGTTGCGCCGTCTACGTGAGGTCGTACATGTCTATGCAAGGAGCAATCAATTGATACGGCACTTGATCTTTCTTGTTATTGGCTATAATAAATGAACTCACCGCTGCTGGACGTATGCAACAACACAAAGATAGGCTAATCAATAAACAGTACGTATCTTATGTTTATTTATACAGCATAGTTGCATATGATCGTCTCAATGTACTACATAAACCCTCCTTTATGTTGGAGAATCCGTACTATACACACTGGCATGTCGTTGTTACCACCCCGAACCCGCGCCAAGATATCCTGACTTAATTGAAAACCCATACAAATTCCTATATATCTGTATATGGGACGAGGTCAAAATATACCCTCATATTTGAGGCCGGGAACTAAGGGGTTAAGCCCCAACATATAAAGTTTTAGGAGTTCTCGAATGGTGGCTCTTTCCTTGACCTTTCTCTCATTCTTAATGCTTGTAGGTCCCACACTATTCTATGAAGTGATATTCTTTTATTGTTGAGAAATGATTGAGCTGTATTCGGTAAGAATATAATATTATTTGGAGGGGGGACTGAATCGGCTAATCTCATTTATGATACGGAGCAACTATTTCATAATCTATTCTTAAATGGGGTCTCTGCTCTTCAATGCGGCGCTGTTAGGTGGTGGCTTCGTGCTGGGCCGTGTGCCATTGCTACCGCTAGCGTCGCAGGTTCTGGATGAGCTCAGTGCGCTATCCACTGCTCGCAAAGTACGTATGCAAAATCTGGTACTGGCCATCGAAATATTGAACGCTTTCATGTGTTCAGGCGGTCATGGCGACTCTGGTTGCGCTGTTAGTAGCGCTCTACGTGCTCGGAATTCTACTGCCACTGCACTGGGTGGCATCGCAAGAAGCACAAAAGGCAGCGAGGCTGAGGCAGGTCGAACCTACGTCGTTCCGCCGGGAATTGCGACGTCGCGGCAGCTACAGCATGAGCTACGTGACTGACATCAAGGCCCACGTATTCTCTCGTTGTTAAAAGAGGAATAAAAGCAGACTAGGACTCATGATGAGAAACCAAGTGACGAAGTTTCTTGAAAAACTATAGATCTGCTTGTGGAGAGGGCAATGGACTAGAGGGCAATTTTTTCCTGGAGAAGAGCTTTGCCAACGAGCGCTTGGCCTTGGCTTGCTTGGGATGAGCAGAACCCGCTGATGTTGGAGTAGACGGAGCTGAAGTATCAGCATCGTAATGGTCACTGGACGCAGACCCGCTTCGCGCGTTGAGTAGCTCGGTCGGTCGGAACGATGTCCCGGAGGATGTCCTAGAAGTATCCTCTGAGTCTTTAATTTTGCCCTCAGAAGAAGCAACGGAGGCTTCTGATTGAAGTGCTAGAGGCGCAACTGCGCCAGTGTGTGAAGGTCCACTGGCCGTCAGCGACGACACCGTCGTGGAAAGCGACTTTAAAGGTGCCAGCGCATCAAATGCCGCCCAACGAGACGTATCAAACTGGTCTCGTAAAAAGTTGCCAATGTTGGTGAAGTTACGACCGACTTGGGATAGCACGTCGAGTAAAATATCACGCCGAATCCGCAGTAAAAGATCCAAGGGAGAGCACGTCTTGTCGCAATACACAAGAGCTCGAGTCTTGACTTCGAAGCCTCGCATATCTTCCAAAGCTTGAGGCTGCGACGCGTGTGGTAAGTGCAGATGAGGTGTGCTGCTATTACCCAAGTTGCTCTTCTTGTGTCTGTACGTCAACACCACCTCAACTGCTCCCAGGCGAATACGTTTGAAGAGAATGCCGTTCTTGGCTCGGTCTTTCACTTCTCGCTCCGCAGACTCAGATTGATGCTGTTCAGCTTCATCGGTTGAGTTAAAGAAGGGCAATTCGTTGCCCTCAGACAAGTTCGCCAGCTTAGCAATCCACTGCGTTGGGTCCTCTGGTACTTGGTGCAGTGCACCGCGCTTGGCCTTACGGCCAGAAGACAGCAGCTCTTCATCACGATGGGTACGTCCAAGACTGAGAGGGTGGGCGGCCGCTTTACCAGCGACTTTGACAGCCTTGATGATAGCCGAACCAACACGTCCATCGCTGGAAGAACTACTCGTTCGAACCTGCAAGAATTGAGATCGAACTTCCTCTCGTTGGACATCTTTTGTGCTATTCGAGGCGTCAGGAGGTGAGAAGAAGGTCACTAACTGCATGATCACTTCTTGAGTGATGCAAACTTGAATCGGGTGTACGTTGATCTCGAAATGCTGGACGACAGTGATCCCTCCCACCGGTTTTGCGATCTCGGCATCAACACGAAAGAACATGTCGTCTCCTTCCCACGCTTGCGAGTAAACTGGCAGCAGCATATCTGGATAAGGAGTTGCCGGACTGAGGTTCTTGACGGATAAATCTTGCAAAGTCAGCGCGAATTTGCCCGAATGGTCCTCAAGCAACAGCATCTTGAAGCTCAACGACCCTACTTGAGCCCGAATGATGTCGACATTCTCACCGCTTAGCGTCAATGAAGCGCGATCGAGTGTAAACTCGATGTCTAAGTTGAGTAGTGGGCCTGGTTTAAGCTGTTTTTGGAGCTCGATGGCCATCAAGTGCGTCAATTCGGTAAGTATCTCGAATTGTTGAGTCATCTGTTGCAATTCATCCGTAAATTGCTCGTCTTCGTAGTATTTTGTCGCGGTAGAGCCCATCAAACTAAAGTTTGTTGCCACGGAAGATACAGAAGCCGACGACATGGAACGTCGTTGAAATAATGGCAATGTTTCAAGCTCAAATGGTAGACTTCGAGCACTCTCTGTCGCTGATACAGCAGCCATTGCTCGCTCGTTCATGCGGTAATCCCAGCCACACATTTGTCGCCATTCCAATGCTGCGATTTTCCACTTGAGTTGCTTTTTCAAAGCCAGAAGCTGATGCAGAGATCGCCCTCGATGCTGAGCCTCCCTCTGGTAGCTATGAAGAAGATGCGATCGATCGTGACTCTTCTTCTCGGCTAGCTTGGCATTCACGAGCTCAGTTGCAGTTGTTGTAAGCTTCTCAAGGATGCTCTTGGACGCTAGATTGACCTGCACTTCGATGGTTGGTATGTCCAACTTGACTTTGTTCTTGACGACGTTCTTTTCACGATCGACCCAAATCGTAACCTGGGCAGGAATTGGCGCGATCACTTGTCGTAATAGTCCATAAGAACTAGGACAATACGACGCATCTGCGAGTGCTTTAAGCCAAACAGCATGTGACTTTACGTCAACATCTAGCGGCGCTGTGAAAACCTGAAAGCCGTCGACATTCAAGTCGATACGTTCATGACCAGAATCCGACGAAACAGCGTGTTGTAGTGTACCAGAGTTTAAGGCCAACAGCACAGACCCTTTGTGGAGTTGGTCTTGAACACTGATCTGACAGTCTTCGAACTTGACCATGATGAATGCCTGGACCAGCTTCGCGTTTGTGGGTCGAGGTGGCGAGGTCTCTTCCTTACTTCGAATTCGCTCCAACTGGCTTACCACCAAACTAGATTTCTTCCGAACGGGACGCACAGAATCTGCATTGGAGTACGGTGTTGGTTCGAACGGGTGGTTGTGTGGACTTACGGGAGCATCAGCGCCGCCCTGGAGGCAAATGCCGCTGAATTTCGGATCTTGGGCCAGTGACGTGAACTTCTTCGGACTGTTATCTGATTCCTCGACGGTATTGTCAGGCTCTTCCGTTTCTTTTTCGTTCTTCTTAAGCAAAGCTGCGGTCTCTGTTGCATCAACAAAGAGCTCTGGTAAGCTTGTGGTTATTACTTGCACCCACGTGTCTGCGATGTCTACTAGAGATTCTAACGCCACCATTGTGATAGTCACCCGAACATCCTTCGATAGCAAGCCAAGTAAGAATCCAGCACGTCGAAATTCATCCAAAACTTGACTCTGACATTCCTCCACTTCGCTCTCAGCCACTGTAGCTTCAGTTATGTCCAATTCCTCTTCTTTGTCGCTGTCGGATTCGCGATAGCTAAATGGATTCTCGTGTGGAATGTCAAAGTACTCAAGGATGCTTTGCTTTGATCGTTCTTTCACCTCCACCGCAGTTGTTGCCTGGGAAAAACTAAAAGGTTGGGCATTGGTATTACGCTTCATTGGCGGTGGACTGTGCAGTTTCATCAGACTATTATCATGCGTTGGAGCCCGTTCCGGGCCGCCTCCAACGATCAATGATACGTGCTTTATGGACACGAGCGACTCGCCTCTGCTCCCTGACTCAGGTGTGCATACTCGCACTTGAATATCACGAGCATCCACATTCACATCGTGAACAATCCACATCCATTCTTCTATATTAAACGAAAGCCGCCGCGCTTCGGAGCTAGACTCAGCTTCGCTTGCATCAGAGTTGTTGATTTCCTTAGCTGCGAATACATTGTGCGATCTTTTCAATAAAGCACCAGAACAACTGATCTCATCGTCAAGAAAAGCTCGCACGCCAACAGAATTCTTTTCACTCGCATACAGAGCCACATCCAGTCCAATCAAGTCAAATTCCTCGATCGTCACACCTTCGAGAATACTCAAAATGTCTGTAGAAGGATAGACAAATCGAACCCCAGTGTTATCTCGACGTCGAGGCAGTGGATACTGCGGTATCTTCTGATACACGCGGCCAAATCCAATAAGCCACTCAACGCTTTTGCTGTACAGTACGACAGCCGTTCGAGCTGCCATGTCACGCTTAGACCAGCCGTCATTTACGTCGCCGTTCTCTGGATCTGGAGGACAAATTGTTCCCTTGATGAAAATGGACAACTTGGTGGCTTGATAGACTTGGAAGGGATTCGTGCTGTCGGTTTCAGAAGGGGGTATCTCAGTTGGGCTCGGTAGATTCAAGACAAATCGCTCGTCTGTGTTGTCAGCACTCACAAACTCAATAGGATAGAGGTAATGCATCATGGGGTCACTCTGACAGTCCCACTTCATCCAAACTTGAAGCTTCAGATGACTCAACTCTGCGATGTGAGAGAGTGATCCAGGCTCAATTCTCGCTGCCACTCGCGTAACTTCGATATCGATCAAGCCACTCGAATACGCAACACGGACCCGGTGCACGTTAACCTCCAAATAATCTGCTGAGTCGAAGGACGTTGCAGCGCAGAGGAGACGAACACCTGCATTCTTTACCGTGACACCAATTCTTCCGTGCAGGAGTCTGCGCACAATATCCACTAAAGGTGTTCGGAAACGTCGGTCGACTTCTGGTACCGCTAGTGGCAGAAACCCCAACGCTAGCTCAGATAATTCATCCAACGCGTACAGATAGCCAGGATTGAAATATAATACTGGGGAGATTACATCGATGGAGAGATTTACAAAGCATCGTATAGCTGCCATGAGATCCGTGATGGCACACACACTGTTAAACGCCGTCACAAACACTTCTCCTTCCACGCTCAAGCAATCGCAAGTCATTAGTGGCGTTGGGAAGCGCCTCATTCTTACCGCCAGTTCCGTGACAACCGTCTTCATCTTCAATCCAATGAATAATTGACAAGATGGAGTGAACGACGCTACATCTCGTCCTGCTGTCTTAAGCTCATTTTCGAGCACTTCCGTCGCCTCGTCTAGGCTTCTTATACTGCCCCATGAAGCAGCTATGTCCTCTTCAAACGAAACATCCACGTCCAAATGACCAACTCTTACATTGATCAGAGGTCCATTGTCACTATCAAGTGTTTCATGCTCCAACTTCTTCACTTTCTGGATGTACAATCGTGCATTCTTCTCGACCAAAAGCGCCTCCATCTCTTTGTAAGAGGCATCGCCAACTAGCTCTGCATTTGTCAGCTTGAGAGTTGAAACGTGCTCATCCAGTATATGCGATCGCAATTCTTGCTCAGCTAACTCACCGATCCACACAGGATACATTCGCTCCAGCCAGCTGTCTAATGGGTTACCCAGACACTCAAACCCAATGTCTTCCAAACGTAGCCATAGCTCTGGCTGGTGAGAAGCTACCGAAGTTCGCAAAAAGAACTGGTAGAACACTTCTTGTTGTGGTCTCCAATACGAAGACGCTGCTGAGCCAAGCTGTTCCTTGAAAGGGTCGAAATGGCTCTGAATAGCGTTGGTGTGTGCTTGGAGTGGGAAATCACGGCTTGTGCGAAGGTGAAGCTTGTTAATCTCAACTAATATGCCATCGTCTAAGGTCTCGTCAAGACCCGTGGTCGAGCGTTTGCAAGCGAGAAGTCGTTTGCGCAGCATGTCCTCGAATTCCCCAAACACGTAGTCTTTTTGACTCGCTATCGTGTGTCTGACACGAACACAACCCACTGCAGCCATCTCGAATGCGTTCACCTTGATCGAAATATCCTCAAACAGCCACACTTCGGGCAAATCGTCACCGGCGAATACGCCAACTGTAAGTTGTACGCCGACTTCATCACAAAGATTTGCGTTGACCGAGAGGTTTGTGGCATGTAGCCTATGCAACTTGTCACCAGATGCACTAATGAGATCAGCAAATAGCCTTTCGTAGCGCAAGCACTCGGCAATATCGTTAAGTGGCGGGTTTAATCCATGAACCCGATTGTAAATGCTGTCAGATGGGGTACAATAAACTGCATAGGCACTTCGAGCACGATAAATCATCTCCCAGGATGAATACGTGATTCGTCGAACTAGCTCCATGATTCGCAGTTGTGTCGAGATATCCCATTCCAATTGGACGCCATTCACGAAGAGATCGACTACCGTTTTTAAGCTCCCAGCAATCTGGTTCTCTTCGAGCGAGAAGCAGTCAGCGACAAAGTAAGTGGCGTCAAAGTCGGAAGGTGCTCCTGACTTGCCCATTGCTGCTTCGTTTCTGCGCACGGTGCGGCTTCGCAATGAGCGAGATGTGAACGATTTCCGGTGAAGTTGCGCTGGACGAGAAGGCTGCTGTTTTGGCTGAATATCATCAGACGAGCGTTGACCTGGAAACGCTCTCGCATCCATAATAGAAATCCTTAGCCTTCCTGTAGTTGCTTCGGAGCTCACTGTGAAAGTGTCGACTGTGACGCAGTCAACCCGACGTTGTCCACGGTATACATATGGGAAGATAGCACAGAGTCGCTTCGCAACACACCGGAAAGCAATCACTTCCCCAGGAGATATTCTGTCTTGTGTAACGTCGATCATCTGACGCATAGGTGGCACTCTTGAGCTTGAAGACGCCTTCCACCCGCAATTTACAGCTTTGTCCTTCGTCTCTGGTGCGGGATATCTTGACCCATGCAAGAACGACGCCATTGTGAATATCCCTAATTCTAACGCTCCCCCGATGGCGTGCAAGACTTCTGGAGCCCACTTTACCTCCACCCACTCCGCCTCCATTTCAACGTCAGCAGATACCTCGCTCTGCATCATTGTTTCAACGGGAAAAATGAAGACCCGCACAAAATCGAGTGATAAGAATGGACTTTTGACCAAATCGTTGCTCGAAAAGTAGAAAACTTTCAAGCGAGAGCATTGAATATCTGCTTTCGCTCGGACTCCTAAATGATCTTCGTTGACAAAGGGATGGGCGTACACACTGATCTCACCGAGGACTAAGCAGATACTGGGAACGCCTTTTGGCAACACGTCACATGTTCGGTCAAGAGAAAGGAGCAAGACTTCGGTCTTCGCCAGCTTAAAATGAGCGTCCAGGTCGATTTTACAATAATTCATCACTGACCATTCCTCGACTTCAGGTGCTTCGAGTAAATTCTGTATCGGCGGACTGCTGGCTTGTAGTTTAACGGTGTTGTCGTAAGTCATGCAGCTTGACGTTATCCAGGGCGCTAGACGTTTTGAAATGACCACATTAAGTCCACGACTTCCTCCACTAATCGTAGACCGGAATGACAGGCAAGCGCCGTCCTCATCTAGTTCGTCAGAGCAACATCCACTCCCAGCGTTAGCAGACAGTGTACCTTCCGCATTAAGCTTCAATCCATTGAGCTTCACCATCGGTGGTACGATATTGACGCTGTCTGCTTCACTTAGACAAAGTGTAAGCACTCCCAGTGCTAGCTCGGCTTTCCTGACAACCACTGGGTAGTCAGACTTCACTACCCCGAACTCTTGGTTATCGGTAGAATCACCAGACAAAACGACGCTGACACCATTCAATTCCAGTGCGCATAGCGATCCAGGGCTTCGTTTGTCAACGACATTCACTTCCAACTTGCGAAGTTCACATCGAAAGTCTTCCGGGATGAGCTCAGCAAGACGCAGCACCGTTAATACCTGACGCAAACAGAGACCTTCTGTAGTATTCGAATCAGCCGTCGTGTACGATACATCACTAGGTTCTCCATTGAACTTCTGCTGCTTTGGCCATAAAGCTGCTTGGATTGTTTGCTCGAGATGAAGATTGACTTGAATCGAGTCGATATTGACTGAATATGCAGATGGAATTGGAGCACGCAAGTCTTCATGGTCGTGACAGATCGGTACTCGTACGTTTACTTCAGTGCGGCCAAGCACCGCCGTCGCGTTTATCCCTTGAACGATGACTTGCATCGACTCCGTTCGAGATAACGTCAGTGTGCATGATAGCTCATTATTTTTGGTATCCAAAGCTGCATTTATAAACACGCTTCCGTGCTACAGCAGATAAAAACAACGTCAGTGCCTCGGATCTTGTCGAGTTGCGGGAGTGTTGTGCACTTTACCTTAATGCTAAGCATTGGCGTGACTTCGTCTTCGTCTTGCTGGAGAATCTCCACAAATAAAGAGTCCACACCCACCTCCACGGCGTGTAGACTACGGAAGAGAAACATTAGTCGCGGAAACCAAGCTCGAACTCCATTCCAGATCGGATGCTGAATGTCCTTGAGACCAATGGATGTGTCCAGTGTCTGCCAGAGCGACGGCGACGCGGAGCCTTCTTGTCGCTGCGTGGCCTTTGTAGGCTCAGCAGCAGATTTGACCACTAGCAAATGAGCAGAAGACACCGTCAATACGAGGAGCTTCTCTTTCGTGGGTGCGCACAGGAACTTCCACAGCTGCGTCCAGAGCGAGATCTTGATCGTCGCTGTCACCACCGAGATCTTCGTGTGCGGGTCGGCTGAAATGTTTTTCAGCAAGCCAGCTGACCAAATATTGATGACTCGAATTAGTGGCCTACGTAGTGATGCAGACTAAGATAAAGCCAAACCTTTCACGATCAGCTTGAAGACGGAGCACACAAGAAGTCGCCATAGCTGTCAATTACAAGGATCTCATAAGCACGCAGATGGGTCCAATTCACCAGCGACTATGCTACTTACCTCAAAGCCAGCCACAAGCAGCAAAATACCTCCTGCTAGTGTCAGCTGCAGCCCCATTTTGCACGGCGTCGTAACGACTTCAAGATAGCGACCGTTGCAGGACACTTTCACCAATTCTCAGATCGTGCGATTGGCGGAAATTGGTTACGGAGATAGTCACTTGTGATTGGCTCTCTTCGAGATGCTGATCTACCGGACCGGTAGTACCGGTACAGTTTTAATACCAATAGTAACGATGCCGCGGCCGATACTCAAGATGCGGTCTTCGTACGCAAGCCCCGTGCGATCCTCGGACAGTGCATCGAAAAGAGAGAAGAGGTCTATAACCATTAGGCGACTTAATGCTGCTAGTCGACGCGTGACGTTCTCGCCCTTCACCAAGTTACGTGGAGACTCGTCACAACTGCCAGATCGAGCTGGTACGAAGCAGCGGAGCAGCCAGACAAACACCGTGCATTGTAATTTCGACCGCTGACCGCTATCTGCTCGTGGTGTTTTGTGTCTGCAGAAGAGGAGGAGGCAAAGGGCTCGTTGAAGTCGGGATTCACGTTCTCCAGCGCTACGGAAGCCGAGAAAAAGTGAGTCTGGACGCGATCCAGGCCGTTAGTGAGTGTACTAACAGTAAATGCAATTGGATGTGTAGGAACAAGTCTAGGCGAAAGCAGGAGCTGGAGACCATGCAGACACTATATAGAGCAGCAAAGCGCAGGCCTCACAGCGTCAAGTCGCTGCTGCTGACAAATGTTCCTGGGCTCAAACGTCTTAACACGTGGATGAGTGACTGGGTGGACTATGCCAAGACAATGCGCGATGCATTGCCGTGGCATCAACGTGCAAGTCCCAAGCGTCGACCAAGAAGACCGCATCGAGATCCGTGGACGGCATTGAACGACGCAGACCATGAGTATGTCCAGCAACTTGCCCTTAGCTCGACGATGTCAAGCCCCACGTTGCTGCTGCCTGCATCTCCCCCATCTAGAGACGATAACCCTTTGGCTATTGTTCATCGATCGCCACAACCGGATCTCACTCCACCTAACCGAGGTAGTTTTACGAACTTGCTTCGCAAAGAAGGCGTCCCAGTCGAGGAAGATGAGCGTCGTGTGAGCAGAGCTATTGATGAAGATCTCCGTGGTGTGAGCCATCACATGAAGCGCCGTCGTTGCCAAAGGTGACCCAACTTGTCCCTGCGCATGCAAAAACTACGCAATCAACCCGAGAACAGTGAATAAATGCTCGCATCCCGATCGCTCCTCGCTTTCTTATTCGGTCTGCAGCTTCACTCTGGCCCATACAAAAGTCAATACAATAAGGTTTGCATCCCGTAATCAGTTTCTGGAGGTGGCATTCTATTTATTAGCGGTGCCAGGAGATAGATAGCAACAGGCACGCGGCCAGGTAACGAGCGTCGCGGAAGTACTCAACTCGTGGAGGCGCATTGTCCCACAGTATCACTACATTAAGGAAGCAATCGAGACTAGAGGCGTGTTAGCTGCATAGGCGACGAATTACGACTGCGAGGAGCTGCTCGCTATTGCTTGCTGCGCTCATGGGCAGCACGGTGTCGGCTCTGGTGTTCCAGCCACCGACGGCTACGTATGGATATACGCGTCGCTACTTCTTCCTCGTGACGGCAATGCACAACAGGATCCCAGCGTTCTTTATTCCATGCGAGTAGGTTGCATTCTATTGAACAGGTCAGTTGGTATTCAACTCGATGCTTTGCTGACATCGAAACTCCCTACAGTAAAGCCGAATACACCGTGCTCTTCTCTCACGGCAACGCGGAAGGTAGACCGCCACCGATGCCAATGTGCAGTTTGATTTGTCATTCTAATGCACGTATCCCGTTTTTTCGTGCAGATTTAGGCATGATCTACGATTGGTTTCGTGAAGTTAGCAGGAGACTTCAGGTGAGCACTAATATCTTGTAAGGCCGCACCATTGTTCCAACTCTCTGATACGCTTTCCCCAGGCCAATGTAATGTCGTATGACTACTCTGGCTACGGCATTAGCGAGGGTGAACCCAGTGAAGAAGCATGTTATGCCGACATTGAAACGGCGTTCGCGTATCTTGTCAATGTGAAGAAGATACCTCCTGGCAAAATTATTTTGTACGCACCTTGGCATCCTAACTGACCTGGTATAATCCGACTAACTCATGTGTTGTTTCTTCAGATATGGTAGGTCGCTTGGCTCTGGACCAACAACACACCTCGCAGTAAAACAGTCGGGCATCGAGCAGCCTGTAGCAGGCGTGATCCTTCAAAGCCCCGTGCTCTCAATGTTCCGAGTGGTCTTCAACTTCCGCTATACATTTCCAGGCGATTTATTCTGCAATATCGACATCATCGACCAAGTGCGATCGCCTGTTACTATTATCCACGGTACACGGGACGAAGTGGTCCCCTTCTGGCACGGGGAAGGACTTTTCGAGATGTGTCCTCAGGAATGGAGGTGCAAGCCGTTGTGGGTGACCGATGCTGGCCACAATAACATCGAAGCGTTTCTAAGGTGCGTATTAGTCGACGTCAGCTTTTGTTGCACCGTGACTAATCTGCTCTTCTGTGCAGCACATTTGGCGATGACTTTTTCCAGCATTTAATCGAGTTCGTGCATGTTTGCCACGCGACAGCTACATTTCGAGCCGCCGAAGCTGCCGACCAGAAGACACTTATGACTGGTAAAACGGTATGAGCTCATAACAAGCAGATAGAAAACGAAATAGTACCTAATATTTGATCGAGGACGCTATGACAGCGGCAAAGCTGTCAGCACGATACCTTTACTCCAAAATCTGCTCGTATTCTGACCCAAAACTTCTCCTAAACACGCAAAAGAAGAGACTGGTCGAGCAAGAATGAGAATCCTCTGATGAGCACATCGCACCCCGAGAATGTATCACCTGTATCAAACAAGAGTGGCCTTGGCCTTCTTCGTTCCCGACTGGTTCTGACCCCGCGAGCGCAGTGCACCTACGACGGACGTAGAACCATTTGAGGATTTGGATAGACCCTTCCGCACAGTATGAGTTTTCTTACTGGTGGTGGCTTTCCTCTTTCCAGGCGACTTCTTCTTCTTCTTAAGCAAAGGAGAAGTCTCCATTTGCACGTCTTGTCGACCCAGTAGCTGCTTCTTGAGTTGCTCGATCTGTTGCTGCATCGCTAACTCCTTAGCCTTGAACGCTGCCTTGTTAGCAGCAATGGTCTCACACAGCTCATTTACCTTCTCGCGCTGCATCTGAAGTTCCAATTCCAGCTGGTTCGTCGAGTTATTATGCTCTTGTTCCTTCAGAATTGCTGCGAGCTGGTAGTGCAGCGAACCTTCAGTGAGGGAGCGATGTAGACACTGCTCTGTAGCATTGTGCAGGGCGCTTAGAGCAACTGAGCTGATCTGCAGCTCGCTCATGTGAAGCGTGAGACTAAGTAGCGTACGGAAAACTCGCAAGAACTCTTGACGTGAGATGACGTAGAGGTTGGGACTTTCTCCAAAATCCTGCAGCTCAGCAGGGTCGCTGTCCTCGTCGTTCTGCAGCACATGAAGTTCTCCAACCGTATTCCACTGTGCATCTTCGTCCTCCTCACGAGTTCTCTGTCCCTTCAAGTATTCAGGCTCATAGCTGTCATCGTAGTCGGAACAGTAGCCCTGACCTGGCTGATTCTCTCCGTCGTCTTCCGGTTGCAGTAGCTTTTCGTCTACCAGCTCCTGTGCATTCTGCAGTGACGCCATGAACTTCTCCTCATCAGGCTGCCATGGCTGTGAAATGTCGGTGTCCATGTCTTGGTCTTCTCCAGTCTCAGTGCCACTGTCGGAGTATGACCACTCACTAATAGCTTCGCTTACTTGGTCGTCCAAGTCTCCCATCTCTTCTCTCCACGCCGTGTAATTGGCCACAAAGTCTGTCTTCTTGTAGCGCGCACCAGGTTCCGTGTCAGGCTCATCCGACGTTTCAACGGGGCGACTGAAGATCGAGTTGCATTCTACTAATTCAGTCACATGGATGGACTCGGGTCCGCACACGCGTCCGGCCGCCAGCAGGCACATGTCGTCGTAGCCGTACATGCGGATACCGAAGTGTTCGCACGCACGTTTGACGTCGATAAGGCGGAAGTTGCGGCGCCCGTCGTGCTGCATCATTACCACCATGCAGCCTACAATACGACGGAAGAAGTCGCTCACGTGGCGCCGCACCTCGGCAGCGGCGCGGTCTGAACTTGAGCGGAAGCCAGCACGCAGCAGGAAGCGCCGCACCACCACGTCAGGTAGAACCTCCTCCAGCGAGTGCGGCAGACGGCCGGCGCCATTCACGTCACGCTTGCGCACACGATACTCCATGTTTGTATGGGCTGCTGCAACTTGTAGGATTCCGCACTGGAGTGGCAACTCAAGAATTCAAATTGCCACGCGCGCCAAGAAATAAGAGCTTTACCTTTTCCGTAAAATCGCACCAAAATTCGTTAACAATGACGATTTACGTGTAAATTGCCTGGTTAAAAAGGGGGATTGTGGCGGTAAAACTTTTCGAAAGGAAGGCGCCAAAATGGACGAGAACGTACAACAGCGGATCACTTATTTACTGCAGGAGATCGACGCCAACATCTGTGCAGCGCACCGCTCGGCCACGCAGATCTATGGCACTGTGCGACGACATCACCAGATCCTGCGGCAGATTCACGAAGCCTCACGCGTGTGGCGGCCACTCTTCGATTCATTTACGCGCCAGCCAGCGGCTCGGCGGGTAACGCGAACTCCATCGCGGTTCTCTAGGCCGTTTACGCCCGGATCCAATAAGGCCGCAGCATCGACGCAACGATATCAGCAAGAGCTGGAACACGAAATTGATGAGGACCTAGAGGATGACTCATCTTTCGTAGGCAGGGAGGAGACGTTCAAGACCACGACGCTGAAGAAGCACCAGCCACCGTCTAGTGACCGTCGTAACACCTCAGCCGACAGTCTCGACGTTAGTACGAATAGTGACAATCTACCCCGAATGTCCAGGACGCCTTATATGTCTAAGTCGGCGGTGCAATCGGGCGCAATGACACAGGAATCGACGTCAACGTTGAACTCAAGTAGTCGTGGACGTTGGTCGCCTAGAATGACGTCTCCGCCTCGCACGGGCATCATCTCGGTGCGTGTATTTTATATAAAATTTTTGGTGTGTATCATACTGACGCGTGATGCATCATTGCAGGAAGATCAATTAGACACAGCAAATGCTGGACCACGACAGATCTCTACACCTCCGTCAGCAATTAGCAGTGTGGAATACAACAGTAACAGTCCTGGCATCAGCAGGAATTTGATGAAGATGGGTGCGTTTGAGTACACTCCGCCGCGTGGCAAGAAGTCTAGATTGGGCGGCGAGGAGAAGGAAATGGATGAGACGAATGACTCTATAGAAACGCCGTACGTCCCGGAGTTTAGCACAGTTCGACTGTCCACTGCGATTGAGAAGGAGCCAGCTACTATTGCGGACGACGTGTCAGGCCCAACCAGGACATCAGAAAGTGTCTCAAATAGGAAGCGAAAACGATCAGATGCCGGCAAGAATCGACGAACTCCAGTGTATCCCAAGACTCTCTACCCTGCGAAGGCTACGTCTCCATTCACATCTCCTAGTTTGCGGCGGAAGTACAGCAGTAGGAGCAGCGTATCGTCACCTAGTCATCGAGGAACACCAACGGCGAAAACCCCACCACGTCAACGGAATGAGACAGTGATAGACGATGACACGCCAAGGACTCCTGATTTCGATTTAACGTCTCCTTTGTTGCGCACGCAGCTTAAGGCGATGACACCGAATACGCCACTATCGAATCGTCTCGTTGGTGCAAGTCTGGACGTCGGCAGTGTCTCACAGGAGGCACAGTTGCAGGACTACGACGATTCCGTCACCGCCGGTGAACCGACTCCGAAGTTCGAGCTGTCACTACTGCCGGCTGTGTTTCAGGTATGGCATCTGCTATGGTTTTCTTGCTACATGTAATATCTTGCATACTAACTGCTCGTTTGTGATCGTACCGTATTGTAGCGAGGCGTTGGTGCCGTGCAAGTTTCAACATTGTACAATAAATTTCAAGGGACAGGCAACGACACGCCTGCGATTGTGAGTATTTCATGCACTTACTTGGCGCACGTTTTGATTGTTTTGCTAGTAAAAGTTTTCTTTGATAACTAACCGCCGATTTCTACATGCAGAGTGTTGATCAGCTTGCGGAAATGTTGCCTGACTATGGGAAGGAGAAGATTGAGATCTTGCTGGACACGTTAGTCTCGCGGCGGCTGCTGCGGCCATTTGTCGTCGAAGGCACCATGTTCTGGCAAAAACAGCTATAAGTTTGGTGGAATCATTTAGAAAGTGACGTCGGTTTTTTTTTTCAAAACGGACACAATCGAACACACGATCCCTATAACGTTTCTAAACGAAATCTTTCATTGTTGCTACATGCATGATACATTGTTTCTACCAAAACGGACAAGGATATGCTGACTTCTGGAGCCTTTGCCGTGTGTGGGGCAGAGGTCATGAAATGCCGGTTGGTTAGCAAGAAATGTAGTAGTGAGTGTTCAGTCGATGCATGTATCAACATGAATAAAAGCAGCGACGCGATATGCACTTCGATGAAATAAGGCATCCAAGCAAAAAGATTATTAGGTAGCAAAAAGCAAGTTCATTAGCTAGAGTTTGTTGTTTTTCTGGGTGTTGTCTTGTGTCTTTCTGGCAGGCGAAAGCGCATCCTTCCTCACTAGGAAGGCGAGGGAGTGCCTGCACCACAGTCGAATCATACATAACGGGCAATCAAAGCTGAGGTCGATCAATAAATAAATCACACGAGCGGGAGTCGGTGGGTAAAATGGCCGCAGCGTGAGCGGGACATATGGGCTCGCAACCGTCACCGCTCAGTCCGTCTCGACTGTTCCGGTGCTCTGAAAGTACAGCAGCTCGCTATCTTCCACGGCGAAAAGTGCCTCCTGCAAGTTGTCGGACACGAGTTCGAGCGACGAGCTGCGGTGCGCAATAAGCTTGGCCGGTCGGTCTTCTGCAAGGTTGAATGGTTCCTCGCCGCTGCTGCTGAGCTCGTCGTCGTCGCTGCCCTCGTCCGAGGAGGGAGAACAGGACGCCACGCTCTTGGGAGATGCCAACAGCGAGGACGACGAGGCCTCGACGGACTTGGACATAAGCAAGATGCTATCGACAAGCGCCTGGTTTTCGCGGCGCACGTCGAAATCGTCTTCGTCGCTGGTGACAGCGGTGTCGTTCGTATTAGCGTTGATATTGCCGTTGAGCGGGTCGTTGCTCTTCTTGGTCATAAGACGCTCGATTTCGCGCTGGATGTTTTCCTTCTCGTCGGACTCGAGCACGTCGGCGCCACAGAACTTCTTGGCGTAACCCGGTAGTAGGTGGTCCACGAAGTTCGGGTCCACGGGGTCGTAAAAGTAGCCGTCACCAACCTTGCGCTTGCGGCTTTCGCGCTTCTCATCCAGGAAAGGCTGACGCCACTGCCAGGGACACTTCATGATGGCTTGGTGGCTGGACATGGTCGTGGAGGAGTTCATGGTGATTAGTGGGCGGCTTGGACTGTGGTGTGAGGCTTGTCGGGGCAATGAGATACTAACAGCGGAGAAAGAGGGGAGCTCCGCAGAAACGGTGGCTTTTTGCCTTGTGGAGTTGGTTTTTTCCACTCTGACTCTTGGTGGCCCTTTTGCGCCAAGATCTTGATCCCTTCCCCTTTGTTCTCAAAGCGAAATGGCTGGCTTGAGTCGCGCTAATAATAGCCAGCCAACCAGCGCGTTGGTTGGAAAAGTTCAGTGCAGGGCAGTTCAACCTAGGATTTACCCAGCAAATGTATGCAACCGCAAGGTAAAAATGTGCTGTTACATGAGTAATTGTACGGTGGCCACTGCACGCAGTAGATGCGCTCCTACATGAACATCGCCTCATTAAAAGCGCGGACGGGTGCTTCTACCGTCCGTAATGTTCCTGACGGTGGCAGAACTGTGCCCAGGATGTTCGTCTGATGAACCCTGTGTCGATGCCGCCGGCAAAGAAGCCGTTGGGGCGCTCTGGGCAGACCTGGCCCGAGAATATGCCTTCAATTTGCCACCACCAGAACCAGAACGGCGACGGAAATAGTTGGACGGCAACAAAGCCGCACCCATCTTTGACAAGGCTTTGCAGCTGCCACTCAGTGGCGGCTCAAATCTCCGCACTGCCGCTACTCTGTACTCCAGCGCTGCTTTAAACACTGCAAGCTGGACTCGCGTCCAGCAACAACTATCGTCTCGCAGAACTTTGTCATTTTCTCAACACAAAGGTGCGAAATGATGGAAATATGATTGACGTAGCCGGTGAAGAAGCTGGCAATACATGGAAGTTCTCTGGGTCAAGCACCACATTCAGTTTCCATGATATTGTGACAGGTCCGCCGGACACGGCTCTGCACTCGATGCGGTTCTTGCCTTGAAGCTGCAACACCACTCGTCAAAACTCTCGATTAAGTCCGACGAGGAGGACCCTTTGCAACCAGTCACATGTTGCACACCTCCTGGACATAGCAGGGCTAAAATGTGCGTACATTTTCTGCTCGCCTAGCCAATCACCGACCAGATATGCGACTCTTGGCGGTTGAAACGACGTGTTTTCACTTCATGCAGACACCTCCGAGCGGTCAAGAGCCATGGACTGGGAAGCCAACCTGGCTGCCATCATCAAGTGCACGGACGCCAGTCTCGCACAGCAATTCCGCGAGTTTGAGGACGTCACAGCCGAGTTTACAGCGGTCGACGAAGCTCCCGCAGCCTGCGACCCCAGCAGCGACAATGTAGCAGTGAATTACCTGCGCGATACCATGGCGACAGAGTATCGTCATCGTCAAAAGCAGGAAAAACAACACGCTCAACCGCAAACACCGTCGTATTCCCGTGTATCTGGAGCGTTTGCAGCAGCATCTGCGGCTCCAGGGACCACGTTTTCAGAGCATTTCCATCGTCGACAGGAGCGTAAGCGTGGAGCTTCAGTGGCAGGAAGACCGAGAGACAACCAGCGAGCGCACACTCGTGCGAGTGAGTATGAGCCTACAGACGATGAAGAACGTGTACAGGACCAACACCGGTACGCTACCTTACGAGGAGGTGCGCATCAGCAAATGTACTCGTCTCCGACATACGACGTGGCGCAGATGATGGAGCAGGTGCGATTGAGCTTGAAGCTCGAGGTGGATGCCCGTGCTGCGATCGCTGAGCGCCAATTGAGTGCGCTCTTGCAGCTGTGTAAGGCCACGTCGGAGGAGCTTGACAGACTTCGAGTTGAGGTCTGTGCGAACGACCGTCAGCTCCATACGTTGGATCAAGTGCAGTCAAAGATACGACAGGAACTAACGACGCAAAAGGACATCGGCTTCCACTTACAGTCCATGTGTGGCAAGGACGAGTCGTGGCGTATGCAGACGGAGAATCAATTATTAGAGCTACGCCAAATGACGGCTGCGTTACGTGAGCAGGGGAATTCTACACAGGCGGTGGCACAGGAGAAGCTGTCGAGGTTGGAGCTACTCGTGCAGTTCAATGCTGCCATGGAACCTATTAAAGCGCAGCTGCAGGCGAATCTGCAGCACCAGGCTCAACAGATCGCCGAGATCACGCGCTCTACGAGCTCTTCGAGTCTGTTGCTCGATGGGCTCTCGCAAAAAGTGAACCGAGGTATTACGGAAGAACTCAACGAGTTACGCAGCGACCTTCACGCTCTAAAACACCACGTTGCTAAACTGGACATTTTTCAGGACAGTGGAAGCCGCTCATCACAACCGTCCAAGGACGAAATTGACGCCAAAGCGAAGGAGAAACAGCAACAAGAAGGGAAAAAGTGGGACGTGTTACGAGAAGAACTTACAAAAGAACTGATGACACTAGTGCACGACTATGTGGAGACCCACACTAAACCGATTCGACAGTCAATCGATGAAACGCAACAGCGATTTGTCGCTAGAAACGAGATGGAGAATTTGCGGTGTACGCTTGATGAGGCCTGTAGAAATCGCTGCGCTACAACTGTGATGCAGTTTGAAAGTCAATTAAAAGCGGCTCAGGATCAAATGCGGGGTGAGTGCAATGCAGCCGTCCGAGATTCTTCTGATCGAGCTGAAAGAGCGATTCAGCACACTGCGAATACCATGACGACAACTTTTGATGGGCAAGTGACATCCTTGCAGAGTAAACAACTTGAGTTCGTAAAGATGCTTGATAATGAGCAAAAGGAGCGGAAACAAGCTCTCGATGAGCTTCATGAATCGCTTCGTAAGAGTCGTCACCAACTAGAAGATCAACTTCATACGTTGGGACAGGAAAACAGAACGACGTTGTCAAAGCAGGAAAGTGGCATTGAAAAACGATTAAAGGATTTAGAGAAACTGATTGAGAGTGCAGTAGCGGATGTTCAGAGAGAAACCCAGGCATCTGTGGCAAGTTTGAAGAGCTCTGTACTGATGCAGGGTAGCAGCAATACTGAGGTGGAGCAGAAGCTGAAGCGTCTTGAGGAGACCGTCTCAAGTACTGATTTATCTGTTGCTGCACTAACGAAATCTATCGCAGCAACTACAGTCTCGCCAGCAACTAACAGCGATTCGAATGCTAAGGATGTCAGTGTGGCTTTGGAGAAACAAACCAACGTGTACGTAGCGACGATGGAAAGTTTGTTTCAGAAAATGCAGCTACAGCTTCAAGCGCAGACGCAGCCACAGGTTCAGGTCATGGCACCATCTCCGTATCACGGCTACTGGCCTCCATCACCCTACGCTGCGAACCAAGCACCACCGCCACCGCTTCTCCATCTTCCTCCAACAATAACCCGTTCAGGCGCAGTAGCTGCGACAGAGCAGTCACAAAAGGTTGAAGAAGACTTGGGTAGGAAGACATCTTCGCTTGAAGTAGCAACGAGCGGTGATACGTCAGCTGAACGAGTCCGCAGTGCACTGCCAGTGGAGCCCGCAGAACTCTCGAGCATGACTTCAGCACCTCCAACCGAGTCGTTGGTTCGGTCCTCTCCTCCTCCTGCAGTACCAACTAGCTCGACGTCACCGGTGCCTGATCTAAGCGAGCAGCAGAGCCCAGAACCAAATCATAAAAGAGAAAACGAAGGCACTAAGCGAGAAGATGGCCTCGCAGCTACAGCGAAAGGAGCTCTGGCAGAAGCTGAACTTGCCAAAGCTCGTGTTGAAGACCGACGAAAAGAAACGAAGCAGCAACTACCTCCCGTTCCAGTTCCTTCACAGATGAACACTGGAATCGGGTCCTCAGTATCCGAAGCAAAAGCTAACCACCAGCGGTTCTCTTCAGCTCTAACAGCACACACTCCAGCACTGACTCGATCAGCGTCTTCATCCGCACTACCAGGAAGAGATACATTATCCCATCCAAAGGTGCAGACACTCGGTAGTAAAGTGATGACGCCTGCCAGCTTGCCGACTACTCCAGTGGGAAGCAGGACTCCGATGGTACCTTCGAACACTCCACCTCAGTCTACGACAAGGACTGGTGCCGTACCAGCGGCACCAGGCCCTACATTGTCAAGTGAAAATGATTTCAAGAATGATAGTAAAGCAACTCTAACAATCCCAACTCCGAGTAGCACTCTTACGCTCGAGGTTGGTGCGACTGGACCTGAACCAACGCAGTCGACACTCTCATTATCCCAGTCAACTCCAAGACAAAATACTACGCAAGACTTGCAGGTTCCAATCTCCAGCCTTTCGACAAAGGACGAGCCTCCGCCTTCTCTTTCGCCACTTGCCAAGATCTTCGGACGATCCACACCCGTTGGAACAGCTTCGACTGAAGATGAACGTGCCCCTGCTCAGGCAGTAATGAGTGCGACCACCTCGACGACTATGAGCCCAATGCAAGTGCCTGTAAAAGACCCCTCGCTACCTGCAACGCCAGCTCCTGTTTCGCATGTTTTGTGTGGATTGTGTCGACTTCCCATCCGTTCAGACTTTAAGATCGAACATGAGAGATCGCAATGTCCCAAACGAACTGTAGAATGTGCTTCCTGCAAGCAGCAACTGCAATGGGTTAATCTTGAAATTCACGAGCTCAAGTGCAGTGCAGCTCAGCGCAGAGCGACTGAGCCACCTGGTACAGTACAGCCACTTTCAGACACTGTAACAGAGTTAGAGGGATCGCTTAAGAAATGTCGTCATTGCTCTGCCGACGTCCCGAGTCTGGACCTGTTGGAGCACGAGATCAACTGCGATAAAGTGCTCAAGCAGTGTCCGCATTGTCTTCGTCGTCAAAAGGTAAGTTACGATTCAATAGAAGCCATTCAAACTCATTGTAACACAAGTGGATCAACGTAGATGTCCGAGTTACAGGAGCATATCGAAAGCTGCGACTGCAGATTAGTTTCTTGTCCAAACGACTGCGGGGGAAAGTTTTTGCAGCGAGGAATCCCAAACCATTTGGCAACTCGTTGCCCCAAGAAATCTTCAAACACATCTGCACCCGTGGCATCTCCTGCATCACGTTCAACGATCGCAGAAGCAAGTAAACCAATTCCCTCTCCTTCAGCTTCTCCAGCATCAGCGCCAACAGGAAAAGTAAGCACCTCAACGTGGTGTGTAGACCAGTGTAGGTGGCTAATGCTTGTCAAAATATTTGTAGGTGGAGTGCAAGTTCTGTGACGACGAAATCGATGCAAGCAGGATTCAAGACCACGAGCAGAAGTGCGTAACCACTAGTTTTTCTCTTTATTATTTGGTACGTGACTCTTTTGTTTGTGCCTCGTAGCTGCGACTGGAAACCCAAGCGTTGTCAACACTGTAACATGGTCGTTATCTCTCGTGACTTAATGCGCCATGAGAGCTCGTGTAAAACGAATATGAAGTCGTGTTCGCATTGCAACGAAAACGTAAGATCATAACTTCCGGTTAATATCCTCTAAATGGCTAACCAGAAGTGTCTGTATTCTTCCAGATGCCGCAGTCTGCGTTGACCACCCACGCTGGTCGCTGCTCTAAACGTCCAATCAAGTGCATTCGATGTTGCCAGCTCTTCCCTGCCGATGCGATTGTAGCACACTCTACGAATTGCAAGGTCGTGCTAGGTGCACCCCCAGCAGCTAGCAATCCATCGCCAGCAGCGAGAGCTCCTATCAAGATTCCACCTCCTCCGCCGTTCCCTCCACCGCCTTCTGCCACGACACCCACGCTGACATCCCAACAAAACACTCGACGTGTTACAGCAGATCCTTGGGTGACTGGACCGGCTTTGAGTGAGACCACGAAAGCAAGAGGTACGTATTCAATGAGGAAGCTTCATGCTTAAAGAAAACTGACATTATCACGTTGATACCGATAGAAGACAGCTCAGCGGACAGAATGGCACGTCGAAAGCTGGCACTGTCCCAACTAACAAGCCCAGGACCCACCCACAACATCGGAATCTTGAATCAACCAGGACAGAATACCGGAACCCGAGCAAGTGCACCCAGGTAAGACGTAAACTTCAATGTATATCATCCAGATGTCTTACTTTAATTGCGCTAGTCCGACGACGACACTCCGACCAACTATCCAGGCAGATGTCGAAGGTAACGAAGACGAAGAGGACGACGAGGAGGATGACGATGAAGATGATGACCAGCTAACGCTGGCTCAGGGTACAACCTTTTACTGCTGATAGTAACCTCTTCTAACGAACTATCTTGCTGTAGTGGTCAAGGAGTGGAATGTTGAGAATGTTTGTCTGTGGCTCCATGAGGATGTTGGGGTTCCAGAAGTCGTAGTAAGAAAGCAACACGCAACAATATTGATGAGAGCTAGTTTATTGACGTTAGTTTGCTTTCTACAGCTTCGCTTCCAACAAAAGCAGTGCGACGGTGAGATGCTACTCGAGCTAACGGAGAGTGACTTGATCAACGACTTTGGCATCAATGATCGAATACAACGCGAGCGTATTCTAAGTGCCATCGAGGCCATAAATACGAGCAATGCATTTTCCGACGAAGAAGACGAAGAAGATGATGACGAAGATGACGAAGATGAAGTCGAGGAAAGCGAAGATCACACGTCACATCTGAGGCGTTCGGGTGGAGGAGGTACGCGTATCTAATACTTCAGTCTGCACTACATAGTCCTTGCTCACTTATCGCTCGTATATAAACTGTGTGACAGCGTATTCCCATCCACGGGATATTCTTCAGCGTCGATCTCAGCCGTCTCCCCACCAAATGTTTGGAGGCCAATTGCCATCGTCCAACGACATGGTACGAATTCAACTTTGCCATTCTGTATGAAATCCTACGCTTACTACGCTTGTCTCTTTTGCAGTTTCGTAGGATAAGCAATGCTCTCGAGAATCCAAAACGTTAGCGCAATACTGACAATTACTAAAAAAAAAGTTAGATTCATTTTAACTGAGCTTTTCAATTCAAATTACCGATATCAACTACTCATTGTGAATTTCGGCAAGCGGCACAACTGAAGGCCTACCGTGAGCACATTGGAAAGGAAGCTGACAGTTCTTCAGATCTTCGATCAAGTCTCTACACTGACCAAGACTTAAGTGGTCTCCAAACATGATCGCGCTGCGGCAAGCACGGGAATGCAAAAGTCTCGTGATCACTGGAGGGCGAATCTGCGAATGCTGATACGTCTCCCCCGCGTTAGCCAAAACCTGGATAAATTCCCGAAAGTCATCAGCATTTGCAGCTCTCTTCTCCACCTTTGGGGTGGCGTACAAGAGCACACGATTCCTGTCATCCGGTTCATGTTCTGTGCGCACACAAAAGACCGATTCTGGCTCCGAGACAGTGAGCTCAAAGTCAAATCCCCAACTTCGGATGAGATCATCATACTGGCTCAGTACTTCACGCTCCTTGAAATTCACTCGTAAGACTATCGGCGGTTCATGTTCCTGGATGTCCACCCGACGTAGACTTCCATCATGACCGAACATTTCTTCCTCCAGCTGCTCCAATCGCACACGTTCGTCTGCTGCATGTTGGTCGATGCAAAGCACCAATTTGCCTTGAGGAGTATCTGCTTGAACGAGAACGAACTTGCGATCGACTTGACGAATCACCTGCAGCTTTGCGAGGGTAGATTTGCTGATTTTGATCCGTCGATTGCCTTTCAACACATGAACGTTGTCGATTCGAAGAGCATCCGCGAAGTGGTCGACGGGGGTTCTCTTGGAGTCAATCCAATGCTTTAAGAAGCTGTTAGCGTGCCGCTCAACTGTAGCCATCGCGAAATAACTCGAGTTGGTGCTTGGAGCAGCAATCACGGGCGTATCGTGTGATGGTTGAACTTCGCTTTCAGGACAACGTGGACTCTCGCCGATTTGTACGGAGGTTTCTTGTTCACCGAAGATTTTTTCGTGGTGACAGTCTTCATAGTGGTGCTCGTCTTGACACAAGGCCAACATCGCGTTGACACAGTCGTATGAATCGGGTTTACTGCTCAACCATGGCGCAACAGCTTCGGAGGCCTGCTTCATAGAATTAGTACGATAATTGATGTTTCTCACAAGACAGTTGACTGGTTTACAACCTCGCAGCGTTCCTCAATGCCTGCAAATACTTTTTGCTTCATCAATGGTGGATGAGACCTGCTAGCGAAGAATATATCTTCCAGGCAAGGCTCTGTATCAGCCACAGCGGTATTTTCTCGATCAAGGCCGTAAACAGCGAATTCATCGCATTTAGAGTCATCTGATGCTGTGACCGCATAGCTTGCAGTGTCGGAATCAACCCAGACATCCATGTTGCTGACATTATCTGTCTGAACAATGCTACTCAGCTCACTAACAGGTTAGTCGACAACTTATTAAAACAATATTACACCAGAGTGCAAATACCTGGCATCACTGACATGCCCGCAAGCGTGACATCGAGACCGTTCGAAGTAGTTCTGCTCAACCAAAATGTCGTGCTCTTCAAATGCGCTGGACCACCTCGAGTAACTTTCTAGGTGCTCGTCGCTTTCAGCTTTAGTGCCACAGTCCAAAATTTGATGATCTAACTGGGCGTAAGAATCTTCCTGACTTGTTCTGCGTATGCCCTCGTTTATCCAGGCCTGTGAACCAACAGTGAGTTCGGTACCTTCATTCAGCTCTGGCACCTCGTGAATTTCTTCAGTGTCATCCAGGTTTTGGAAATCGGACTTAGGAGCCTGAACAACTCGAACTTGTGAGCAAAACACCGAATTTCGAAACAAAATCACGTTGTTACTTACCTGGTTGAAGTATTCAGCAGCCAAGCTCTGTGTTCCTTTCGTTAGTTTATCGTTATCACACGCCGAGCATATGAAATCAAGATATCTTACCTCGACGAATTCAAAGAGAAACTGGTGAAGCTGTTCGGGATCCTTGAACAAAACTTCGTTCTTTTTCCCAACTCGAGATATGTCGTAGTGGTTGCTTAAAGCTGCAACTTTCAGGACGAAAATTGGGACGGCTGCAATACAAATCGTTAATGTTACGATGCCAACCCAGTGGTCGTATCAAGTATACCTGATAGAATCTCGAGTGCAGCGTCAGTTATCACTCGGGAGCATGTTCGGTGACATTCTTCCACCCACTCGTTCTCAAGGAACGCAAACTGGTAGTAGCTTTTAGCTTGTTTGATCCCTTGCCCCAATCCTCCCAATGCACATGGGACGAAAGCGAAGTATCCGCGAATCGAGAATAGAAACGCCTTCGACGAGAAATCCACGTACTACAGAGACAAAAAGACGTCAGATAGCTATCAGTATTGATCCCAGCACCACATACTTGTAGGTCTTTCCCAAGTAGTTGACCGAAATGTCCTAGAAATCGCTCGCGACACGACGTGGCTGCTGGGATCTTCACCGGCCGAACGTCTTCACCTTTAGAGTACGCAGTTAGAAATGCAAGAGAAACTTGTATCGTGACTTTCTCTTTACGTACCTTCATAGCGAATGTCGAAGGACAGTGACGGCCAGATCATCGACATGCTCACACAGAAGTTGTGAATATTCTGGACCACTCGAAATCGATACTTCCTGTTCCGAGTCAGATCTTTACGTCTCACGGGGAGCTTCCCGAACAGATTCGACACTGAAACCTTTGTCCCTGCTGTCTTGTGTAGCTCTTTTGATCGAGCATTGAAGACTACGGCTCCTTCCTGTACAGATCAAAAACAAGTGGACACAGATAGACGCTGAGCGCTCAGTTGTTCTCGTATACAAGTGAGAAAGGCTGACCTTGAAGACTTTGCGATACGAAGTCCAGTGCTCTTGAACGCGACTCTCAATCTCGACATGAGCAGCAAGCGTGGTCAGTTCCTGAAGAAAGGCACCGCGAGAACCATATTTCTTATGTGGCTTCTCTTCTCTGCGACTGCACTTCGATACTGGAACTCTTGAAGTGGCTAGAGGGAGCAATGAAGGAAGAATGAGCGCAACATTGTTTTGTCTACACTTCAAGATCCGTACCGTAGCATTCTCCGATGTATTCGTGAAGATCATCCGGCTGAATTCCTTGTCCTAAGCAATCCTTAGTACTCAGCAAACATCGACAGCAAACTTCCACCCAAGAGCGTTCGTACCATCATCGACGGCAGTGAAAGACGCGTTTGCCACGTCCACAAACAACGTGATTGTTTTCGCTTGAGCGTCGATGCTGTTGTAGATCACTACAAACTCAGACTTCAGGTTAAGTACAGCGTAACAGTAACCTCAACTTCACCGCAACAACTTGACCTTGTTTCACCGCCGTCTCGAGATCTGGTATAGCGTACGACGCAGACATGAGATCACGCGTTTTCTCGTCCAGGAAGCTCAGCGCCATGCTGTTCCTTCCGCTTCTAAATCCGGCAAAGGAAATTGAAGAATGCGCTGCGAAGAATAACAAAAGTGTGTTGCCTTTCTCAACTATTTTACTTGTTTAGATAATCTACAGGTCTGTGCCATCGCACACAATATCAATGATACATAAGTCTTGATCCTCATCGAGCAGTTTGCTGTGCAGTGAATGCTCCGACTCATTTTTTCGCCGACGTTGCCATCTTTGTGGTGTTGTAGCCATGACGGAGATGCTCCCGTTGCTGTAGTTGCTGCTGCTGTTTCGAAGCTGTCGCTGTCGTCTTCGTCGATGTCGACCACTTGAAGGGGTCAGAGGGATCTCTTGTAGCTGACCACGCAAGCGACACGAGCACTGTCCACCTTGGAACCTACTATCGGCATCCGATACACTTCGACTGAACGTCGAAGTTAGGTGAGACAGTAGACGAGATCGCATGCGAAGCTTCGTCGTCGGCGATTGCAACTGGGAGCTCTGTGGAGAGCGAGGAGCGTAATCCGAATCTCGGACAGACTCCTCCAAGATAGCCAGCGGTTGACAGAAGTTGATGTTGTCATCGTCGAGAAAATAATAACTCGTGTTGCTATCTTGAAACCCACACGAGTGTTCGAAGTGATGCAGAAACCCGGCGTCCATAAGTGCTCGACCGAGACGAATTCCTTCGCTTCTAGACTCGATAACTTGGAGTTGCTCCATGCGTTCAACGGCATACTCCCCAGTGAACATGTTAGCTGAAGTCTCCACCACACCACCGTTTTCAGAGAGGATATCCTGCGCCAATGTTGCTAGCAATGTTTCTTGAATGTTTTCAAGCTCCTTGACCACTTGCTGAGCTGTCGGACGAGTACGCGGGTCACTTCTCCACGCACTCGTAATAAGCTCAAGTAGTCTGGACGGTACATCTTCGTTGATCGGCTCGTCGTCTTCGATCGGTGGACGAGACCCCTTTAACACACTTTCAAAGATGAGAAAGTGGTTGTTACTGGTATCTGGGTATTTCTCACGATGTGGGTAAAGGATATCCCAGAACGTGATGGCCAACGAGTACACATCAGCAGCCTCTGCATACGCTGCTATACCAGTACGACTGTCGATCATCTCTGGCGCCATGTACTCTACTGTTCCTGTCACTGTCATTTTGGGTTGTAACGTCGAAGCTCCGCTGTTTAAACTAGCTGTAGAGACCGAGACTTCGCTCGGTAGTCTTCGTGAATCACTGAAATCTGAGAGTTTTACGGTGTAATCTTGATCGAGAAGGAAACTGGCAGGCTTTAGGTCACGATGTAACACTGGTGGCGAGAAACTGTGCACGTAGGCTACAGCACGAGAGCAGTCCAACATGAAGGCGATATTTAACTGCATACGCTGCAGATCCACACTGTCATGATCGTCTTCGTTCTTGTGACCAAACCAAGAAATATGTCTCCTTTCGTGAACAGTTCCTCTTGCTGCGAGCACATCTTTAAGCGTGTATTGGCAGAGCTCGGAAACGAGACAAACGGTGGGAGGACAGACACACAACCCAAAGAACTCGACGATATTGGGATGTCTCAATGCTGCACACAAAGCTGCTTCATGTGAGAATTCCCCTACCACTTCTTCATTAAAATGCTGAAGCGTGTACACTTTCACCGCCACATCTTGCTTCGAGCGTAATAGTCCACTAAACATGGCTACATCGCTGTCAGCCCGAACTTTTTTCTTGAGCTCCAAATGTGCGAAATCGATTAAATAATCTCGATGTGTTTCAATGAGAATGTGGATTCCATGCGATGAGATTCCCTCGTGCACAGTCTGCAAGTGTGGCCTTGGTAGGGAGTGATGCGCCACGTTTTGAAGCGAAAAGACTCGCTTCCCCATTCCTCGCCAGTACTCCGTGTCGGCACGTAGTATTTTCCATATCATGAGTGGACACATGGCGCTCCAGCAAAGAATGATATAACCCGACACGGGATACCATATCGAGTCCGGTTTGAACTGCTGGAAGACGCTGTAGAAGACAAGAATCACATGATACATGATGATGAACCAGCCGTGTTTGCGTAGTACACAAGCGTTGGCTCGACCTGCCGGAGGACGAGCCATACACACGTATACTACGAAAAGAAGCATCAGCGGTCGTGTGACGAGCTTGATGTAAAATATTAACATTACCCGCTGTGGTGCATATATGATGAATAACGCTACCACTGGTAAGGTATTGCACGACAGCAGCAACGCTTTGATGACGGAACCCCGAAGTGCAGGAAGCGAGACGCTCTTTTGACACAGGAACACGAGAACGAAGGTAAAGACGAACATGCGGCCGCAGTAAAAGAACTCTCGATCCAGAGGCGGGAACTCGACTCTGTACAGATCGATCTGGAGCGCAACGCTGAAAAATACGACGTAGATTCCTGTTACACCCGCGAGTAGCCAAAGCAGAGGCTCGAACGCCGGTAGAATGACTTTCCGACTAGCGTGGGGGTCTCCTTTGAAAGCTTCTCGACGGTTCACTCTGAGGTAAACAATTAGTAGGAGATCCAGTAGACACATGAGTGCGTAGCCGATCAGAAGTAGAATCTCAGCCCAAAGTAGGTGATCCATGACCACGAGACGGGGACTAGCTCCAAATTTATATAGACTGAGGGGGTTACCGGTCTTGATCAATTACAAAAAGTCAATTGGAAGATAAAATGAAAAGTGGTGCGTAGCTGGTTAGGACGGTAGACGATCGTTTTAAGCCGAGAATTTGGGTCCAGATCCCTAGTGTCGAGAGCAGGTTAAGGCTTTGGCAACCTTAGACAAAAGCTTCTCGTCAGCTAAAGACCCGTCACCAGTCAGCTACCGAACTCTATCAAAAATCGTAAATAGGTTTTCTTACAGAGACACACGTCTTCACTTGCTAAACAGGCGCAGTGTATGACGACAGGCCTGGCAGTTGGAACGTTGCGTCGATGTCCTTAAGACTAACACGCAACTCGAGTGAATTATTCGATACGGACAGCAACTTGCATGTAAACGTATAAGTTTTTCGATCCGGACAGCGACACACATAACAATCAAATAACATTAGGTCAGTTAACATTGTATTCGATCCGGACAGCAGTTTCAATCGCTTGAAGCACACCAATGAGTTTACTTGCTACTAGAAGAATGCCAGCCGCACATTCCTTCTTCCAGTGACATTGTCGAGATATGAAGGATGAGATTGAGCTTAGTCAAGTCAGGGTAAAAGGTAGGAAGTGTCCGGTAGTGCCGTTTCCTAGTGCTAAGTCATAAATGTGTCGCAACCTGCAGTGTTGCGCTGCGGGAAAAGGAAAATGAAGTCAATGGTCATCGCTACTGCGGCCAAGAGCGACGGTGCGTAATAAGTTTGGACATGTGCCTCTCTTGGATCATGTTTGCTAATGTAGCCATTTGTGTTTAGAAATGCTGTACCACAAAATTAAGAAATAAAAACTTGTGACGCAATTATGACCGAGAAGCGACGCCGGGACGATCGCGGTGTTGATGGCGGCCGCCAACAGCGTCGGCCTCCTCACGACGCACGGGAATTCCGATCGTCTCGTTCTCTAAGCTCTAAACGCTTTGCTGTGCCTCGAGTGCACGAGCTATCGCGACAGGAGCGAGTGTCATTGTCAAAGGTTTCGTCGCTTGCTTGTCAATAATAGGTCGCGATCATGAGCTCTAATGTGTCACGTGCAGCCCCGCGAGATCGCTTACTTCAGTAAATACGCCGACAACGATATACGCTTTGATCGGTCGAATCTGGTGCGTCACTGCTGCACTAAACTTCATTTTTGGCAAATAATTGATAGTTAAAATGGTGATCAGTCGATGTACAAGCAAGCAGAGGTGAAGCAAATGACATTGGCAGTGGGGAATGCAAATAAATTGCTGATATATCATACTCAAATGGTTCAGATTGGAGCCAATTTACTCGACGGATTCGAGGAATACACTGCTAAGGATGAAGCTAATCCGACAGCACCACCTGCACCTATCGCTCCATTATTGGCAGCGCTGGAACATTTCCAAGGTGATAGTAAAGATCGAGAGAAGGCGCACTTCGTCACGTATCGAAACAACCTGAACAAGATCATGGGGGTGCGTGTGTCGACCCTTTTTGATGTTACAGGATCATTTCTTAGCTCAAGTTTCTCTGTTGTTACAGACACCGTACAACAGCAAGAATGCCTGGACATTTGAAGTTGAGAAGCGTGCCGGTTGCGTGTATTTGGATGTGCGAAGGACACAGGAGGACATCGACAGCAACCGCAATCCACACGAGAATCAACGCCGTGGGGCTTTTGCTGGACGTCGCTTTGAGATCTACGCGACTCATCCGAAACAAGATGACGAAGAGCGGAAAGTGAACGAGGACGAGGAGTTTTGCAGCATCTCGGCCATGGCGCTGGGTGACAAGCGCCTGGTTGTTGCAGCTGAGATCGATTGCTACGAAGACAAGGGTCACAATGAGCGTGAGTACGTTGAGCTCAAGACTTTTCGACTGCTACAGCGCGAGAAAGACCAGCTCGTCTTTGAACGCTTCAAGTTGTTAGCATTCTGGATCCAGTCGTTCCTAGTGGGTACGCCCAAGATCGTCTGTGCGTTTCGCAGCGACGATTTCCAAGTGCGTAAACTGCAGAGCTTTCGAGTCACTGACATCCCGAGCTTCTGCCGACAACATTGGGTACGTTGTCGCGTTATGCTAGCGGAGACATGCTCAACTAGTCGACGTTGTAGAGTCCGCAGAGCTGAGCTGATGCCCGCAACTAACGTCTCGTTTACCTTTGAACTGAGCGTTTTAGAGCCCCATCGTTTGTTTGAATTTCACAAAGGCGCTACTGGACTGGATCTATGATCATGCTCAGGAGGGTCGTGCGCACCGCGTCACATACATCCCGCAACGGCACGTGGTCGAAATGGAGCTGTCGTCCGAGCCTTCGTTCCTGCCCACGCAGAGCTGACCAATTGGTCCATATATCTACGCTGGCTGGTGCTCCAGTTATCATTGCAAAGACACTTCAATGGGCAAGGCTTCACCATGTAGAAGCGTTGGATCGTGAACCGAAATGTCTGGCCATCCCATCTGTGTCGTCCATCTCGTGTCGCTTTTTGTGAGGTTTTAGATTGAATTTCACAGGTACCTTTGACTATTCTAGCATCTTGAAAAAAGGAATCATAGAATATAAATCGCTTAGAGGTTTGACTAAATTGCTGTTCGATTGACGTCAGTACCGCGCCGAATGATACGAAACATGTAAATTCTGACACATGCTCGGCACTTACACTTCAGCGCCATGGCGCCAGGTTTGTCGTGCTTTGCGCTTTGTGGCTTGATTGTAGAGCTTTGGACAATCCAGCCGGTTGCCACGCGGGAGCTGTGCCCTCGTCCTATCGCCCACCAATGCTCGCGAGCTTGGTCTTTCGCCGTGTCCATTCTCCCTTTTGCTCCTCTCGGCATAGGACTCTATACAGCTTCAGCTCAATAATGCAGGCGTGGAAATTCGCGAGCGTTGTGGCGCTCTTGGCGTTGAGCCAGCAGGTTGCGGCGAAGGGAAGTAAGGAGGACAAGGAGCGTCCGGGTATCTGTGAGGAGACCGAGGACTGCAAGGCGGACGGATACCAGTGCGTGGCTCTACAGACCACGCGTGCCGGTACCGACACGGTCAAACAGTGTCTGCCCAAGGAACAGGACTCGGACGTGTGCTCGGGGCAGTACCCGGGTCTGTGCCCCACCTTCTCGTCTTGGGCGAGTCCGTACAACCAGATCAGCAGTGTCTGCACGTACAAACCCGCCGAGAAGTGCGTGACCGGCACCACCAACAGCAGCTCGGGCTCAGCCGCGGGCGTCATCTGTGTGGCCGGCGCCAAGGACTCGAACGGCGAGACTATCGACGCTATCTACGGTTGCGTCGACTTCGACACGAGCGCCCTCGAGGTGCTTTTCGGTGACGAAGACGCCAACGACCTGGCCGACGACCTGTCGACGGCTTCGGCTCTAATCTCGAACTGCCTCAGCACGAACGCAACGAGCAACTCGACGCTGCTTTGCGCCGGTCAGGGAACGTGCGTCCCGGACACTATCGGTTCGCTCAACTACACGTGCCGTTGTAACATCGGCTACAGCGGCGACTCCTGCGACAACATCGACTCCAACAAGTGCCAACTGCCGGGCCAGTGCGCTACGGGTTTGTGCAACCTTGAGACTCAGGAGTGTGAGTGTGCTGCCGGCACGACGGGCGACCAGTGCTCGGAGTGTGACGCTACGTCGGACAAGGCTTGCAACGGTAAGGGCACGTGTTCCGACTCGGTGTGTGAGTGCGAGGAAGGCTGGGAAGGTCTTCAGTGCACCAAGAAGAGTGCCAAGAAGAAATCGTCCAAGTCTGCATCCAGCAAGGACTCCACGTCGGACACCACGACCGGCAGCTCCAGCGCCGTGTCGGCTCATCCTCTCAGCTACGTCGCTATGGGCGTGGCCTCCATCCTCGCTGCTGCTTTCTTCAATTAGTCGGATTTACCATAAGTAATTCACTATTCTTTTGTGTGTTTCGCGACCGAAATCTCCATTTCAAACATTCTCTTCCTTCAAGCATCAGCATTTGCACAAAGCTACGGCGTCACCATGATTGTGACGGTCTTATCACTGCAGAGCTTCTTGTGTGGCCCAAAAAGTCGTCTTCAAACTGGCATTAAGTTTGGGAAACGGTCAACAGGTCAGTATCGGTCGCATTTTTATCGTGGCCGTTAACCTTTGTCGACACTTGATTCCTGAATCTGTCCATGTTTGTTCCTGCATTAAAGTTGCGGCCGTGATCCCACGAAATAGCTTGACAGGAACCGTGCCATTTTCAGCTTCCCATTCGTCATGTTCAGGGGCTTCCTGGCGTGTCACGGATTCTTTCACGACGTTGACTTGTCCGCTCCGACAAAGGCTCACGTTCTGGTCCTTTAACGGCACCATGATACGCTTTTCGTGGGTGGGTGAAATTCTTTTGTGTTCGTAGGTGCAAACTCAAAGGGAAGCCGAAAGATTGGCGACGAGCTGCCACTGTGTTGACTCAAAGCCTGCCACCAGTGGCCTCCTGCACTAGTGAAACCTCCTTGCAGCCTGCAGCACATGCTGTTATCGGTCTTATCAGATGCATTAGGAAGTTCATAGTCGACGGAGTGACGTTGAATATCCTCAGTTACTACGCTCATATCCAGCGTAACCAGCCTTCTTCCCGCGTCTCAGGCTGGGACTCTCGCCAGTACAAGGTCGGAATATAGAAGAATTGGCGGGACTGGGATGCAGAGAGGAGTCTATTCTCGTGGCGTTTACCGGCATTCTTCACTCCGCGAAACCTCGTTCGCGAAGGGGGGGCCAGTCTCGAAATCTCTCACGAAACAGCAACCAGCGTTAACGTCGTCCGACCAACTCAGCCCGAGCTGTCCAAGAAACACTGGACAGCACTATACAGATCGACTTACCAAAATCTGTCTCCGTTACTCGAGCTTCAGTCAAACGCTATCATTTCAATTTCTTCCCGATTTTTTTTTTTCCGTGAGCTGGGCGTTATTGCCTCCCTAACATCCCACCAGCTTATTGTCGTTGTTGGGAATGGCGACGGTGGTGGTTTTGGACCGGGTGCGATTGAGTCAAATCATCACCCTGGTTGGCTACAGCATCTTGTGCTCGTTCTGCCTCCTGTTGCTCATTTATCTACGCTGGAACCGCCTTGTCGCCTTCAAGGGAGATGCCCAAGCCACATGCAAAGTCATTCTGCCAGCATTTGAGCCGCTGTTGTGGATCCTCGCGGTTGTCACGGGTGGCTATTCGGTCTTCTTCGCAATCGCACTGCACGCCAAGCTGTACACGACCAAGTTCCCGTACCTCGACAGCGAGATCATCTATGCCGGTCGACAATTCGTCTTTGTTCTCGCGCTGATATATCTGTGTCAGAAAAGCGTGTCGGTTCCTGCTCTTCGCCGCGCAGTGATCAAGGCGGTCCTGCTCGCTTCGTACACTGTGCCCGTCGTGTGGCTGCTCAACCACTTCGTACCAAATGAAACGATGGTCTTCTTTTTCGTTAGGCTCTTGTTCCGCCCGACGATCTTGATTTTCGTGATCTACGTGTGCTTTATCAGCCCACCGGCAGGTCGAGCAAGCCCGACGTCTCTGCGCATTCACGGCGCGTACATTATCACGTATCATGTGTTTACGATCATCAGTGTTCTTGTCCAGCACTATTATCCAGACTCCCCTGGATACTCAGCACTGTCTTATATTGTGCTAACGTGGGGGTCGCTAAGTCCGCTATTTATCTGGAGTCTGCTGCGTGCAGATACTGAATATTGGCGAGGATTGGGCCAACGAGCGTGTGCATTACAACACGCAGGCCGTCAATCTGGACCCGCTCAATTGGATGAGACCATTTCGTCCAACAGAATTCATCTCCTTATCGAGATGCACAAGGATTTCGTTATCGACTTCGCTCATCTCGAACTACGACGTAAAATCGGTGCCGGCTCGAGTGCTGCCGTGTTCAGTGGACGACTTCAGCAACGTAAACCTGTAGCTGTAAAAGTTTACACTCCCTTTCGATTTACGGAGGAAGTCGTCGCGGAGTTCTCCCACGAAGCAGCACTCTGTGCGTCACTGTCTCATCCGAACATTGTCAAGTTCTACGGGATGTGTGTATGTCCTCCTACTATTTGCCTTGTGTCGGAGCTGTGTCAAGGGTCTTTGGAAGACATTCTTTACGCCCAAGCCAAGTCACGCAGTCGTCGTCGTGTCACACGACATCTTTTCGACCTTGGAGCTGAGGTTGAGGACACGGATGTTCTTGATCGGCAACAAATGCTGCTTAACATTTGTTATATGCTCGATTGCGCGCGTGCGGTTGCCTATATCCACAGCTTTACGCCGCCGTTCTTACACCGAGACATCAAGCCTGCCAACTTTCTCGTGGATAAGGAAAATAACGTCAAACTTACAGACTTCGGCGACTCCCGACGGCTACCACGAGAGCTACCTGGCAACATTGACAGTAGTAAATCTGACGAGCCTCTGACTTCAGTTGGAACTGTAGCATCCAGTGACTCTCCCGGCCCGAACAGGAGTATTCCAGCTCCTCCACAGATCAAAATGACCGTGACAGGTACAGTGAGTTACATGGCACCCGAGATGATCGGGTGTCGTACTGGTCTAGCCAGTTATGGTGAAGCTGCCGATGTGTACTCTCTAGCTATCACTTTCTGGGATATCTTATACCCGGACCGAGAAAAGTACTCCGTCACGAACCCCCTGCTCGTGTTTGAAGGTGTTCTTAACGGTTGTCGGCCGCCGTTAGAAGACATGGATCCTAATAATCCCGACGAGATTTTCCCGTCGAAACTTCGAGGAATTATTACCCGCGCATGGCATAGTAACCCAAATGCCCGACCAACGATGCCACAAATTGTTCGCACGCTGGAAAGCATCCAAGAAGAACTGCTATCAGTTTTGGCTCAAGATTTAAGCGACGACTTTGAGAGGACGAGCGTCGGGTGCCGAATGGTTTCGTCGGAAAAGTGCTTCACCGGCGAGTTCCTGGTCGAAAGGATGGAAGATCTGGCCGTCACGGAATCTCGAGGCGAGGGCTTGCGACTCGGTCGGGCACTCATGGACGCTGGCTTCTTGCATCACATTCGTCACGAACGAGGATTCGAGAACGGCGACGCGGTGTATTTCTTCGACGACGGCAACATCAACTTCTGTCAGCCATTGGCTATGCTGGAAGAAACCACAGGCACCGAGTCCGACGACGAACACTTTGCTCAGCAACCCAAACCGGCTACGCCCCACACAAGCCCCAAGTCCAAGAGCTCGGGACGCTCGCGACTATTTTCACACTTGACATCGACGTTTTCAAATCCCGGACACCACTCGTCAGGCACCAGTAGCGGCACCGAAGTGGCAGAAGTAAACACCTGTGCATGTCGTTTACGCGGTCAAAGGCACGTGCCGTCAGGAACTGGAAGCGATCGACGGCTTAGTCATGACAGACAGCGTCAACGTGTGTGGCATAAAAGCCCACTACGGAATCACTCCAAGAGCCAACGACTCGAGTCCGCGGGGAGTAGCAGTTGCAGCAGCCATCGAAGTAGCTCAGGTTTCCTGTCTTCTCCTACCAGATGGAAGCGAAAGAAAGCCAAGCATCAGAAAGAAAACGCGCTCACACACAAGCTCCTAGACGAAGCAGAAGAGCACGCGATCGATATCGACGATGAAGACGTGAAGGAATCACGGACACTCGCTCAGCCAGCGGCCTGAGTCAGCAATTGTAAAATATACAAGAGTATTATTATGAAGAGTTGAGTTACTGTTGCAAACGAACCTGAAAGCTGAGGTTACTTGGAGTAGAACGACAGCTCCGTCTCGTTGCGAGTCACTTCGCCGAAAGAATTCTCCGCAGCAGCTTCGTTGAAGATGATGAAGTCTCGATCTTTCCCTCCGTCCATCTTAAACAGTGGACCGACAGAAATGAGGTCTCCATTGCTGAACCGCGTGCGTGTCTTCTTGACAGATAGTCGTTGGATGCTCTGTGCGAGTTTGGACGACAGCGCGGTGGCTGAGGTGCATCGTTTGGGGACTGGACGCGATAGATCGTCAGACTCAGGCACTGAAGGCTTGAACTCCTTAGCTTCCTTCGCTGGCTGGTAGATCTCCACACTGGGTAGCTCCTCGTCGAAGAAAGTCTTGTACAGCTCCAAGCTCTCAGCAGGAACAGATGCTTCTCCAATTTTCACAAGTTTCTTAAGATCCAAAGTGTCTTCGAACATCCTACAACAACAATGGGCATACGTTAGCCAAGATGTACATCACGTATTCCTATCAAGCTTCGAACGAACTTTCGGTCTTCGGGCTCGGTTTTCAGCTTCTTTGATACTAAGACGCGAGCTTTCACGCTTTGCTCTAGACCTGTGTACGAACCAACTTGCAGTTTGAATGTAGCACCAGCACGTGCTTGAGCCTCACGAAGACTCCGAGCATCGTCCGGACTGATGCGATTATCGCGCATGTATGTCTCGAAGTACATCTTCACACTCTCGTTGTCAGTTTCCCATATTTGTGGTGAGTCCTTTCCTAGCACGTATCTGCATCATTCAGAACGACTCAGTACAGAGCATACCAGCGAAAATACAGGAAGCCTTCTATCATACTGTTGGTAGATAGGGTCTGGCGCAGGTGTAGAGCAATCACCGACGAATTTGCGACGTCTACCACACAACAAACGCATCACTTAATGGCCTGGGCTATCAATACTTAAGCAGAAGAACGTACCCTCGGCTCAGCACATAGTCGTCGATGCTGATCTGGTCATCTTTACGCTTCACAACCGCCTTCAATGTCGCAGATCCATGTCCTCCGTACTTGTTGATGGCTTCCGCTAACGCTGCTCGAGAGGCCCGACGTGACTCCGATCCACTTATACTGGTATGATCCTCTTGATGACCACTCTTGCACTCATGCCCACTATCACGACCTCTGCGTGTAGACTGAGGCGAATAGCCAACTTCTTCACCGATGTCAGGAGCGCTCATACTGCGATGGGACCGGTTCTCTTTCTTCGTCAGTCCTTGCCGACTTGAGTCATAGTCCGAGAGGTTTTCCTCATCAACACGAGCTAATCCAGATATCGACGATGACGACGGAGCAGACGTCAAATGGGCTACAACAGCACTCTCAGACCGACGCTTGTCCTTTTCATTCACCTCGTCCGAGATCTCCATCGGAAGCATGAACTTGTACCCCAGCACCTTGTCAAACGTTGTCAGTTCTTCCGGATGATACATGTGCAAGAAGTCATCCGAATATGGAGTTCGAGGTGACGCTTTCCGGTTTCCAGCACCAGCTGGCTTGGCAGCTTCAGTCGAGCCAGTGTAGAGATTATTTTTGCTCCCCTTGCGAGCAATCTGGTCACACACACAAGAGGCCTTCTCCTCCACTGGAGGCAGACAATACTTTGGTCGTTCAAAGCATTCCAGCGGTTCCTTCCACCAGTCATCCAGGACTCTTCTGCACTCGCGGATGTAGGCGTCACGCTTCGACTGATCTCGTACTGCCAAGGCCACGACACGTTCAGTCGAAGGTTCATTGTCGTCGCTGTCACTGGTCCCTTCACTAACATCGTCCAAGAGTTCCGACGACGAGCAGCACGATAACTGCATTGGTGCTATCCCATAGAGATCGCCGAACGCCTTGCGCTTATTGTCCGCATGGAAAGCAATGTTGCGTCGCACATTCTCGCACGCAGCCATGCCATTCCGCACCTCAAAGTTGTGGAGATAGTAGTCGGAATCTAATTCCCACAACGGAGGCGAGTCCTCACTAGGGACAAAGTGACCAAGGAATATGTTGATGGCATCCTGCTTGGCTGTATCGGTGAACGAGTTGCTGTAGTACCGTCGAATCGACGTGAGGAGTTCGCGGTGCTTGACGTTTTCTCGTGCGGCGCTGTTCTTCACGTTCTTGTGGGCTTCAGAGCCACCGTATTGCATCGAGATAGCATCGCCCATGAGAGAATAAAGCTTCATCAAAACCAGAACCAGCTGCGATCGACTTTCCAAGAGAGGCGTGTTCTTGATACCCATCACGTAAAGTTGTTGGCCCAGTGCTCGCATGCCAACGCTAAACTGACTCACGTTCGTGCGATCCAGACAGTCGATACAGTTTGTTCGCAGGATACCTCGTTGTTCCAGCCAATCGCCAGAGTTTCTCGTGATAGTGGGCGATGGTGGCGGCTCCGTAGACGCTAGTTCGTCACTATTCTCTCCCATTGGTTGCAGGTTACTTGACGAGATGAATGCATCCCACGGCTCCGATGGAGGACTCGGAGAGAAAGTCTGAGCCGTGCGTCGATTGCCGTTCTGGCTAATCTGTCGCTTGGGGGCACTGCAAAAGAGCCCCGTCTGTGTGAGAGCCCAGACTGCCACTTTATCCAGTGAATGCAGCACGTTAAGACCCTTCTGCTTAGGACCTGACAGTCGCGAGTAATCCAATGCCACGTAGCGCACACGATGCCTTGCAGGCATGAAGCTGTTGAGATATTCCACTGCGTTCATGTACTCGTTGCCGACGATAACTTCACGCTCTTTCTTCTCCGACTGCTTGACGAGATTGAGTGCTACAATAGGCGAGCCATAGCGCGAGAACAGGTCCGCAAAGTGTTTCTGAGTCGCTGTGTACGTCGGATCAACACGGTTCAGCACAATAGGCGGCTTTGGGAGTGTAGCAGATGTCTCCTGCGACCAAAACACTGGAATGGACCCACGATGCTGCACAAACGAGCTAAATTTACCGGGTCCCATGCTCTCGTCCTCGATGATCTGCTCCGTTTCGACGTCGTTAGCTGCTTTGCCAGTGTCAGCCACACCGCGTTTCAAGTAGCGAGTGCCGGCAAAGTGTCGGGAACGACGGGCGAGCAATACGATGCTCACGAGACGTCCAAACACTGAGCATTTACGCTGTTCATAGCAGCCCAATACAAGCGGCACGACTAGATCAGCTGCTGCTCCGCCACTCAAACAGGTTCGCAGTTCTTGAGTCAAATAGTAATTCCACGTGAACATCTCCGCTGGCTCCGAGTGTTCCGTAGTCATGTTGTGCTGTAGTGTGTGCGTGATGCCGTACGAGTAACTGAAGTAGAAATCCTTGGTGAGATCTAAGAAGTGAAAGAGTCCAAGGTACCGCGCTTCAGCTTCTTCTTCTGGACTGGGATTAAACCATCGATTGAGTCGGTTCCACGGGCTTTGGTCTTCTTCTGGGGGACTCAAATTGAGCTGTTGTGTGGCTGAAATGCCGTAGATCGAGTTGCCGCCGATGTTGCCAATCTTGCGTCGCTGCGTGACGAAGATGAAGTAGTAGCCACGCAGGAATCGGATGCATCCAACAATCGCCACAGCCGTGAACGCCCTCACGAGGTTTCCCGTGCCTCGCACTCTGGCCAGCTCCGCCAAGGCCTGTAGTTGAGCTTCCATCTGCTCCCAGTCGTAGATTCTTTTATCCTCCTCCAGCACTTCACGCAACTTCTTGGGTTGATCCACCATCCGATTCAGTTCGAGCATCCGGAAGCGAGAGTAGTGACGGTCTGAGCACACGACGTAGTACGTTGACGGCGTCTCGTAGATGGTGAAGCGCTCGAACAGCGTCTCACATGTGGCCAGTGCCGGCTTGCGTCGTCTTAATGTCGGTCGTCCACTCAAGGTCGCACCTACCGCTGCATTAGCCGCCAAGTTCAGATTCAGACTCAATTGCGACGATGGACGGCGCATGTGCTTGGGTCTGGTCGTTGGCCCTGATATCGGAGGTGTCACTAGTGAGATCTGGGGCTTTACACCACGTTCCAGGTCTCTTTTCACTGCAATCAACGTCGTCATCCTATAATAAAAAAATAAAGATTATTTTAAAAAAGTAATCGCTAAGAAAAAATAAGGTGTTGTTTAACGCAGAAGCCTACCACCAATCCACGTCGTGGCTGGATTCGTGGGATGAGAACGTCTCCTTCTTGCCTCGGTTGATGGTCAGTTCGATGCAGTCGCGACCGTCACTTCGGACGTGCGCCAGTTCGCACTCTTTGACGGGGATGGAGGAGATGCGGCTTCGGCCATCGCGGTCCAGTGACACGAGCAGCTCGCCTCGCTCCAGGACGAGCTCGCACCAGACCAGACTCCACTCTCCCGGCTTGTTGCGATTGAAGAGCCGCGGCGTGCGGCGGTAGAGCGGCCCCGAGACGCTCATGGAGATCTGATACTCGAATGCGGCAGAAAAAAAACGGTGGATGGAATAGTTTAATGATTTTGAATAGGATTTAATGACGCGTCGACATCATATGGATACATTTACGTGGGGCAGCAACTCGTTGAACACGGACAGCACGTAGTCTCCAAGCACGTCGAAGCAGTCGGAAACGTGCAGCTCCTGCAGAGGAGAAATGGGAGGCTCGAGTAATTGATACGCGAATGTGACCAGGATCTCGGTTGTGAGCCAGCAGCACCAGGAGAAGTGCAGCGACTTGAGAGCTCGAGACTTGGCGAGTTGCTGTAACAATGCAGCGCCTTGTTCACCTGCTGCAGCATCGAAACAGTCGACAATCTTGAGGTGTTCAAGATGCGGATGCGTTATCGTTAGCTGAGTGAGGAAGCGACTGGACAGTCCGAGACATGACACAAGACTCAGCGACAACAGCCGCACTTCCTCCTGAGCCTGCACAATGTCGACGTCTTCCACATCCAGATCTTCCCAAGACTCGGCTTCAGTCTCGCTCAACTGACCAGACGTTAACTGCCATGCCATGCGGTGATCTGCCTCATCCTCATCGAACAACGGGGCCAATGACTTCTCGTCTCGCACGAAGCCGATGCTGAGGTGCTCAGTCGGCTGCAATAGCAAGAGCTTTACATTGCCGTCGCTCACAGTTTTGAACGCAGTCGTCAGCTCGGCCAGTCTGGACACCATCCACGGCTCGAAGGAGGCAAAGAACGCCTGTGTGAACTCGCACGAAGAGCTGTACAGATCGAACGATCGAGCGATCTCGTAGATACATCTTCATGGCACACCACCAAGCCCACTAACTGTTAGAAACACACTCAACCACGTCTTCTATTTAAATGTTCTGTACCGTTCTTGTAGTGACGAGAATTCGTGCACCACCGACGTTTTCTGCAGCTCCGAGGCGATGGACAACGCTCCCTCGCGCTTGATCCGCTCAATGTGGTCGTCCTTTAGACGAGCGTTGGTCCAAGCCGCCAGCACGTCCACACGCACTCTACGACGCACGGCATTGTCAGTCTCGGCGCGTCTCTGCTGGTCCACCAGCTTGCGCTGCGCTTGCCTGCTCTGCGCATTCTTCCGCGAGACCTTGTTTACCTCCTGCTGCCAGCGGCGGAGCAGCACAAATCTACGATGCAATATTTAAGTCAGTCAGTGGTAGTACTACACAGCTACTAGCCTCTCTCTTACCGCTCCTTCTTCGAGCCGTAGCCGCCGCACTGTCGTCCCTTCCGGTTGCGCCCCATACTAATCGGAAGTGATGATGACCAAAGACGTGATCGTATCGTACTGTAGCAAGTCAGATTAGTGCAAGCTCTCGTTGAAGTGAATGCAACGATAAAAATAATGCCGTGCAGCTTCCTTCTGCTCAACTTGGGAACATGTTTACTTAGTTTACTGTTTCCTGCCATCTTCAATGGCATTGGAGCCGTCTAGAGAGTTGGAGTCGAGTTCGGGACGTCGAGACTCGATGACGTTGATGTGGGAAGCTTCTAAGCTCAAGATATCATTTAACCCGTCGGCTGGAGAAGTTCATCGTCGAGAGCGAGGAGCGCCGTGGCGAATCAAGGCAGACGAAGAGATTGCTTCGCTAAATGTGCAGGCAAAAGAGGACCAGCAAGAGAAGCGTCGATGGGGCCTCGCCAAACAGGTTCAGGACGGCCTTTTGCACAACTTCAACATTAACTACGGCGTTGCTGAGCTCGCCACGGTGATCAAAGGAGGCATGTTACTGAAGAGCAACGCACCAGCTCGAGATCTAAGCCCACACGAGGTAGCCCAGGTTCAATTTCTAGCTGCAGTAGAGAAGTATGACCTCAAACAGATTGTCTTATTGCTGGATAAATTCCCAAAGGGTCGAGCGGGAGGAAAACGACAGTAAGGCATTAAAATGCACTCATATTTGTTTAGCTAGGACCATTGCACATCAACGTCTTCAACAGCCATACCCTTCTCTTCGTATACCTCGATGAGTTCTTCAATAGGACCGTGGAAAAGAGGCCCAACCACGCTGTCTTCAGGGCGGTGTTCGAGTGCGTCTTCTTGCTCCATTCGCCACAATTCATATTGATGTGGCATTCGGAACATTGTTCGTCGGTCGTTCAGAATATTTTCCAGTGCTGTATCCAGCAAATGCTTTACTCGTAGCGATGTCCGTTTCTCCTGGTCGTCGTATGGGAATGACTCTCCAGTTGTGTCATTGCCACGTTTAACCTCCTGAGGCAGTTTGGCCAACTCTGCAATGTAATCTTCCCACGCACTTTTCACAACCTTGAAAAACTCGCTTTCAGCAGTATCCACTTGATCGCCAACTTCGTAGTCTACACGGTGTAGCCATTTACTTTTCATAGTGTGAGCCATGTCCTCGCTTAAATGGTGAGCGCCCACCCACTTTCGACCGAGTCGCAGACGAACAACACGAATTTCTCTTGTCAAGAAACCCTCACGGCGAACAGCGATATGTACGGTAACGTTGAATACTTGATCTACCTTGACACGCCACGAAGGTGGTGGCTGCCACACTGTCCATCGGCACTTTTTGAGCAGGAAGTCAGCTACGTTGGGGTTCTGCAGCTCGAGTACTTGAGCTACTTTGTTCCAGGATGGCACGTCCAGGAGCTCTGGTCCGCAATTGTACACTTCATAGTCACGTTTGCTTACTTGCACCTTGCGAACACTGGAGAGCGAGCGCCGGTCAGTGTTGTAGTTCCTATTAAGCGAGTTCTATTGGCCACGCACTCTTTCGTGTCGATGTCGAACGCCTCAGCGATGGATGTGGTGGAAATACTCCTGACGAACCACAGCTTCGACGCCACTTCAATGTGCTTGACTAAAAGATTTATGCGGCGCACAATCTCCTTTTCCACTAAACGGGTTACACGCGAGATCACGCGCTGGTCGACTACGGCGTACCATCTCTCTGCGACGCGAATGACACGAACAAGACCGACCTGTGCTATAACAATTGCTGCTCGACCATGGTCAAAGGCCGCATGTGAGGTACGACAAAGCGTCTCAATGCGTTGGACCCCGACAGCACCTCCCATGAGGCAATAGAGAAGCTCGCAAACAGCGAAAAGCTGCCAAAGATAGGTGAGCCCACTTCAACATGCTGATACCGATATGGCTACACTTTTTAAGGGGCACAATCCTCTCTGCCGCTGCCTTTGTGACGTATGAAGAAGCGGAAATTCCGGTTCTTCTTTCGAAAGGTTCAATTTGGCTCCTGGCTATTAATACCAGTAGACAGCGATCGCGAGTGACAATCCGGTGATCGATTTGGTGGGAACCGCCTCATCTTGATCAAATCGCCCGCGCAAATTGCGGCATCATGTCGCTGCGCTGTCGACCTTGAGCTTTTCGTATGACGTTGTACCAGAGTGATTCTCGCTAAACCCGACTAAGCTGATGTTGACTGTATACGCTTCGCCCAGTATCGGTTTCTGAAAACTGATGGAAGAAACGGTGTTCGTGGAGTTTGCAACTGCAATAACTGAGCTGGCTAAGGCCGAAGCAAGATAACTTGAAACCCCACACTCGAATCGCCTTATTGCTTCTAGCGTTAGTTCCAGCAGCGCTTCGACCTGAAGACGTTCACTCTCTCTTCCACGCGCATAGCTTAGCAGTCGAATCACTCTGCCAAATCTGTTAAACCTTCTATAATTGATAATTTCACACCTGCGCTTCCTCCCAGCACTGAGATTTCCTTACGCGCAAACCAGAAGCAGTCGAGAAGGCGACAAGTAGGAACGGCTGCAGCCCACGCGGGATCTCAGTCGCCGTATCACACTCATCTCAACACCAGCAAATAATAACGCGGCACCATGTCGAACTGGGGACTGCGGCTGAACCCGTTCAGCAAGGGCTACTCGCAGCTCGAGATGGACCAGATGCGCTTCGTGCATCAGGCCTTCTGCGAGGCCATGGAAGTGAGCGAAGAGGACCTTCCCACCGCGCTGCGGATGGATGACAACTTCTACCCTCTGCACAACCCCACCATCTCGGACTTTGACGAGAATTCGTACCTCCGTAAGATGCAGGACGTCGTAGGTCTACTGCGTAACCCCGCTGAAGCCATCATCTCGAGCATCTGCGCATACCAGCGCGAGCGCTACGACCGTACCTTCGCGTTCTCGGGTTATCTCAACGACCCACGTACACTATTGCTTGAGGAATTCAAGGACTGGGCCATGCGTACACTGGCACCGGCCACGTGCACAACCGAATCGATCCTCATTGAGGTGCGACGCAGACACAGCTACGTACTGAGATTACAGCATGGCCAACAAGGTCTGTTCCACTCTGGAACGGGCGAGCGGTCACTGCTAGGGACGCTCAAAGATGTGAGGAACGTCTTTGAGACACGAGTGCTCCCCACTATCGAGACGGAACGCGCTCACTCGTCGGCAAGAGAACAGCTGCACACATTGGAAGCTAGAGGCACAGACGGACTCATGCACGGCGTCCAGTTCCTCTTCTATGTGCTGCGGAACACGCCTAATACGCCGGCAGACTGCACGATCAGCAACCTACAGAGTCAACAACATGCAGGCATGAAGGACGCCATGGGGAGCAAGTCAGGACAAATGCTCGAGGTGCTACTCACGACACCATCTTTTAAGTACGTACAAGGTGTCATTTTATTCAATATGTAGCAAGTATTCAACGTCGTTTTGGCTGTGTGTATTACAGAGAACTCTTCCCACAGAACCAGGCTGCCATCTCCCCTCAGGATTCACTACCATCACTACTGTTAACGAACGAGGAAGAGGAAGAAATGACCAAGACGGCTGTGTTCTGCGATACTGAAGCCAAGCCACAAGTGCCGACGGTGTTGACGCGCCAGCTGCGACGCAACTCCAACCCGAACGAGGTGGCGATTACTCCGTCTGATTTCCTACAACAGAGCAACTCTGGCGTTGTTACACTACGGAAAGAGGTTCGAGAGGAGACGTTCGACGCGTTTACCAAGCTGCACGGCTTGCTGAAGCTGCTGGCTGATCTGCTGGTGTCGTGCCGTAAAGCGCGACAATTGGCTGGCCCCGGCGGTGATTTGCTCGTGTATGGACCTGGTGGAGAGGAGGTTCGTCGGTTGATGCAGTCGCTGGAGGCTGTGCAGACAGAGATCAGTAAGGAAGTGAGTCAGCTGACGCGTATTGGCGTCCGTGAGCTGGATCGTCTCAAGCCCAACCAGGAGAAAGGCTGGCGCTGGAGTTTTAGCAGGGTGTTGCCTCTTGAAGGCTACTTGGCTCGTGATTTTGGCGCGTGTGTCGAGCCGATTCAGCGCATGTATGCGAGCGCTGACCCACTGCACGTGCAGAAGATGTACAAACAATTCAAACAAGCCACAGGATTGTGGGTAGAGGAGAACAGCTCCATCTGCAGGTATGTTACGGCAGCGTTAGGTGGAGGCTTCATTGAAGATGAAGCACACAAGTATCAGCAGTTAGAAAATGGCGAAGAGGAGCCGGAGGGTCATGCGAAGATCGAGTTATTGGAGGACGAAACCCCGTCAGACATGAGCCAAGCGCTTGTTGTAGCAGGAGCTGGTCACAACAGCAAGAATCAGAAAGTCTCGTCGTCGTCGCAGCAAGAGGATCGGATCGTGCTGTTGGAGGACGAGGGCTCAGAGAATGACCCTAATGCGGAGAATCAGCTCGTGGTAGCGAACCGAGCTGCTGTTCTAGGACCGAAGAAACAGTCGAGCACGGATAGCGGCTTCTTCTCGTCACTTGTGTCGTGGGGCGTCGGAGGAAAGACGCGTTCGACTGTTAACGAAGATGGTAGCAGCCCCGTGCACTCGGAAACAGACGAAGATGATGAGGTTGAAAAGGGTCCATCGTCGTCTACGTCGTCTAAGGAAGCTGCGGATATCGCAGCTGCGCAGGGAGGCGTGTTGGACACGCTGCTGCTCGTGCGTCAGTCTATTCAGCGTATCGGTCAGTTGTCGTGGGGCGTCCGTACTTCGTTCCATACTTCGTCTATTGATGAGGGCGATTTCGATGCGTTCATCGTGTTGTGCTCCATCTACGAGACTTGTGGCGTCCCGTGCTCCAGTGATTTGTTGCTACGTGTTAGATTGCACCGCACGCGTCTATCGCAGCTGCTGAAGAAGCACATCCAGTCGATTCTGAACTGCGTTGTGGTGCTGCAGCGTCGAATCGTGGATGAAGAGAAGAGTATTCCAGGCATGACGCTAGTGTACCGTCGATTGAGGGCGAATCTTTCGGACTTTGAGAGTGAGATGGACGATCTGCTGATCAAGTTCAAGCAGGTGATGGTCGAGTGCTCTAAGATGAAGGCAGGTATTCTTGCCATGCCGCTGTCGCAACAGCGCGAGTCGAACGACGTTATTGGCATGGGCGCTTATGCGTACAACTCGATCAATGCGCTGGCGTCCAGTTTTGGCCCCGCATCGGTCCCGTCCGAAGCCATTCTGTCGCATGGCGAGTACATGACGCAGTTGAGGTCGCAGCTGGATCTGCATTGGAACAGTATCTCGCACCTCTTCCAGAGTCTTCAGGGCACGGTGGAGGCTGTCACCACCGTTGATGACCGTCTAAGGGTACGTGGGAACCGAATTTTAGGAATTGAAGGAGGCTGACGGTTTTTGTTGCTGATCTAGGGATACGCGAAGTTCCCGGACATCACTGTGCCACCCCAGCAGCTGGATTACATTTTTGAAGTACGTTCTTGTAGCTGATGCTCGAGATGGCTGACGTGGCTGCTAACTCGTTTGTGATTGCAGTTTAACTACGACGGCTTCTTCCGCCAGACGACTAAGGACTTGGAGGTTTTACTCGCTTCGTTCGACGCGTCGAAGTAAGCACAGCACAAGTCCGCCTGCTTGGTTCTCAGCGCGAAAGCTAGCTGAGTACTTGAGCTCGATATGGTGTCAGTCGTTAGTCTTGCTTGTTACTTGATCCCGCTGTTTATTACTATAAAACTCTCTCAGCGATTCATACACATACATGGAAAACTGCAGTACGCTGTTGTCTTTACAGTATTCTACACTGAATGCCCTTTAGATCTTGGTGCAGAAGCTGCAGTTTGGGAAGAGATACTCCGCCTCAGCGTAAGGCTTGACCTTCTTGGAGAGGTAGTGTCCGAGGAAATGTTGGCGGTCTACGAGGCCCTCGCGAGACTGTACTTGCGCTACAGACGAATATCAAAGAGGAGGAAGCTGCTTACCTGGAGGAGACGCCAGCGGAAAACATTATCCACGGTTCATCGAATGAGATGGCGACATTTAATCCTGATGGAGACTCGTCTCCGTCACACGCGCAGACGAACACTCAAAACTGACCGAATTTTACGCCATCGGTTTGAGGTAGTGAAAGTGTGTTTTGTCGTCCCAATTAAGGAGACTAGCTACATTTAAACCCAAGTTTGGTCCAGTGCAAGCTCAAAAGGACGTCTTGGCTTGAGAGCAAACTTTGCCTCTGAAGATGTCAGGTTAAACTGCATCCGCATACCGTGTCGTTCTGGAAAACTGTATTGTCGTTAGATTAGAGCACATCGAGAAAGTCGCTATTAATAGCAGGCGGTGGCACTGCTGCAGTTGCAGTCATTGCTAAAGTAGCAGCCTGTATGTCGGTGGACAAAGTCTCGTGTGGCTTCACCATCGCGGCCTCCACCTCTCTCTTCCTCTTCTTTAGCTTGGAAGCCTGGTAACTGGCGTCTGCTGCACCCTTCCCAGTTGCAGGATGGGTAGTTGTCTTTACAGTCTTCTGCCCTTTGCCTCCTTTGTATGATGTATGACTATTGAAGGCAGCAGAGCTGTCGACTACCCCGCTAATGCTGTCGGCTCCCTTGCCCACTGACAACGTGACTGTGAGCTTGCGTCGTCCCGTGCCCTCCTCCTTGATCGTGTTGTAGATGTCTACCTGATCAAAGCTGGGTTCACCTGCCATGCTGGTATAGAAGCAGCAGTTGGAAAAGAGATACTCCGTCTCCGCGTAAGGCTTGATCTTCTTGGGATTGGCGTCCTTGCGCGGCTGCTTGGAGTCGATGAAGCCATCCCAGCCGCGGATAATGTTGCCGTGCGGGGTCTCTTCGAGGTAAACAGCTTCCTCCTCCTCGATCTGCGTCTGTAGCGCTAGTACAGTCTCGTGAGCGCGCCGCTGCGCCTCGTAAAGCGCCAACATCTCCTCGGACACGACCATTTTGGTATGCTAATGCGAAAATATGCTATTAGGAAGGGTGTGGACTCTAAATTTTTGACATGTGACAGAGCTCAGGTTTATTTAGAAACTCTAAATGTTTGACATGGGACAGAAATTGATACTTATTCCAGCTACATTGAACCTTACACTGCATTCTCGGCGTCGTCGTGGTTCTTCGCCATCTCAGCTAACGACATCGGAGAATTGGGCGAGGATGTTTTGGGGCTGCGCTCTGCTTCTTGATCCCTGGGACTGGTGGTTGAAGTATTCATTGCTGCGCGCTTAACCGCTGCGATTGACTCGTCCACTTCTTGCTGCTGATCGCGTGGACGACCACCGAACAGTGGCTTCAGGTACTCCTCATCAATGCGTTCCCAAAGGCCATGGATACCACTGACTTTGCGACGGGGAGTTGAGCGATCAATGGGGCGGAATGAAGTGTCCGCGTCATGCTCGACATCGTCGCTCAGCAGACGTTCGTTCACACCCTCGCTGTCAAGAAAACAGTGTTAGAACTCTACCAAGCATTGTCCATTAAGAAATACGAGTAGAAACCAACGTACTCGTCATGTGCTCGTTCCTGCTCCTGTCTAGCTGTCAAGCCAAAGTAGCGAAGCACCGGACTTGTACCCATTCCAAAGACCTGCCCATTAAATGCATGCGTTAGATAGAGACAATTGACAGTTCGACCACTCGTGACACCTACCAGAGTCGTAAACATGACGGTAAATAGCGTCGTGCTTTGTATGACACTTGCATGCACACGGTTGGGTGTGTAGACATTCAGGGCCAGAGCAAAGGCAATTGCACCTCGTAGTCCAGCAAACCAAATAACCACCATGTGACTCAACGGAATCTTGTTGTCTTCTGACCGTCCAAAGTTCGCAAGCATGCACATGGGGAACGTGTTCAGCAAGCGACCCACAAGACAAGCGACCAAATTGGCGAGAATAAATCCCCAGTCCCATGTAAAGTACCCAGAGTACGCCACCACACTCATTCCCATGTAGACGAATACAAAGTTCTCGGCCAAAAAGGACGACGTCGTCAGTAGATGCCTCAGAGCCGTTGCGCTCTCGTCTGCAATGTTGTGCAAGTGGTAGTGGCTCATCAGCACCCCCGAGAAGAACAGCGCCACGATACCGCTCATTCCAACGAGGTCAGCGATCACGTAACTCAAGTACGCAGATAGCAGTACAATTGAAATCTCGTAGGAAGGATATTGCTGAAGTACTGGGTCGGCTTGCTTGAGTAAAAACGCCGACGTGAAGCACACGACTGCTGCCAGACCCACTGAGCCGAAGCCAATACCGAACACCTCGATAATAATTAGACCCGCGTTATTCAAGGTAACGTCAGCTATACCATCTCGAATAAGGCCTTGAAACAGTGTAAACGACACAATAGCTGGGGATACATACGCCAACGTAGTTAGTTACAAGCATTTGTCAGCAACAGCATCAATAAACTCACCAACGCCGTCATTTAGCATGCTTTCACCGAAGACAAGATTGAATAGAAGTGGAGGGACACCATTCTTTTTGAACACTGACAGTGTGGCGACTGGATCCACTGCTGAGATAAGAGCGCCGTAAAGATACGCCTCTGCAGCCGTCAGCTTGGTGATGAGACCCATGTCTCCAACCCAAAGCAGTATCCCACCCGTGATGAACGTCGCGATTAGTGTTCCCACGATAGCTAGCAGCATGATTGCGTTGAAGTTGGAGAAAAATCCCTGAAAGAGAAACAGATCGTGGTGAGTCACCAAACTGGTTCGCCATCAGTGTCAACTACGTTATACCGTTTTCTTCATATTGAATCCAGCTTCCAGGATAATCGGTGGTAACAGCCTACATACACACCACGAACACCACAATAAATTATTTATGGCATCTTTTTTTTATCCACCCACTCGCCTACTCACGCGTAGAAGAGCACTTCAGGGTCCATGCCATTGTTTAGTGATTCCTACAGCGTAGCATCCGCTGCCGATCAGTTCACTATCCACACAAATAAGCCTATTTATTTACCAGCCTACCATCGGATAAAAGATCAGTATGCTGGCACCAAACTGCTCACGAAGGAGAACAATCCAAAGGTCAGTCGAATCCAAGTATTCGCCCTCCTCACTTGCATTCCAGATTGACCCACCAAAACGCCGAAAAAGATGGCAACAGCTGACTCGGAGATCAGCATCGGGTGCTGTGAGCGGTCCATGCGGTAGGCAACCAGCACCAGCACTAGCTGCAGACTAGCGATAATGCAGAGCTCCAGTCGCGTCCATTCAGCACGGCCCTGTTCCTGCGTAGCTGCGGCTCCTGAACCCGTGATTCCACGCGCCGCGTCCAGCACGGCATTGCCAGTGGCCGACGCGGAGAACTCCGGCTCCCAATTGTCCACCATTATTGCTCAACAACCCTCTTCTCTAGTCGTCCCAAAAGCGAATGAGGACGGATCAGACGGACGCGAACACTTAATTGGGACACCCATCAGATTCTCGGTTAAGTACGACAAAATGTGACTTGATAATTGTAAGGTCTGTGTACCATCTCAAAAACTGGGTCTGTCTAATTGGTTTCTGCACGAGCAGGCCACCGCGACTTCAAGGCATCGAGATCTGCGCGTGTATCGACGCCTGGCAAGGTTGAATCCACTTGCACTAATTTGATCCGATACCCTGCGGACAGCACTCGAAGCTGCTCCAGATCTTCAGACTCTTCAAGATCCGAAGGAGGTAAAGTCGGAAACTCCAGCAAAAAATCCTTACGGAACGCGTACATCCCAACGTGGCGAAGATATGCCGTTGTTTCAGGAGAGAATATGCCGGTCTTGGAATGCGGGATCATTGCTCGCGAGAAGTAGAGCGCGTTGCTGAGCATGCCACCCCCACAAGCACGTTATAGACTTCCTCACACAATTACCTATCATTGAATCAACGCACCTATTACGATCAGCTACACATTTGACTGAATCTTGACTACGGGCCTCTCGCTCGTCAAATATCGGTGTAGCTAGAGTGCTCATCACGCTGTCAGGTCCAGCGCCACGCAACGCCTTGATGCACATATCAATGTGTCTCGGGTTCACGCCTGGCTCATCGCCCTGAATGTTCACCACGATATCGTACTCGTTTAGCTCCTCAGAACCCATAAGGTGCAGCGCCTGCACAATTCGATCTGTGCCCGTATTACAGGCTCCAGTGAGCACCGTGTCGCCACCAACGCCCTGAATGACCCTCAGCACGCGCTCGCTGTCACTTGCCACAACTACTTTCGACAGCAATTTTGATCCCTCTGCTGCTGCATAGGTGTGTTCAATCATAGTCTTACCAAAGAACTCGGTCAACGGTTTCCCTGGAAAGCGCGTCGAGCCCAGTCGCGCCGGGATCACGCCCAACGCCTTCATATTCGAATTTGCGCAAACCCGGAGTTTTTTTTGTGAGCCGCAGCAATTTGGACCAAATCGCAGATGTTAATACTAGTACTACTAGTACTACTACAAGTCTAGTAGTACATGTAGCTGCTCCAATTCTCATTTTGATACTTGTATTAATATCTTTACCGGTATTATTAATACGTGTACACTGTACTGTACCGTCAAAAATGTTGTCCCATTTTATCGCACCAGACCCTAGCCATTAGTGGACATTGACCAATCACACATGCGAGGATTTTTTAAAGAAAAATTTAAGTAAGCTGGACCAATTTAATACGAGGCAAAATGTCAGTTTGTTCACTGTCAATTTGCGAGCATGCAGCTCGAGGAAGGCCTACGCAAGCCCAAGGAGCAGCACGACGACTCGTCGGACGAGGGCAAGGACCGGCACTCGGCCGCACCTCGCAGCAACAGCGGATGGGGATCAGCGTTTCATGGTGCCACCAGTTATGAGCACTGGGTGAAGCTCATCGCACTGGGGTCGCTGGGTGTCTGGATGATTTTTGTTCTCTTCTTCTGGCACACCGGCGTCGCTCCTGCGCCAGTTTCGAAGCAGGCAGCGGCAAAACTGAAGAATATCAATGCAGAACCCTCGATTCTTGATGGATTCCCCGAGGAGACCAATTTTATTGTGTTCGGAGACTTTGGCACGGGCGATGAGAACCAACGCAGAGTGGCTATAGCGCTCCAGAACTTTACGGCCACAATGGTCCCATCCCCGGCGTTTCTACTATCGACTGGAGATCAGATTTACGAGCATGGGTAAGTACTGTAATAGCGTTAAACTCGATGAGACGTATTAACTGTGATTTGGGCCGCTACCGTATGTATGTATACATGTAGAATTGAATCGGTGAACGATCCTTTGCTGTCGCCACGCTTCGAGAAGGTATGCAGCAGACATCAGATTGAAATGGGTAACTGGGGCTGATCAAGGAATCTTGTTGCAGATGTACACGAGTCCCAAGTTACAGATACCGTGGTATGTCACGATTGGAAACCATGACTGCGAAGGCTCAATCGACGCAATGCTTCGATATGCCGACAAGAAGGATTCGCTGTGGTATATGCCTCGTCGATATTACTCAATCGATCGTCCTGTGGCACCAAAGACGATTTTGCGCCTTGTCGTCGTTGATGCATGTGATTTGGTCTGTGGTCGCGAGCCTCGTGACTTCCGCTGCACTGACAGGATGATCAAACAGTCCTCGGTGAAGACGAGGCAGTCGCAGTACGAGTGGATCGAACAAACGCTGAGTGCTAGTAAACCGTCAGGTGTGGAGCAAATGTGGACAGTCGTCATGGGCCATTGGGGCGTGTACAGCTTCGCCGGTAACGCAGATACGCCCGAGCTGATTGGCATGTTGGACCCCATGCTGAAGAAGTACAAGGTGCACGCGTACTTCAATGGACACGACCACTCCATGCAGCACGTCCGGAAAGTGGACAATGATGGCTCGGTCCGCAACTACTTCGTATCTGGGTGCTGGCGGCTATCGAATCCACACGCTGCAACCTAAAGCTCGCGCAAATCCGGACTTGGTGCATGCGGCCTTGACACATGGCTTCATGTCCGTGCACATGACACGGACGTACTTCCGTGTTCAATTTGTAGACGACACAAGTGAAATCCTCTACTCGACCGACGTGAGATACCAGTAAGCCGGCCACCAGTAAGTTAGATAAATCAACGCCGAGATAGATATAACTGAGTACGTGTTTCCAGATTATTGTGTATGTCTGCTGCCGCCCGTCGCCTCCATCCTCATCGTCTGTTCTAATTACATTGTTTTGCTTCTTCCTTGTCTCCTACAGCGGGCGGATCAAAGAGCTTCCCAGATGACGTCTACGCGTCCTTCTTGAGCGAGTGCCAGCTGAACTCCTTAGCCTTAACGAGCTGCAGCACGAGCTGATCCTCTTTGCGCTTGGTCTTGATATCTGAGATCTCATCGTAGAGTTTGGACATCACGAGAAGCCGCGTCTTGCCCTCGTAGTTCTTGATCTTGACCGTGAGGCTGGTGGCCGTCCAATCGATGTGCGTATCCTCCTCGTTGTAGGCACCGATGCCAGGCAGCTTCAGGTACATGGATACACGTTTCTTTCCGTCAGCCCATGCGTAATTAGTGATGGCTTCCGTCACTTCCGCAGACTGGGACGCAGCCATCGACTGCGTTTTAAGCAGGCGAGGCGCAGCCTTGCCATCCCACTCGTGGATCTCCACGTCCTCGCGCTTCTTGTGCGCGTAGTAGTAGCTGTTGGTGCCTTTGGTTTTAATGTTCGAGTGCAATGCTGAGGTCTCCTCTTCGGACAGAGTCGGCTCAGCGGCGGTGTTCTCCATTGCTGAGGCAGCGGACAATCCTATTGACGTGTGGGAGGTGAGAGTGCAAGTGGCTCTTGACGTCAGCACAGAATAAGTTTCTAGAATCGCACTTAACCATTCGTCCTTGAAGGTAATCTACAGTACAATAGTGCTATTTACGTAAATTAGCAATATTTTGATGCGCAAAAAAGGACGCGCTCTGAATTCAAAGTTTCAAAAATGCTTAGTAAATAAGAACATATTGTAATTATTGACCTGATGGGGCATTTTCTTTAAGTACCTTTTAAAAAATGTTTTGTCGAAATAACCTCGGTTTATTAGCAGTTAAGTTAGTGAGTGGAAACTTTCTATAGAAGGCAACGTGCTCGCAAATATTTCTATATCGTTTCCTGGCTGTCAAAGTGTAGCATGGCGAGTCCGAGCGCGGAAGTACGGCGCCTTGAGCGCGCGTCGTCGTCGTCCGTGCTGATGAGCCCTCCATCAAGTCGCGGAATCTCGCGCAAGCGCTCCCACAACGCGTCCGAATCAGATCTTCTCAAGCCGTCGAGCAGTCACAAGAACGGCGTCTCGAGCGCCAAGAAAAGCAGGACCGATCCCAGCAGTGGCTCCACCTGCAGCGCCAGCAGCAAGAGCGTCAGTAGTATTATCGTTGTGCCCTCTCAAGCTATAGCAAAGGCTAATATCCTTAACTTCTGTGCTTGTAGGCGTCGGACCGCTTCATCCCGACGCGCAGCGCCATGAATTTGGAACTGGTACAATGCAACTCGCCCGACACAGTGGCAGCCATTGAGGCAGCCTCAAACAGAAACAAGAACAGTCCCAGTCAGTCAGGAGGAGGATTCAACGCCGCTGAAGATGAGGAGAAGCAGATCTACAAGAAGCGACTGGCCAGCGCACTACTGGGCAAAGAAGACGACTCAAAACACAAAATTTTGAAATTCACAAAGGCCAAACCGGCAGTAGCCCCTCCGGACTCATTTAAGTCCACGCTGCAAGCCAGATTCTCTCACAACAAGGTGAGTGTGGTGCCCGCGGCTGCCGCGAAGAAGCTGAACCGCCACGTCCCCTCGGCGCCGATCAAAGTGCTGGATGCCCCCCGAGTTAATGAACGACTACTACCTCAATTTGCTGTCCTGGGGGAGCCAACAATATCCTCGCAGTGGCACTAGGACAGTGTGTGTACCTCTGGAACGCTGCTTCGGGTGAAATTAGTGAGCTCATGGGTCTGGATGGAGACGAGTATGTGAGCTCGGTACAGTGGAGTGACGCAGCTGGTGGCTCGGCACATTTGGCTATTGGAACAAGTGAGTCTGTGGTTCAGCTGTGGGATGTCGCTGCGTCACGTCAAGTGCGAACGATGAACGGCCATTCGTCGCGTGTAGGTGCGCTGGCTTGGAACAGCTACGTCTTGTCCTCGGGATCTCGCGACAGTACGATCATCCACCACGACGTTCGTGCACGGCAGCATCAGCTGTCGACACTGACGAGTCATGAACAGGAAGTGTGCGGACTGCAGTGGTCTCCTGACGGCACAACGCTGGCGTCTGGAGGTAATGACAACGCACTATGTCTGTGGAAGGCTGGAAGTATTGGGACGAGTCGCAGTATGCAAGCGCCCACACACCGACTGGAGCAGCACACGGCGGCAGTGAAGGCGATCGCGTGGTGCCCTTGGGAGCGTAACTTGCTCGCTACTGGTGGCGGTACTGCTGATCGCACGATCAAGTTTTGGAATACGACGAACGGAGCCTTGCTGAACTCGGTGGATACAGGCTCGCAGGTGTGCTCGCTGTTGTGGTCTGCCACAGAAAAGGAGCTACTATCGTCGCACGGATACTCGCAGAATGAACTGTGTTTGTGGAAATACCCGAGCATGACCAAGGTGAAGGAGCTCACAGGCCACACTTCTCGTGTGCTGCACTTGGCAGCGTCGCCTGATGGTGAGACGGTTGTTTCCGGCGCTGCCGATGAAACACTGCGTTTTTGGAAGGTATTCGGCCCCAACCGAAAGGCACGGAAGGCTGGCTCGGCCACCGCTGAGCTGACCAGTTCGTCGCTGTCGAGCGTCATGAGCATTCGATAAGGCGTCGCATATTGCTCTTCAATGACGCTGTCACGACGCCTTTGCACTTTGTGCTTAACTCTACGGTGGTAACGCGGTAGGTTTCGTATTAAATGCCCAAGTGTATGTGCTCATTATAATGTGAGTATGTGCTGAATGACGTTCGCTTAGATTCGCGTAAAGTGGACGGATTCCTTTGACAGCATGAAGTAACAGGCTCGTATATATTAGAAGAAGGAGGTTCGATGAGCGTGACGAAAGTGTCGTCGGAGAAAGAAAAGGATGTTGGCGATATTCTAATGAAGTTTGTGCTTGTAACCGCGAGATGTTTCGAGATCGGAGCGTCTTGTTATCTGTACGATCTCATGTCTTTTGCGTGTTGATGTGCAGATTTCTCTCGCAAAAATAGTCGAGAACAAGCTGCATGGGGAAAAGAAACGCGATCGAGCAGGCAGTTCTGAGCTCACGCGTGCACCTTTGATCACTGGTACTGTTGCCATTGCGAAGCTTACCGTGCACGGCTAAAGATGCTCAGAAGCAGTGTTGAAATGGAAGACGCGGCTGCTGATATCACGCGTCAAGCTGAGCTGGTGGTGATGGATTGTTTGAAGAGTTGGAACTGCCCGCGAGCGTTGGATGCGTTCATGGATAAATCTTCTGCTGCTGACGGGTCAGCAGTTGCAAGCGAGCGGTTCTCGAACGACATGAAGGCCAAAACGAAGGCTGCGAAGGACGGTATGAGTCTGTTGGAGTACTTGGTCAGCAGTGTTGGAGATCAAACGTCCAGCAGTCGACAACGATCAAAATCAGCTAAGGACGACGAGGCTGAGTCTGGTGTTGAGTGGACGAAGGAAGACGTTAGTGCGTTGAAGTCAGCAATCAAGAAAACGAGCGCCGTGGAGGAGAAGAATGCACGATGGAAGGCAATCGCGGTGCTTGTAGGGGACGGGAAGACAAAGAAGCATTGCTATCTCAAGTACAAAATACTTAAAGAGGAACAGGCTGCTGCGAAGAAAAAAGCGTCACCTCGTCGTAAGCGCTCCAGTAACAAGAGCGATCCGGACGAGAGGGAATTGAGTAACTCAACAAGTGAAAAGGCTATCGATAATGAAAATGACGCACCGGAGAATAATGGTAAGATAAAGCAGGGTAATCCATCTCCCAAAGCAGATTCTTCGACATCAAAACCTTTGGAAGAATCGACAGCTTTTGCTGTTTCTTGTCGAACTCCACCTCCTGTTGATCAAATCCCTCGAGCCATGTTGGAGACTCTGGAGATGGAAGATTGCGAAGATATGGGGATGCTGCTTGATCAACCAACAACTGGTAGAGCTCAACCAAGTCGGACAAACTGCAGCTTTAGGTCTCCATTTTCTGGTGGCGCGACGCGAACTCCGACTGCTTCAGATGTTGCAGCAGTACAGCAACTTCTCTTTGGTACAAACAAGAAGACATTCAGCAGTCACTGGGAAGAGCAGGTGCGTTGTAATGCTGGTATCGTTGCGCGATTTCTTTAGTGCTGACGAATCTCCACAGGGCTTCGTGTTTACGACAGTGCAAGATCTCCAGTATGGCTTAGTTCAGCATCAGGGTGGACCATGCGGTATCTTGGCTGTGGTCCAAGGCTACGTATTGCGCTTCTTACTGCAACATGCTCCTCATGTCTGGAAGAACGTAAGTACATTGTCTTCTACTGAAACTGGCCAGTTTTCAAGACTCATTTTATTGTTTTGCAGCCAGACGTCCCACACCAAGAGCGCGCGTTAGTTCAAGCATTAGCCCACATCCTCTGGCAAGCAGCTCAAGCTTCCAGGGTTTCCGAGTGTGTCCTCGCCTTAAAAGACAATAGCAAAGCTGGACAACGCAAATTCATGGCCGGCTTAAACCTACACGTTGCCACGACTGAAGAGCAAACCCGACAGATCCTCACGACGTACTTACCACAGTTCATGGACTCCAAAGGCTCCGGTCTAGTACAGTTTGTGTTCTCTGTTCTACTCACTAAAGGCGTCGATACCATAAAAAGCGAAATGGACCAACTCGCAGGTGATTCAGGCGGCCAATTGATTGGAGCTCACGACTACTGCACACAAGAGATCGTCAACCTTTTGCTGTGCGGTTATGCACGCAGCAACGTATTCGACGGAGAGCAGGTTCTCGAAGGCACAAGTGGACCAGATACAGACACACTGGTGCTTCACGGTATTAGTTCTCAATGTGTCATCGGCTTCTTATCACTGTTTGAGGCGTACCAGAACCTGGTTGTGGGGTCTTACCTCAAACAGCCTCGTGTGAACATCTGGGTCGTCTGTAGCGAGTCGCACTACTCGGTTCTGTTTACTGCCGACCCACGATCATTGGAGGATCGCGCATTGGACACCCGATCGAGCGTCGAGTTGCTGTACTACGACGGGCTCTCTAACCAGGACGAGGAGATCCGTCTAACGGTCGACACGTTTGCACTGGCCGAGAACAGCGCAATAGCAAGCCACAACGACCTCATCCCGCCGCTTGATCTCGTAATTCGTACCAAGTGGCCTCGAGCGGCGGTGGACTGGAACGGAGTCGAACCATTACTATGAGCAACAGAATAAGTTCAGCCAGTTCTTCAACTTCGACTTACCTGCCAATCAAATAAGTTTACGTTAATTATAACCAATCAAACGTCTTAAAAAGCAGCTCTTGCTACTGAATCTAATTTGTTTTGAGGTTTCGGATTGGTTAATGCAGTTCTTAGAAGTAAAGATGAAAAAAAAAAACAGAACGGTTATCATGGCAGTTGAGTCCAGCATGAGCGTGGGGCTTGTCTGCATTCGCATGAACCGACGTTCTGCAAGAGAGCGCAGTGCAACTGGAAGAAAGAGGACTGCGGAGAAGAAAAGTCGCGAGGACAGGCCAGCGTCGCACCGGCGTCTTGAGCTCAGATCTCCTCGTTCTAAGCGATATATCCACCTCCACCTAAATTCACAAGTCGATAGAACCTGAATTCTCCACGCTTTCGGCCAATTTCGACGACGTCGACGCATGGAGTCGGTCATGCTGCGTGTCCGGCTGCTGCTGGGGACCATGGCACTGGGCTATGGTGTCATCTTCGTGCTCTGTATATGGCTCGTCGTCTACATGCGATATTATCGATCTGGAGCATTACGAGGAGACACAAGAGCAGCACGTAGAGTGCTTCTACCAGCTTTTCAACCTCTGCTGTGGCTACTTACTGTAGTATCCTTAGCATACACCATTTGCATCACGTTGATGCTGGTACTGGGACCGGAATTGGGGGACTCTGGACTCGTGAGATCCGAAGTTTATTACAGTGGACGGCTCTTTGTGATTGCATTACCAGTGCTGTATCTACAACAGCGAGCGGTGACATTGAGAGCATTAGTGCGAGCGTCATTGCTTTCGTTATTACTTGCAACTTATAATATCCCGCTAGTATGGTCAGTGAGCAAAGTAGCGGACGCGAGGACAGCACATTATGTGACAATAGCAACTGGAGCCTTTCCATTGTTTGTGCTGGGATGGATATGCTTGAGGCCGTCAGAGAGAGCAAGTCAGAAGACAATGCGCGAGTATGCGGCGTTCGTGGTGATTTACTATGTGTTGAGGTTGACGTACGGGGAGTTGTTGTATCTCGGTCATAACTTCAGAGACGCCGCATTCACAGTGACCCTAGTGTGTGTTTTCTGGGGGTCTTTAGTGCCTGTGGTGATATGGCGAGTACTCAAGGCCGATACTGATCACTGGAGGGGTCTTGGACGACGTGCAGTACATCTCCAATCGCTATTTCGACAAAAGTATCATTACCTCCACGAACGCGTATCATCTCGAGGACTTCATGTTCTCATTGAAATGCACCGGAAGCAGATAATTGATTTTGCGTATCTTGCATTGCAACGAAAGATCGGTGCTGGTGCGAGTGCAGTAGTGTTCCAAGGCATGTTACACTCCAAGGTTCCAGTTGCAGTCAAAGTGTACACGCCGCGTGTACTAACGGAAGAGGTTGTGGCCGAATTCTCACACGAGGCAGCACTGTGCGGTGCTTTTCACCACCCCAATGTCGTCCGATTCTACGGCATGTGTGTGAGTCCACCCACGGTATGTTTAGTCTCGGAATTGTGCCAAGCTTCGCTCGAAGACGTCACACGCACCAGTGCTAGATTGAGGTTACTATATCAGCAAAATCATGAACACGAGGCTGGACAAGATATCAGTCTTCCGAGCCGACTACAAGAGCGTCAACAACTCCTGATTGACCTCAACTTCATGATAGACGCTACACGCGCTGTCGTGTATATGCACAGCTTCACACCAGCTTTCCTACATCGAGATCTTAAGCCATCGAACTTCCTGGTTGACGACTTTGGTACCTGTAAACTGACGGACTTTGGAGAATCACGCAGCGTTCCGACAATGCAAAAGGACGACAAACTGAAGGCTGTAACTGATACGACAGGTGCTACTGCGTCAACGTCAGCCACCGTGTTCTTCGGAGAGTCTTATATGGGGATGCAGACTCCGACCACCTCGACACCGTTTGTGTCTCCTCCTGTGTCACTGCGGCCTTCAATGCGTGACCGCGGACGCAGTGCGATGACTGTCCGTGGTACAGCAGACTATATGGCTCCAGAGCTGATTGAAGGCAAGGCTGGTACGGCTGTTTACGGCGAGGCTGCTGATGTCTACTCGCTCGCGATCACGTTGTGGGATATTGCGAATCCTCTTGTACCCAAGTACCCGGAGGCAACTCGAAGTCATCTCCAAGTTTTCGACAGCGTTCTTAATGGCGAACGACCTCCACTCAGTTCATCGCTACACCCTGAATTGCGGAGATTGTTTACAGATGCGTGGCACCAGCAACCAGAGCGTCGACCGTCTGCGACCTACATCCTCACGGCGCTAGAAACGCTTCAACAAGAGGTCAGTGCTCACACCGCGTTGGGTCTTGCTACAGCACTAGAGCGTTGCGAGGCGCCGTCTATGGTGAACGGTCAAGTTCTTATGCAGCGTATGCTTGAGGTTGGCTATGTGGACTCCGCGGCGGAGGCTTATCGGATGGGGAACTCGCTGATGAGTGCCGGTTTCCTGCACCATTCGCGGCATCTTGAGTCGTTCCGAAAGACATCCGAGCTCTTTTATTTTGATTCGGATGTGTTGGAATTGTACGCACCTGCCACACCCGACGGCACTCTATTTACACCGTCAAGTCCTTTTAGCGCCACCTTCTCTGACGAAATGCCTGGTCGTCGGAACAAGCATCGACGTCGAGCTACAGATTCTCCTATGGCGACGCGATGTTTCTCTCCTCCTGCTGTAAAGAAGCGAAGCTCGACGACTGCGTGTCATCGCGCTATTACCGAGATTCCTGCCTGTGCCTGTGCTTGTCGGAAACTCGGTCGCGGTTTTGGTAACCAGGAACGCAGACACAAGCGCCGATTCCGAAGAACCAAGAAATGGTTTTCTATTATGGAGGAGAGCGTCTTCACTGGGAAGTTGCGCTCACATAATGCTGCGTCTCATCCGTCTCTAGCGGAGACGGATGGGTTTGAAGAGTACGGTGTTAGTGGCAATTGGGAAGATATGGAGTCTGGCGAGACGACTGGTATGAATGTCTCGGATGTGACCAGCATTGACGAGAACTTGGAGCTTGATCTCGACGACATCGAGAGCACCGCCAATGTGACCTTAGAGAGTGGCTGGGGCTCTCCTCGCTCGTCAATCGTCATCATTTAGAAGAAGCGTCGCTTATTTAAAATTCCAAAAGTAATAAGTAAATTTGAAGTTGAAGTGACTTTTTCCGGTAGTAAATCTACTTCTCATTTTTCCGATTTCTAACCAATCATAATTTTACAGATTAATTCCTCGTACCAGTAGCCAAACACCAAAAAAGTGTATCCATCATGTTTGCCAAGCCTGCCAAGGTGAGCGGCAACGTGCTGCTCAAGAACAAGGACGCCAAGAAGCTCCGCCGCGACGTGGCTGTCTGCTTTAAGGGAACATGTGACGGTCCGGATGATGTCAATCTCAAGCAGCTGCTGGCCTCCAAGGCTTCCGTGAAGAAAATGAGCTTCCAGGCTCCTTCTCGAGTCGTCGTATACGCCTCAGAGGAGACCAAAGAGCCGCTGATCTTCGACACGTCCGGTAAAGGCGATTTGTGCTTCAGTGTGTACGCACTCTGGCGTTTCCCAGCGCTGCTACCGCCTCTAGTGGTGCACGCGCCCGTTAGTGAGTTCGTATTGCGAGGCGCCGATGTGATGCTACCTGGTGTCGTATTTACGTCTGAGGAGCAGCTACAATCGCTCCGTAAGGGCGAACTCCGAGCTGTGTATGCTCGAGGAAATCCGTGTGCAATCGGAGTGGGCGAGATGCTCGTAGATGCGGCCGAAGTGGAACGTAGCGGCAAAAAGGGACGAGCATTGAAACTCTGGCATGTTGTGGGGGACTCGTTGTGGCAGATGGGGCCTCAGACGCTGCCTAACGAAGGATTTCTGGGTGAAATGGTAGTGCCTATTGAAGGAGATGACGAAGATGCTGGTGTGACGCTGGAAGGAGTGACACTGGAAGAGGAAAAGGAGGAGAAAGAGGAAGAACAAGTGACCAAGCAACAGATGGACAGTTATTACGTAGCAGCGCTGCTACAAGCTCTTAGGACGGGGAAGATTCGAGACAAGGAGCTGCCGATACTGGCCAGCTCGTTCCATGCCCAAGTGCTGCTGCCTTGTCGTCGTGCTGGCGTGTCGCTGAATATCAAGCATAGCTCCTTTAAGAAGCTGTCAGTGTTCCTGAAGGTCATGGCGGCGCATGGATTGCTGGCGGTTACTGATAACGACGGCGTGCAATCGATCACTGAAATCGCCAGACGCCATCCGTACGTGTCATTGTTATTTTTCCTCTCTTAACGAAGTCATTGACTGTATTTATATTGGCTATTTGAACAGGGACGTGCTGTCACACGAGCCGTACCAGACTGACGAAGAAGCTCAACAAGACGAACAAGCCGCTGCCAATAAAGCTGCTGGACTACCTGCTTTTGTTCCCGGTCAATACGCGCCAGAAGTGGAGGAGTGCATCGGTCTGTCTCCAGCTCTCAAGACTCTTCTCCCGTTAGTGTTACCGAATGCTTCTGCTGGCCAACCACTACAGAAATACTGGTCAGCTGCTGAGATCCGTGACTTGGTGACTCAATACGTTGAAAGTCAAGGGCTGGTAGATGCTACCGACAAGAAATTTGTGCGACTGAACGGCTCACTCACAGACGCGCTTTACGGCAAGAAAGAACCTGCCGGTGGCTATCCGGAGCGTCTCACTCGACCAGAAATACTAAACCTGTTGCTGTCCAAGTGTACTCATTACCACCGAATTAAGCTCTTCCCGACGCATGCTGCCAAGTTCCATGGTGGCAACCTGAAGCCGATTACGATCCACGCTGCGAAGCTGAAGCGCAGAAACAACACGACAGTCACGTACATTGCGTTCTACCAGCAATTCGGCATCGATGGCGAAGCGTTTGCCAAGGAAGCACAGAAGAAGTGGGGATGTAGTGCTGCGGTGTTGCCGTCGGAGGATAAAAGTAAGGGCGAGGAGATCCAGATCCATGGACACATGGTCAACGAAGTGTTGGAGTACTTGGCCACGAAGTACCGAATTAACGCCAAGTACTGCACTGTGACATACGGCAAGGACGTCAAGGCTAAGAAGAAAAAGTAAAAGTGTACGAAGTCGTGTCTATCTACAAGGATAAAAGACTGACGACGGTCTAGGACGAGGCGGACACCTCTTCTATCAGCGGTGAAGCAGAGGACGTTGCCGATTTGCGCTTCTTTTTCTTCTTGTTGCGAGAGGTAACGTTCGTCTCGGTGGCTGTTGTAGTCGTTGTAGTGGTCTTGCTCTTGGCCTTGTTGGAGGGTTTTTTCTTCTTTGTCGTTTTCTTGCGTTGTTTGTTCTTGATGCGTCGAGCTTCAATGGGATGGCGAAGCACGACGTGGTAGATAATTAACGCTAGAACACACACAGGTGTGAGGTAGAACGACATGTGCGCTCGGTAGAAGCCGTAGGTTGCTTGAATCACGGCGCAAATCTGGAAAGTCGTGGGCACCAGAGCGTGCATCGCCAAATCCACCTTACTCTCGTCTAAAAAGTCCTTGTACTTGGCTGCTTCTTGGTAGTTCCCACTTCCACCTCCGCATAATCGGCACGATCGAATGCAAAAGTCACAGAAATCCCGCGTGTTCGTAAAGCGATACACGCAGTCACAAGACACGACCCGGAATGTGGGGCCTACGTACACCACTTCACCAGTTTTGCCCGTCACAACACGACGAGTAGTTCCATCACTGTACTCAACAAGCACCGATCCAGGGCCTCCGTCCTCGAAAATGCATTTGGGGCAGTTCTCCGCCGTAATCTTGACCGAATTATTGGAGGATTTCCCGTACACTGAGGCAGCATCTTGTCCTGATGAAGCTCCAAAGAAAGCAGTTGGAGGCAGCGGAAGCATGCAGTCAAGCGAAAGACTGATGAGATACGTGAACGCACTCAACACCACGACGTAAGACCCACCTTCCATCAGCAGATCATTCGATAGCTCGGACGGTGCGTGTCGTACAATGCCAGCGAAGTACGCCACTTTGCCTACCCACGGGAAAACAGACAGGAACAGCACAGCGAACAGCGATCGTTGCATGCGTTGCTGGTCCAAAGTGCCAACGTTGTTTCCACTCAGAGCGAGCAAGTAAATAGCGAAGACGACGAACGATCCCAGCACCAGCAGTCCCAATAATTTGGAGGAGTCCGAGGATAGGCTCTTGATTTGTCCCAGCAGCTGTACACCCATGTGAAAGGTGGCGATAATCATCCAACGGCGAAGCTTGAGTCGGTCGGTGATGTTGCCCAGAAGTGACACGACAGGTGAGACGACAAAGCGCTGCAGCAGCGAGAAGACCTTCGTGAGAGCGTACAACAGGCCCAGTGCGTAGACGTAGAGAATGATTATCTCAGCAGCCATCGCAGTCGAAGCAGCTAAGCTGTCAGTGTTGTCTCCATTAGACAGCAGCTTGCTGTAGCCAAAGTAACCAGCAGCAGCAGTGAGTACTGCAATGCCCACCGTTGTACTCGTGCCAAGGTTAGATCTTCCTTGCAGAGCATTCGCGACGTTCTTTAGAAACGCAGGAGCATGTGCTGCAGGGCTCAGCATCGACGTAAAAGAAGGAAAATTCTCCTGGCTGAGATCCTGAGGCGATGGCGTTGACTGAAGGCTGAAGCGAGTCTGCCACTGAGATACTTGAGCGTAGAAAATCTGCAGAGCCAACGCGTACATGATGACGACCACCGTCATAAACCTCGTGCGTAAAAGATTCGTCAAGAAGTACGGGAGCAACAGCGCATAGCCAGCATATTCATCAGAATGGTAGCCATCTTGCACGTAGCTACGGTGTAGCAGTACGCTCGCGTCCGTCTTAAGCTCGACACCATCTGCACCCATCGCACCACCAAACAACACTTCTTTTGCAATTGTCAGTCGCATAGTAGGGTCACTCACGAGTTCTCTTGTCTCTAGATCCACAGACTTGTACAAACTCTCTGCCACAACCTTCAACAACTGATGACACCACAGCAAGCAGAAATGGTCCACAGGTGTCTGCACCGTCGGCATTGCAGAGGCTAGGGCCACAAAAGCTTGTGAGGAGTTCGCCAATGTATCGATACTTGTCAGCGAAGTCTGTACGAGCGTATCCTTGTGTCCTCCTGCGATGGATACATACACCACTTGGTCGTCTTTACCCTTCGTCGCGTGGATCCTGTCATAGACTGCGTTCATCTCTGCATCAAACGGGAACGATGGTTTCTCATAAGGCACACCCAGACCCACGACATGCTGGATGGATCTCGTCTTGTAATTGGGTAATAACTCTGCAGTGCGAGCCACAATTCCACCCATAGAATGAGCCACAATGACGACACTGTGAGGGATGACGAGCTGCTTGTTGCTTTTCTTTTGTCTCTTGTATTCCCTTAGAATGGCTCGCACCACATCGTTGAGGTATGTGGCCTGGTCGGTGATGAAGTCCCCGTTTAGACCTGTGGGTTCTTCGGCCAAGTCGAGCGCGAACAAGTCGAAGAGCGTCTCATTCGTGTCCCACAGATGACGAGACAGCGAACGTGCTTGTTTGTAGCTCCCCATGTGACCAGGGACGAAGAGAACGGGGACGCCCGAGAGAAACTCGCGCTCGAACTTCATGTCGACGCGGTAGAGTTGATACTTGGGGTGTGAGGGCACCGAACGCCACGTCACAGGCGAATATACAGGCCACGACCACGTCATCTCACATGCGGACTCAAAGGTTTTGGTAGACACCACGTCGGCTACGTATAAGCCTGTTAATAGGACGCTCAAGAGCGCTAGCAAAGGCAGCACTAGCCGCGATGACATGCTGACTTTGACAATGGCACACGTGGAAGTGTACGTTTGTGAAAGTGTGTGTCACAATCCACAACTGACAAATCAAAAGGCGACAAACAAATAAAGGCACCGAACCTTTTAATGCTATACGTATTTTGTCAATTGAGTACTGCTAGTTTTGTCAAGCATCTTTCGTGCAACATGAAGGTGAAGATCAAGCGATGGCATGGCGTAGCGACGTGGAAGTGGGGCGTGGACGAGGAGTGCTGCGGTATCTGCCGGTATGCGTTCGAGGCATGCTGTCCAGACTGCACCATGCCGGGCGACGGTTGTCCACCTGTGTGGGGCGCGTGCAACCACGCCTTCCACATGCATTGCCTTATGAAGTGGCTCGAGTCGTTGCAGTCCATGCGCCAGCACTGCCCCATGTGTCGCCAAGACTGGAAATTCCGCAACTGAAGACACCAACCAGGTCTGCAAGCACTAAACATAACAAAGTATCTATCGATTCATCCCCATGCCGCCTTTGTCCTTTCCTCACAAAAAAACGCTGCCTAGTGCTGATGCACTCGTGCGAGTTTGAGCGTGCGTTCGTGGTACAAATTACGCTGTGGCAGATATGTGGAGATAAACTGCGCCACATCAATGTCGCCATGTGCGAACTGTGTAGCAATCTCGTCCGACTCGTTGTCCACATCTTTTGTTGCTGCCGAGAGCTGCTCCAGTAGTGCATCTGGACGATGACGCTGCTCAATGAACACACAATTAGCATGTGGTGGGCAACCGTATAGAGTGGAAGACGTACCGCAACGATCCGTTGTTGTCTCGCCTGTTTCTCCGCCAAAGCTTGTTGAGCTGCACGTAGCTCTACACGTTGAGCTTCGACCACTTCTTGGAGCTCACGCAGCTCGGTCTCGTAACTGAGAGTCGCCTTTGCGATGCCCATATTGCTATGCAAGACCTCGTCTCGCAACTGTGTGAACTCTTTAACTGAAGTTAATTCCTTCACAAACTTCTTCAATGCTCGTTTGTCCGAGCTCAGCTTTTCAAGCTGTGAGAGGCTACACACACTTTAAATGAGCAATACCATCAAAATTTAAAAGCAATAGGCTCAATACTCACGATAATTCTTCGAGTTCCGGGAAGATCGCAGGGATCACGGGCATTTGCGTTCGCTGCAGTTTGCTCGTATCCGGCGCTTGCTGCTTCGGTTGCTGAATTTGAGGCTGTGAGGACTGTCGACTTGGAGATGTGTAGCTGGATCTCGATCCTGGGTACGGAGACAGCGACGCAGCCGGCGCAGGCGAGCTACTTGTTGCAGAAGACACGGGCGGCTTGCTCGATGACGCACTACTCGCCACTAATCGCAATTCCGTTACAGTTTCTGTCACAATGCGTCCGAGATCCGAGTGCGCCGTCCATTTGCTTAGATCCGGATGGCCCTGTACATTGCCCGCAGCATCCAGCCACCGATGTTGCACCGGAATCGATGCCTAAAGGCAAAAAAAAAAGGGTCAGTTATATAAATTTTATCACTGCTCTAATGCTGAAATATCGCACCTTGAGTCGAGGAACCTTGACAGGGAATTCAGTTGGTAGTTGTCTGCAGGAAGGAGAATTTCGTCAATTCTAGTACAAAACTGCAAGTGTTTTAGTATCGTTTTCAGTGCGTACAGCTGCAACGCAAGTGGACCGCGTGGAGTGTCGGCTACAGGCACCTCAAAAATTGTTTGCTGCTGATTCTTGGCCCGACCGCCTGCGCGAACTAGACTCGCCAGCTGACGTCCTCTCCTGCAGGCCACAATAGCATTCAGAGCGTGAGTTCCGCCAGTTATAGAGAGCGAGCGACGGGGGAGACGGGAAAAGGCACCACTTACAGCCGCTCGAGCTCGCTCAAGTGCGTCTCCTGCTGCGAAGCTCGGCTGGAAGAGCTTCGGTACCCGAAGAACGACATTGCACCTTGTTATGCTTTCAATCGAATTACACAGGGAGCTGGCATCCCTCGTGGTAGTGACATAACATGGCTACATCTCACTTCAACAATAGAAATGGCTACAGTCTCACTTCAACAAATATTAATAGCTCTGTTGCTATGACTTCATTAGCAGGAGACGATTCTAATGGCGAGACATCGACGATGCATGTATCTCTCAAGGGGCTGACGGATGCAATGGATACAGCGGTGTATGTGGCGGAGAAGTTCCCGTTAATAGTGGACCCCAGTGACCAAGCCACGCGATTTCTCAAATACCAGCGTGGCACAATGCATATGGTGGCCAATCCGACCGACATGGCACCTGATTCATTGCGTCGACATCTCGTAGGCGCTTTGAAGAATGGGTCGCTGCATATTGTTAATTTCGACAGCTTGGTAACGCTGGAGTTGGAGCAGTTCTTCAGCCCCGATAGCTTCCCGCGCGAAGTATTTTCACGACAACTATTGTTCTCTCCGGAGGTGATCAGCAAGTTATTACGGTCGAATGAGGGTGATCCTGATGTATCGGAGTTTATTATCAACGATCACTTTAAGCTCGTGGTACTCTGCCAAGCGGAGACGCCGCCACCTGCGACAGCGAAGGAGATGTGTGTCATTCACGTGCTTTTGCCAACACAAGATAAGGCAGACCGTTCCAGTGATAGTGCTGACTTTGCAAAACTTCTTGGTGTCGTGAAGGAAACTAAGCGGAATAGTATAGAGCTGGTAGAGGCAGCTTCTGATAACGAGCTGGATACAGTTGTGAGCTGTCTCGACAAGAACTATGACATTGAAAGCGAGGATGGTCATGGCCACACCGGTTTGTCAGAAGCCTCTTGTCAAGGACACAAGGATATCGTAAGCTTGTTGCTTGAGCGTGGAGCTGACCCGAACAAATGCAATGACGAAAATCGATCGCCACTGTATCGTGCGGCGTATAACGGACATCTCGACACTATCCAGCTCCTCTTAGAAAGTGGCGGCGATCCGCAACTCCGCTCGAAGCAAGGAGAAACAGCCTACGACGTGGCCAAAAACGCTGAGGCACAAGCTCTCTTGGCGCAGTGGGACCTTTCAAGGACTAACAAGCTACTTGAGGAACGGGGGAAGATCATCGAAGCGAAGTGGCAAGAGAGAATCACCAATCACGTGGAGCGTGAGCAGTTTGCGCTAATGCAGATCCACTCGGAGCTGCTAGAGATCGCACGAGAAGGTAAAGCTGAAGACCTTGACAAGCGACTAGAGCAGCTCGCCGATGAAGCCTTAGAAACTGGGGAACGTCCTCGAGCTAGTGCAGATATTCGAGACGAAAAAGGCAGTACCATACTTGCACTTGCAGCTCAGTTCGATCATGTGGAAATTGTGAGTTTGTTAGTATTCAAGGGTAAAGCTCTTGAGGTGCAAGCTCGTGAGATGGCTGCTGCTAGTGCGTCATCGGCACAGAAAGAAGCTGCAGCGAAGACAGCAATGCTGGTTCGTGTATGGAAAGTTAACGTCAATTCTCGCGACTGTCGCGGCTGGACTCCTGTTGCGATTGCTGTGTTCCACGAAGCGAAGAAGAGTCTGCCTGTTTTGCTGGACAACGGAGCGGACCCGAGTCTCAAGAACCAGCACAACAAGAACGCTTACTATTTCGCCAAAGATGAAATGGACGCAGCCAACAACATAGACAAATCCAGAGCGGAAGTAAGTATAATCACTGGTGTGTGGAGTAACGATTAACATTGTCTGCTTCATTAAAATGCGCCAGATTCGTCAAGTTCTGATCGATTGGGAGAACGAGCATCGGCCAGCGCCGGTGACACCAGTGGCAACAGCACCAGAGCAACCCCGCTCAAAGGCAGGAAAATCAAGCCCAAAAAAAGCTGCTGGTAAAACCCAGAAGAAGACGGCGACTATCCCTAAGTCTTCAACTGCCAGTGACTCCAAAACGAAGACACTTAGTGTCAAAAAGCCCAAGTAGGAACAATATCACGAAAGCCTCTTCTCGTTCAGAATATGTCGTTGCGAAATTGGCGCTAGAGTGGTCAGTAATCTTGTTTTCACTTCGTCACCATGTCCTGAATCACTAAAGTCGGTGTTCAGACAATTATTTTTTTTAATGACGGTTCGCCAAATCTGATACTTCCCTTGTTTATTGATTAACAAAACTGTAACATGCAAAGATCAGTCACGATCAATGACACCGCGGCTATTGGCAACAGCGAAGGTCAGCTGCTTGACAAGCACATCCTTAGTGGAGTAGGCCGGCAAGTGTAGCGTATTCGTACATGTGCGTGCAAATGGCAGAGCTCGATCCACATCCAGATTATCGACAACTCGGCGCACGACCTCGAAGGGTGGCTTGAGTGCCTGAAAGCCTCCAGGTGGAAGGTTCGGACATCCCGTGGCGTACAGCAGAAATGCTCGGCGCTCGGCAGCAGACATTTCCTCCAATGCTTCAAAGAAAAACTGCACGGGTTGACTGTCCTTCGTGTAGCCATGCGCAAGCTTCGTATCCTTGACCAAAGACTCCACGTCCCACTTGATATCTTCCTCACCACACAGCAGTGATATCAACTCGGGAACAAACAGCAGCCTCAGCTTCCCCACAGAAAGCACCTCACTAATTCCTTCGCGGAAAGCCAGCACCTGCGCACGAATACCGGAATCGAGCCACAGCTCCAGCACCGCTCGTACATACAGCGGCAAGTTGTCAGCCGTCACGGCGATATCGTCCCCTCCCACAACCAGAGGCTCCTGCGAAAACGGGTCGATGAGCGTGAAGCCGACGGCTTCCAGCCAATCCTGGACGTCCATCTGATCGATCTGGACGTTCTGCTCTCCTGCAGCCAGCTTCTTGGAAGCCTTATACATTGAATACAAAACTCGTCCGTGACTCAAGAAAATGTCGCCCAGTTTCTCCAATCCGAAACTCTCGCCAACCACAAGCTTCATAAAATGCGTCGACAACGGCAACGGGAGCAGACGCCCGTCCATCAGAGCCTTGCCTGCTAATCTACCCATCATGCGGAAACGCTCGACAAGCTTCGAGCTTGGTATGCGATGAGGGTATGGGAATAAACCGTTCGAGTGCCGAATCACAGCTGCATCTTCAGCAATTTCATCGGTGACGTCCATTTCATCCTTTCGTCGAGCTGCAGCTTTACCAGCCTCAGCCTCGTCGTCCTCACCAGGAATCCAGTACTTACTCTTCTGGTTCTCGGTAATCGCTTGCAGTGCGTGTGCAGTCGTTGAGTAGAACGCCGCCGTAACTCCAGAGCCATAGCCTTTCTCCCCAGCAAATATCACATCCAGGATAGCTTTGCGCTTGACGTGCATTTTCATCACGGCGTCCGCGGATTGCAAGATATTTTTGCGATGTACCTTGACGCGTTCTTTCGGCATCGGAGTAATTGAGATCGTTTGGTTGTAGATGCCACCTCCCACCATCGATGACATGGAGTCGGCTGAGCTTTCCTCAATATTCAGCTGATTGCGGAGCCAGTGCAAGGAGCGCGCGCAGCCGAATGATGTCGCGCGGAGCAGTTTTTCCCGTAGTTCACGAGGGAAGAAGAACTTGCAATGGGTCACTAATGCATCACACCATGGCGGATAAATACCACTACACATGGAGAGCACATCTTGCATCTGCGTCTCCAGCTTATTATACAATCGTGGGCTCGTCCACAGTGCTTCATCCAGAGACGCCGAATCCCCACGAGATTGGAATAAATAGCGGAGCAAGCGCACCGCACTTGCCACCGAGTCAGACACAACGACCTTGTCACTGCCAGTCTGTGGGGCGGTGAGTCGACTTAGCCATCGAGACGCTTCTGCAGCACTACTTGCGTTCATCTCTTCAAATTCCACAATGCCACGCAGCAATAGCCGTGCAGGGGGTTTAGACTCCAAGACTGCGAGAGGTTCTACCGACACAGCACCCGAGTTGTGTGCATCGGAAGCGACTGTTTCGGGGGGAGACTGTGCCTCCCATTCCACTTGAAAATCGCAGTACAATTTGTACGTCAGCTTCCACGGTGGCAGAGCACTATCTGCCGCAAAAGAACTGGTATCACTGGTGTTTGTGCGGGATCTAGCTTGGTGTTCTTGGCGCAGCTCTTCCACGCATTTCAGTATATTCCGATCAGCAGGGAAAGCTCGGAGAACCACAGGCTGTCGCAGTGCCTTTTTGCCGGGATTCTTTGCTTGAGAGGTCTTAGAAGCATCGTTGAGTGGGTCCTTCACCTCGTCGTCGTCTCCACTACTGCTACGAGAGCCACCAGACGTCAGAGACTTCTCCGAATATCCTCGTGATCGTAAAAACTTCAGTAACTGCTTCGACTTTACCGCATCCTTGCACTCATGCCCGATGAGCGAGATAAATCCATCAGCTTTCAGCACCCTTCGACCTGTATTGGGGTCGGCAAACTTGGAGAATGTAACGCAATATTTGGCGCTTGAACCAGGATTACCGTACTTGGATGGATCCCGAACTGCCTGCATAAACGCAATAAATTTCTCCACGTCCCAAGTTGCTGCTTCCGAAGCCTTGCGCTGAGTTTCTGCTGTCAACTTCCTCCGTTTCTTCTTCTGCGAGCCCGCAGAAACCGATTCTTGACTATTTGTATGAAAGACGTCGAGCAATGCCTTGCGAGCACCGATCTTTGGTTCATATTGCTGGGTGGACGGGTCGAACTGAGTCAGAAGCGACGCTGCTGCATCCTTGCTCACCTTGTTTCTATCAACACGCTCCAACCCGAATTCGGACGAAACCACGATTCGATCCTGTGATGGAGCACTGACGTCACACTTGCGGAATCCCACCACCACGGTCACCTTCGGCAACAGCGAACAAGTCATCTTGGGCTTGGTACCCTGAGGCTTCTTAACGTACGCTTCCACACTCTCTTCGCTTGGCTTTTCTCGGTCAGAAGACTTTCGTTGTCTGGACGTGTTTGCATTCGTTGAGGATGCAGATATCAAAGCTGACGCTTCCTCTTCAGTTTGCCCCTCACTTCCAACTAGTTCACTTCCAACTAGTTCACTTCCAACTAGTTCACTTCCAACTAGTTCATTTGGAGGAGAGTTTAGTCTAGTGGACGCTTGGTCAGCAGTTTCAATGTCGCTGGGAGCGTTAGCGCCACCAGCAGTAGATGCGCGCGATATCAAACTTCGAATCTGATCCATTGCAGAGCCTGAAGATCCCAGTCCGCCCCCGAGTCGACTCTGCTGCAGCGATCCAGCTACTCTTTCGAAAGCCCGGTGGATGGCACTGTCTTGGCCACTACGCCCACCACCAAACAACCTGCTTGAACCACCTCGGTCCGATGCCATTTGCAGTGCTGCCAATAGACGAGAAGGCCCACGACCAGATAGAACTCCTCCGTCAACGGCAAAATTTAATACTCGGTCTTGATTCACCTTGACAGCGAGAGAAGGTTGATCTGATCCAAACGCAATTTCCACGACGACAGTCGACGAATCTCGAATCGAATCCAAACCGGAAGGGAAGCTCTTGATCGTTCCCGCCACACATAGATCCTTAACAGACGAACCTGTGGGAGGTAACACCCACACACGATCGCCAACGCTACCTGCCAGCAACGAACTATCCCGAGCAGGAAACAATCGCCGAATGCTCATGGCCTCAATTCGATCGCTCTCATCACCTTCTTTAAGCGTGGACAGATCTCGTGGCGGGAATCGGACACGGTCTTTCTTCACACGCTTTTTCTCCGTATAGGAGTTGACTTTCACATCCAGCAAGGTGTTTGCAGGAGTACTGGACGAGCGGTCGTTAGTGTAGACGCGCGTGACTTCTCCCAATGACCCATCCACCTCAACTACACTGCCAACTTGAGGCTGAAGCGCACGCGGCCGAATGCAATCAGCTGGAACCTTGTGAACAACTCGGTTACCAGTCAGCAATTTCACCGAATGGACGGCTTGAGCTGCTAGCACCTCTTCACGCGTGGGACTCTTCCCGTCACTCGACTTCCGAACCTCGCCTGAGTCATCCAATAGCACTGCCGCATACCAGGCCCCCGGTAGGCTTCTCATTTTCAGCACACCTGAATTTTTCACCTCTACTTGTAAGGCTCCGTCACTCTCAAGCTGCTGCTTCAGCGTGGATGCCTTCCGTTTTCGCTTGTTGATCTTTCGCTTCTTCTTGCTATCTGAATTGCCGCCACTATCAGCTGCATCGCGTGATCCGAAAAGCTCCAGATCTAACGTAATGCCTTCGTACACTTCAATGCTTTTGATCAGCTTGCACTGTGAGTCATGAAGCACCATCTCTACTAGGTCATCATTTGTACCGTCGATAGGCTTGAGCAGGTGATAGGACCGTGTATCATCATACCCCACAACTAAGAACTTCTTCCACTTCCCTTCAGCCACTTTTTGAACGGAACGCCCCACCAGATTCAGGTACAGTAGCGACAGATCCGAATCTATCACAGGCATGGAGCGAAACACCGTTTTCTCAAACGACTGGAAGTGCGTCATAGGCGAAGACTGGATAGACTTCCCCTTAGGGCGACTAGAAGCACTTCTATCTCCAGTACCTCTGTCTCCAGGCCGCATAAACGCAATCCTTAATTGGCGAGTAAGCGGATAAAGCTCTCGTCCTTTGCCAGTGTTGTAAGAAACTAACGGGAACGCTTCCTCTTGCGTAATGATACTCTGCAACCTGAGAATCAGATGTTTCAGCGCAGCTGGGCAACGCTCGAAGGTCTGCATCAATGCCGTAGCTCGGGCTTCATCCAGCACACCCTGTGGTGATAAGTACTGAAGAACCGCAGGCAACAACTCCGACTGTTTGAACTCATACGTCGTGATAGAGTTCGCCTCCTCAAACAATTCCACCAAGTCGACTAAAATGAGTTCTTTTTCGCCCGAAGGGGACTCATCAGAGAACTCTTTTAAACGCCTCGAAAGGTTTCGAAGCTTGTGAAGATGAAGCATTCCACTTTGAAGCATATCTGCACGGAGCGACTTCAACAAATCCAATCCTCTTCCGAAAATCGTGTCACGAGGGCTGCTAGGAGAAGATCCTCCATGAGAAGTACTGACCCAGCACGCTGACGCATCGTTTAGCTGCTCGATCTGCTCACTGATACCTCTCCTTTCAATTTGATGGAAGATTGACGATTCCTTGGACGATTTCCTCACCATCGCTTGCAAAATACGGACTGCTAAGATAAAGGAAGGTAAGTTAGGATTGTGAGCTGCTGCGTTCCCAGTCTGAGGGCTTATTGCCGAAGATGCGGGCGCCACGACACTTGTCCGAGATGCTGCTGCATCCGAGCTAATCTGGTGATGTTTCTCGCCTTGAAGTAAGAAGTGTACTGTGTCCAAAATGAGCACCACGTCTGTCTCTTGTAACGTACGAATTAGCCGTGACGGCGCCATTTCCAATACACATGCCACAGTAGAGATAACTGAGCGCTCCACGTTCTGGACGTCCATATCGTGCAGAACTGCCAGCAAGCATTCTGTTATAGCGAGACTAAAATCATAAATCTCGTCAGCTGTGGCACTGAAAGTCTTTTGTTCCATCGCGGTATCTTCATCTGAGCATCCTTTGTCGCTCGCACTCGATGCACGTCTCCGTCTGGTGGAGTTCGTACTGCTGCCACTAGTTGTGCTTTGAGGAGCCTCGTCGGTGCTCATGGATTCAGATGAGACTGACCCAAGGCGGCGCTTGTTGGTCGATCTCGACTTGCTTGACATGCCGCCGCCGAGGTAGACCATGTCATCATCACTGGGTATTTCTTCATCCTCCATATCGTCACGAAGACCAGCGCCACCACCTAATCCTTCACCATCGTCGTCGTCGTCATCGTCATCATCATCATCATCATAATCCATGAAGTATCCTCCTTCACCTTCCAAATCGTCATCCATTTCGTCATCATCTCCATACTCATCATCGTGATCTGAGGGGCAAAACCACGCTCGACTCCTACCAGCAATCATTTCGTCGCCTTCTGACAAATCGCTGTCGTACTCTCGCATCCCTGTTGTTCGCTGATGAAGCTCCAGCAACTTCGTCATCGGAGACGGAATGGATGCCACTCCACAAGTCTCGCTCGCTGCCTTGTCAGCTGCAATAACCACGTCCATCACGCTTTTCTTTTCTCGATCTTTAGCTTGTATACGAGCTCCACATTGCAGTAAGAATGCTGCAGCATCACAGCGACCGGTTCTAGCTGCTACGTGGAGTGCCGTGCCGCCGATTCCTACCTGATGAACATCAGCGCCTCGCTTCAGAAGTAGCCGTACCATTCCGAGCGACGCAGACTCCACCGCAACATTTAGTGGTTTATCAATCTCGTGTCCGTGAACATCATAGAGTTTCGGGAAGTTCAAGTCTGCGCCGTCCTTCAGCAGGACATTCACCGCAGGAATTGAATCGGTCCGGATAAAGTCGAGTAGTAGTGTAGAGAGCACATCTGGGTCCGGCAGCGAGTTCACGCGTTGGCGATTGCGGCTGTTCCTGGGTGATCGTGACGCAGAACCTTTCGGAGAAGTTTGAGCCGAGCTAAAAGATCCCAACGAATGCTTTCTGCATACTACTCGCGTCAGCATTGCTGTGAGCTTCAACGTGTTTGTCCGCAGAGCTGTCGACGCCGACTGTAGTAGTTGCAGCACGCCACTGAACAAGTCTGTATAAATTTTCTCGCGTACAAACACATTGACCAGTTGCGCTCGGTTGTCGAATAAGTGAAGCAACAAATTGACCATTGCAAGACGCGACTCGTCCGATTCTGCGCCGTCTGTGTTCACTACGACTGCAACGAACTTGCGCAGAGCTTCAGGTGTCACAAGCTCTCCACCTTGGCCATGAGGAATGCGGTGGAATACTAACAACAAGCACTTCGCTGCCTTGACGTGCAGAGGAACGTGTTTGTGCTCCAAAGCATGACGCAAAAATCCAATCAACTTGGATGCTAGTTCCACCGTAAGCTCCCCACCCTGGATAATTTTCTTAGGAGATGGCTTCTTCATGTCATTCAAACGGTGTTTTTGACTGGACTCCCCACTCCATCGCAACTTCATGCAGCATTTCTGTAGAATCCCAAGCGCTGTCATTACAATACTCGGATGGAAGCCGCCGTCTTTCTCATCCCCATCGACAAGACTTAGCAGAAAGTCCAGATACCCGAAAAACTTTTCACGTGCCAGCAGTTCACGGAGAGCGAACGACTCTGTGCTGCACACACTCGATAACCCACTTAAGCACTCTTCCACGATCATCTGCGAGCTTTTAAGGTTCTGGGTATCTGTGCTGTTCTTGTTCTTCCAAGCTAAGAGCTCCGAGATGTACAGACCCACAACCTCCACCATCTTCGCTCGAGCAAACGTGTGTCGGTCCATCTTCATCAAATAGTTAATAGACTGCACTGCCAAAAGCCGAACTTCCACTGGATACGTCCGCTCCTGTCCACGAAAAAGATCTGCTAGCACGGTCAGTAGTTCTGGGTCTTTTGCTGTTTCAGACGATCGTCCACCACCAAAGCCACGAGTCAGGAACGACGGCCCGTCGGCCCACTCGTTATCCGCCGACGCGTCCATCATCGCCAGCGTGTGTGTCAGTGTCTGCAACGTGTCGACCAAGCGACTGCCTGTGGGCTCCAGAAGTAGCTTCTTGAGCTCATAGATCGACACACCATAGGCCAGTTTGGCTCTCTCCTGCAGCTTCTCATGCTTCCGTCGCTTCCGATTCTTCGCCTGTTTTTTGCTCTTGTCAGCTGCCGCCATCCGCGCAGCTTTCGGACGCTGCGTGAAGCAGTTCGTACACATGCGTCCAATCAGCACCGTATCACAGCTCGTACAGGCCCATGTGTCCTCCTCTTCGTCGTCACTGTCACTGTCGTCGCTGTCCTCACTGGAAGACGAGAACGACTCATCTTCGCCACCTCCCAGCGCGTCCGATAGGCGGATACTTAGACCAGATAGAGGTGGCCGCGGGTTCAACGTTCCACAAACGCCGCACACGCGCATTGCCGCAGGGTTCACCATAGTGCAGGCAGCACAGCTCCAGTCTGAAGAAGCAGCTCCGAGTTCGCGAGAGACAGAAGGCGACGGGTTTGCAGTCTCGCACATCTCGCAGAAGCAGCGCGATGCCTCGTTAAGGAACGTACAGGCCGGACAGCTCCATTTCTGGGGCGTCTTGTCCTCCTGTTTCTCTTCCTGTTTCTCTTCCTGTTTGTCTTCTTCTTCCTCCTGCTTAGGCGGCGGCTCTTCCGTCTTGCGCTCCTCGTCCTCGCTTTGGCGACTCGTACTGCGCTTGCGCTTACCGCCGCGACGCTTGCGGCCGCCTCGACTGGGCGCGGAAGACTGATCCATGCTTGAGCTTCCTTCCGTGCGGTTTTTTTTTTGTCGACTGTGGCTGGTCAGAAGACCTGGCAGCGCGCTAGGTACGATAATCGGACTTAGCGATATGACCCACTTCAACGTTGTCCTCTGTTCAACGCTCTCTGTCTCATCATGAGACTCTCGTGAACGGTGGTGGCCATGAGTTTGCGCTTTGTTTCTAACGTTAATATCTGTACTGTATGGTACATTTCCAGTGGTTTTTACTAGCGCTGACGGAATTAGAGCTCCTTTGTTGTGCGGTTTCGTGCATTGCAGAAGCAAGTGGGCGCCTCGATGGCTACTCGAAGCGTTGGATTAGATGGTGCTGAGTCACAGTACTGCGATCTCTCGGTAAGTCCTCGTTGTGCTGCTGCTAGATCAGACGTAGATGCTGACCGGTTCGTATTGCAGGGACGCGGACTCACAACGGGGCAAGCTGACCGCACACTTCGCGTATTCGCAACGGCTGACACTATCGACTTGTCCAACAATGAGATCGACAAGATACCGGCGTCAATCCCCACTGAAGTAGTAACACTGGACATTTCGTTTAACATTATTGCAAGCATTCAAGAGATCGAACGGCTGAAGTTTGTTCAGGAGCTTCACTTGGCGTTCAACCGCCTCGATGACGTCCGACCGCTTGAATTCTGCCCACGACTCGTTCGAGTCAACTTAAGTGGGAACAGGTACAGTCTTGGGTCCAGCTTTTACGGCCATGGGGGTGCAGTACGCTAATGTTGATCGTGTGTAGGCTTATGAACACAAAAGGGCTTGAAACACTCGAGCTTTTGGAGAACCTAGATGTCTCCGACAACCTAATTGAGTTGTACGTACAAGAATTTCATGTTGGGTTAAGCTACTGTCCTAACTCAACGTTGTTTTCATCAGCCCAGAGGCGCTTCGGGCACTTTCACTCAACCAGAACCTTACACATTTGACGATTCGAGGCAACCCGCTGAGTCAAAAGCCTGGCTACCATGTCCCAATGCTGGACATGATCCCCAGTCTGATCATTTTGGACGACAAAAAGATGCGGAGTAAGGCCACTTACAAGACAAAAGACGTGTCGACCATCAAGTCCGTCTCATACTGTAAGCTAGCAGACCGGTTGACTTTGATAATCGCATCGTATTTACAGCTAATTTTCGGGTGTTGCAGCACGGATTTACGACGATAAGAAGCAATTCATGATCCACAAGCAAACTCGGCCACGCCCTGCCCCAACTATACAGCCATTACTCCCAGGAGACCCCGCGCCAAAATATGATGGCACAATGTTTCTCCCTCCTCCCATCGAACCCACTCACGAACGTGCTCGAGCGGGCCTACAGAAATACCAACAAGGCTCGCTGCCGATATCACCACCAGTGCCATTTTCACCTAAGGCGCTTAACTCACCCACAAAGAATCGAGCCGCTCCCTACTTGAGTATGTACGACAGACTAGCGCAGTCGAATGGATTCACTTCTACCCGACCCATTTCTCCGACCGTCAAGCCCATCTTAGATCCAAAACCTAGCAAACCTGACATTGCCGCGTTATTGCGGTTGCGTGAAGAGCAATCTGCTGCTGTACGTCTGCAGAAAGCAGTCGCCAAGTCATCCAACGAAAGCAATCGAGGTAGGTGAAGCTGCCTTGTCACTTTATTCACGGTGCATTGATATCATGTCGTTTATAGCCATTACGCCGAGTACGCCAAGGAATTCAAACCAACAGCAGCGCCAACAACAACGGACACCATCGACCGTGCGCGGTTCGGCCAGGCGTTCATCGATCAAAGCAAACAATCCCGAACCTGCGGCCACTGAACGCACCTTGGACGAGAAGCAGAAGAACGTCTTAAGCGTGATTCAAAACCTGATCGAGCACAAGAAACAAACTTTAGCCACCCTCGGGACGCAAAAGGTAGGCAGAGGAACAACAACTCGTTATAAAAACGGGTCAGGTCAAATAGTGCGATAACCTGAATGTCCAAGTAGCCAAGCATTGTGAGCCCAAGTCCAATAAATAGCGGCTTCAGATTGTGTTGCCATGATGCTTCAAGTCTATCAGCCGAGGTCGGCGTCACACGCTTCTGCTCCTAGCAGCTCCATGCAGTTGATCGACGGGAAATAGTGCAGACGTTCCCGGGAAAAGTCGACGTATCGTAGTTCCCCGGGTGACAGCGTCATTATGTCAGTCTGGCCGATCTTTGGAGCATCAAAGACGCTGGCAGGTGTGGGCTGGGAGTTACGGTGTACCCGAGCATACAGAACTCCACTACTTATCAATTCCTCCAAAAGCACGCGCATGTCCTGCAGACTGACAATCTTCCGCATCTTCTTCTGAACAGCGCAATCTTGAATACCAGGACAGCACATGACGATATTCACGACCTTCCGCTTCAACTTGAGAGCCATCTTTGCGTTAACACTTCCATCTAAGTGAAGCCATGGCCGCGCAACCACAGTGCTGTCCTTGTCGAATATGAAGTGAACTTTTTCCGCTGTCGAATCACTCGTAATCCGGTATGGATGCAAAGCCCAGAGGCTAGCAAACTTCCGGAGTATAAAGCGACTGTGATCATACCCATTCACCTCAAGAACACTTCGTTTGCGAATCATGTCGTCCACCTCGCGCTGGATCAGACTGCGCGTATTGTTGCAGTCAGCATAATTCTTATGTCCAGATACTGCGTATCTTTCTTCCAGCTCGTTGAGCGTCACGCCTGAGCTCGCTGCTTCGGTGAGTACGACAGACACCCACGACGAAAATGAATGAGGCGGGACGTGCTTCCTTCGTTTTGATATTCCTTGGGGCATCTGGTGACTACCGGAAAAGGCCTCCATCGCCTTAATATTTTGCGCTTGTGTCACTTCGTCAGCCACTCCAAACACTGACTTCACCGCCCAATATTCTTTCAAAAAATCCTCTGGAAACACGCCACCCCATTGTCGCGACAAGTGACCTGCCAAACCTTTAACTGCTGCTACGCGTTGGGTCTCAAGATCATTCGCAGAGCGTCTACCAGGCGTCACATACGACGGAACGAGCTGAGAGAACCCCGAAACCATGGACGATAATGCCACTGCAGCTTGTCCTGGCGGCATATTCGCTTCGATTTCATGCTCAAAGTAGCGATCATTCTCCTCAGCCACCATCGTGGCTTCATCGACGTTTTCGTTTACAAACGACGAATACTTGGCGGCCTCGCAGAAAGTCTCCATCAAATAGTGAGGAATCTTCAAGCTTTTCATTTCAAAGACCTTCGAGTGGACTTGAAAGCCTCGCTGCTTTTGGTTCTTGCCTTCATTCGCTTGAGGCGTCCGTGTTATCAATCCTGCCAGCCACAAGTACCTCCACACCAACTTCACTTCACTCTCTTCCCAGCTACTCATAAGTGCATCCGCTAGAACAGAGTAATAGCTGGAACGCTCGTGGAGAATCACTTGCAATGCCCGACACAGCAATGCAGTCAATCGTGGCTGGCTCATGATGGCAGCTTCCTCGTGGAAGGCTCCACCTGGGTTTTTCATCTGCGTGATGGTGACCTTCGCTCTCTCCAGTCTGGCTTGAATAGCTGGTGCTTCTAGTAAATCATTTACACGGAGCATACACTCGACCGGTTTCTTCTTGAAGACGTTACCAAGCTCCTTCCACGAGATCAACGTGCGCGTCAAGTTCGTCGTCCGGAACGCAACCCGCTCATCTTTTGATTGAAGTGCTAGAGGCACCTCAACAAACCACCGACACGACATTTGCTCAAGGTAGAGGTCTATCAGTCGTAAATCGTCTTCAAGGTTCCACGTCATGGTTCGACGCGTTCTCTTGGCCCCAACGTGCTTGCGGAACTTGCTGACACCAGCTTCACTCGTATCAGCAGGAGTCATCAATGCCGAAATACTGCCATTGCTATTTTTTGCAATCTTGCGTCGTTTCTGCGAAGACTCCTCCCCTGCTGACACACCTGATTGATAGCGTTTGCGCTTCAGCATCTGAATCGGTCCTGCGGCCGCTTTGGCTCGAGCCGTACTGTTTCTTGTCGTCGTTGTGGAGTGAGGAACCCACGCTTTAAGAACGTAGATATTGTGCTCTGATAGCGGAGCTGATTGAATAAGAGCGCCGTCCAGCTTGATGCTTACGCTATTAGGATCCGGCGACGCAGTACCTAATCGAGCCCCCTCGACGCTCAAAAAGCGTAGCGCCTTCCAATACGCTTTTACATCCTCCATTCCGTTAAAATCGAATTCCAGAGGAACTCGCCCGGCGAAGTGGTCACTCTTGCTCTTGCACGAAAAACCCGGTGCGTAAGCATACGAATGCTCGGATGGAAGCCGATGCAACACGCGTGTGCCTTGTTTGACGCTGATACGAACACGACACTTGATCTTGAACAATCCACCTGATAACGTCGCAAACGCCACTCTTGAAACAATCGAATCGAAGTCGTCTGATGTCTGGAAAACGTTAAAAAGGCCTGGCGAAGACGTATCATGCACCACCTGAAGAAGCCTCAGATCGAGTAAGACACGCACGATCTTCGAGAACCGATCCGCTTCGCATCCTCGAAGTTTCTCCACAAGCGATTCGGGCAGCACGTCCCACGAGCCACCCTTCGACATAGCTAGCCTAACTGCTGCTTCTTCTCGGTCCGTCAGCAGTTCCGGGACACCAACCAGCTGGATATACTCCTTTACAGTCAAAAGATCTAGTACATCTTTCAGCACGAACGAAGTCTCCTTCAAACCGTCACATGATAAGCCAGTGTCACGCGATTCACCTATAGCACAGCGAGGGGTTAAGCGCTCAATTCGATCCCAAATCAAAAAGTGGAATGCTCGACACTTAAACATCATGCCGAAAAACATCCCAAGCCCACGACTTTGCTTCTGTAGTTTCGCCAGCCCAAGCCGCGCCAGCTTGTAAGACACGGCGCTATACTGGACAACCTCCTGGTCACGCGGTTCCTGCGTGCGAGCTTCCTGTGAGAAATCTTCTTTCACTACGCCACCACCGGTGTTGGTGCGGCGCTGCTTTCGGCGGTTGGTCACCACGACATAATCGTCATTATCGTGGTCCACAAGATTCGCCTGGTATTTCCGCTGTTGCTCCTCCTCGTATGCTTTAATAAACTCTCGGATTGATTCACGACTGCGCTGATATCCCAGCAGCACTGCGCACTTTACCTTTCGATGTGCTTTCTTAAGTACCTGTTTCGGCGGCAGGGTAATATCCATCGTGCTCATTTTCTTCTCCTCGACAAGTTCATCCACAATACGGCGGACGGAGCGGATATCCATGGTACTAGCTTCCGCCATCCGCTCCATATCGACCAAACCAGTTCGTAATTGATGCAGCGACACAATCTTCTCCATCTGTACCCGTTTTAGTATGTAGTTTCTTCGCCTGTCGATCGTCGACGCCCTCACCACTCCGCGTGCTGCTTGAATCATTGTGCCTGGTTGAGGTTGGCCACTAACATCATCGTCGTCGTCTCCTTTAGGTGTGCTATACTTATCAGTTGTACGGGTTACCCGTACCCCCACACTGATATCCGTCGAGTTGGTGCTGCTACTAGTTGTAGCACGTTCACTACTCTCCTCCTGCTTCCCACTACCAGGAACAAACATCCGATACATTGTGCTCTTACCCAGAACAACTTGTTCCACTGAAATATTGTAATTTGAGATCAATCCTTGTGCCAATTTGTAAGGTAGTTTGAACGTTGGGACGCCTAGCACATCTCGGAGCTCAGGTACTGTGGCTCCAACCTCTTCTCGGTCTTGAATAGCCACGTACATTTGCTCCATGATCCCACGTTCAACCACCGGGCGGCCTACAGCCATCGCACCAGGTCCAAGATCCTCAAAAGTCACAGATGAGCCTCGCCGTCGACCAGATACACCGGTTGAGCCATCTCGCAGACGGATACACCACAGTTTGCGCCCAATGTATTCACCGGCAGTTTTGCATCGCGCCATAAACAGCTGAAGCGGAAAATTCAATTGTGCGCTCATCTGCTGGATGAAATAATTCCGCAACTGCTCCTGGTGACGTTTCCCGTAGCCTAACTCGCGTCCAATGTCTGCAAACACACACGTTCTGTCACCTCGTGCTTTCATCATATTGACAATCACCTGCGCCAGAGCTTCTTTCGGGAACGCCTGTCGAGATATTGCAGCTGATGGCGAGATCATGGACGGGTGGAACTTGCTGGCGAAGCGTGTCAAGTGAACCATGTTGAACCGTCTCTGGTCAGCCGTCACGATGTTCTTCACAACGTAATTACTGGCAATCAACATATCCAGCAGGTAGTGCAACTTCCGTGAGTCTCCAAATAGTCGTGAGTTTGTCAACGCAGCAGCGTTTTCGCCGCGTACCCTCGAGCGCCCAATAATCTCCAACAAGTCGAACTGCGGCGAGATTGTGTCCAATAACGTGGCGTCCTGAACGCCAAGATACTTGAGTCTCAGCGTTTCGCAAGCCACAATACCTAGTACACCATCCTGATTGCTCGTCATAGCCTCCTCGTAACTCAGATCTCCTACATCCACCTCTCCTCCTAGCCGATAGCCTCGTGGACTTCGTAATACCCACTGCGTCTCATCCGCAGCGTCTTCCTCTTTAATGCTGATCTCTGTTTCCTTTCCCTGTTGCTGTGTCTGTACCTGCTCATTTCTCTGCTTCACCGAGTCCTTTTTCATCTTCTCATCGTTCGTTGCTGTGTTATTATCGCCATCATCCTCAAGCACAATTTCTTCGTCTCCACTGCGCTGTCGCCGTCGCCGTACTCGACTCGTGCTGTCGGATCTATCTCTACCTTCGCAATCAGACTCTGATAATCTTCGACGCTGTTTCTGAGCTGCAATACGTCGCATGGATGGCAGCACGGGCTGCAACGGCTGGTTCTTGCTCTTGTGTCGCTTAAGCGTGTGCTCCGCATCATCGTCCACCCGCGTCTTGACTGCAGGCGTGTCGACGCTCGGAGTGTTGAGAAGTGTGGTCTTCCACTTGCGCTTGCGCCTCGGCGTCGTCCAGTCGTCCAGGTTCGGCTTCTTCTCCGCAGTACCAGCAGTACTGACCTCCAGTGGCCGCATGACGTGGAAGCTCAGCTGGCTCTCCATACCGCGTAGCACACACCAGGCATAGCGACGATAGGTAATGTCATTTTCTGAGTCCATTACCTCAAACAGCTCGCGCAGGGGCACCCCGCAACGCCCTTCGAGTCCAATCTCCTCTAAGCAGCGCGCGACGAATTGCGGCATGGGGCACTTCACGGCCATCGCTTTGCGCAGCAGCACGTGGAGGCAAGTCTGGATTCGACGCGTCGGCCACTGAGCGTGCACACCAGGAAGACGATGAGGTCGCGCTTCCAGTGTGTGGATGCAGGATTCTACTGGATGAAATGTCGAATTAAATGTTTTTTCGTTTTTTTCTTTAAAAACAAAAAAATGCAATATTACTGCAGCTAATATCTAAGAATTAAAAATTTGAAATTACATAAAGATATAAGTTTAATTTTTTAATTACCAGAATTTGATCTGCCATGTCTGTTCGCAGAAAGGTATTGTCAATTCCAGTGAAAATTGGATACCGAGGGTGATTGACGGATAGTCTGAAAAATCAACACTTAGATATGATTGGTCAAAACTCACCAGCTTCAACTTAGGTTGAACCACAAGCTGATATTGATGCGAAGTAGCGTCCGCTGGGGATGCTGGTATCTGCTGCTCAGGTTGACCAACAGGAGATGCAGCTCGGGGTGATGTTCGACGTCGTGTGGAACGTGGAGTCCGCGGCTGTCTAGCTGTACCAGGGGCTGGAGAAGGTCGAGCTTGAGCTGATTCACCAGGTGATCTTGCTGCTCCAAGAAGTGACGCTCGTTGGGCTGCAGATGACACTGGACCCGGGGTTGAGTATGCCCTAGTCGTGGTCGCTGGCAGTGCTTCTCGGTCTGGAGGTGTACGCCATCGTATTGGACCTGGGTGGGGCGGTGTAGTCTCCGTTGGCGTCCGAGTACGCTCAGGATATGGAGATACACGGGCCGAATGTGGCGATACACGTGTTCGACCACCACAGCGTGCACCATCAGCTGATGCAGCACCCGCTGGTGGGGTCCTCTTGCGCTACCAGACGAGACGTTAGATCGGAGATCCATTACCGCTTACTGACACGGGAAACGTTGTGGAAACCTGTCGCATGTAATGTTTCCGTATGATGTATGGTAGGATGAACGATTTCATAGGCCATTCAGCGCGGGTGATTAATAAATCAGGCAGTCAAGTTTTGAGTAGAAAGCACAATACAGCGAATACAAGATGCAATAGCTCGTCTATTTAGAAATAAACGTCTTATTTGTGAGTTTTTAGTGACTCAGTAATAAAGCATTTGTTTTACTTCGACAGAACGCATACATGTTTCACTTTGCCCGAATACGTAGTTGTTTCACTTCAATATATCGCAGAGCTGATTCGCTTTTTAATTCTTCTCCGGTCCAGATAATAATTAACAGTTAGGTTTTCTATAAAAAATCTCGCATGTGTGATTGGTCAATGTCCATTCTGAGATGGGTACGATTGGTTAAAACAAGTTCGTATGAGGATTTGTATGCACACGGATTGAGAGTAATTGACGCGAAAATGAAATCAATTGCTTTTAGTGATTTATTACTAGATTAAGCTCAGTTTGCGCTTTTTCTAGTATATTTTAAAGTTTAATTCTGATTATTTTTGACGTCAAAGCAAAAAAAAGCTCCACCCCTCCGTAAAGTGATACTTCAAATGGTCAGGCATTAGCAAAATTGGCGGGAAATTTGTTCATATGAAAAATTGTGCTGACGCTACGTAAGTAGAGCTTTCAATGGAGCTGTACGACCGAATTTATCTCCGATTTAAAGAACTGTTAATTCTTTTTCTGACCAGACAAGTACGCAGATATTTTACTTCGGTATAATGCAGATACGTTTAATTTTGTGAGCGGTTAGACCCAGTGGTACGCCACCACAAACAACCTGGTGGGGCAGCTTAACGGTCTGATCAACTGTGACTACACTATCCGGACCAAACATAAGATTGAGGGGCTGTTCTAGCTGCTGGTGAATTGCTGCGGTCGTCAGTCGGTAACTCTAAGAATCTTTAAGGAATTCCCTGAAGCCACCCAGCAGTTATACTCAAGGGCTAAGGAATTTCGCCACCGAGATCTTCTGTGGATATGCCTCTCAGCATGTCCAGAATCGACTTCCTACTTGTTTCCCCAAACCCAGACGTGATTCGTGTGCCGTGGCGTGGCTGTGAGCGTATCTATCTTCCGGAGCTCGGGCCCACTCGCGAGGTAGCCCCGGTGTCGACCCAGATGGGATTAAATTACGCGCGATTGTAGGGATTTGGGCAGCCTGAGGGAGGCTGGCATGTGCATTTGAGTGCGAATCTCGTACTACTTCAAGTTTGCAAACTGCATTCACGTGGTTTTTGCTCTGCAGATTGAGAACTACACTGGGCTGGATGATAAAAGGACTATAGTTTTGTGTCTAAAAAACGCCGCCGATCGGATACGCCTAGTGTCATAGTCCCGCCGGTCGCCCACTGAAAAACCGACATGCGTAGAATACGGAGTGAAATCCGTTAGCCGCTTCTCGATAAATAAAGAAACTCTAGCTTCATGTCTATTTTTCAAATTAATAATACCATCACGTTCACCTTCAATAATAATCTTAGCTTAAACTAATCTTGGTTTGCTTTCATTCTCGAGCTCACCTCGGCGATGGCAAGCCAACACGACGGGGCCCCAACGGACGCAGCCCACCAACACCATTTCCTGCCTCCATCAGGTGGTATCAGGTGCACCTCCACCCCCGTGGGGTGGGGGCGCCTCGATGAGGCTGCGGTTCGTAACTTTAGCAATTGGGATCATGTTCAACGAGGTGATACCTCAAATACGGCAGACGCAGTCAAGTGGCTGACCGATGGTGTGCCAAAAGTACGCATCACCAAGGCCCGCCTCATTGAGGTGGCTGCTTTAGGTGACGACGCTGGTGAAACGGAAGGCGTCCAACCGACTGGAGCCGACTTAAGCGGGCTACCACCCTACCAGATGCGGACCATCATCGCTGATCGACGAATTAACGGTCGCGTCTAATTCCTTACCTCTTGGGAGCTGACGTGGGAGCCGGCAGCTAATCTCCCTTCAAACGAAATATATAAATACCGTAGGCGCCAGCGGCGCCGAGTAGAGCGGGCCTACGCTGAAGCGGAAGCGGCAGAAGAATAAACAAGTATCAGCATGCTCATGATACATGTATTATCTTTTTTTACAAAATAAATTCCTGTTTCTTCACCTCATGCAGAGCTATTTATATGATCAACACTAGCAGCGCACTAGGCCATCCGCAAGAGCAGTACAGGGTTTTCACCCTTCAACATGCCCTGCACAAGCCAGTTGGCCGCTACCGAACCATATTACAGCTCTGCATGTCTGGGTAGAACGTACTGGATACCGAGGGTGAGCGTAGCGGTAGCGCGCACGTCAGTAGCTGGGCCTTCACTGTGCACGAGCGCCGCCGCACCGGGAGTCACGACCGAGGCATGTCGCGCCCGCGCACGTGAGCTTTGTATGTCCGATTAGAGCGTAGAGGTAGTCTGGATGCCGAGGTAGAGCGTAGTGGTAGCGTGCACGTCGGTAGATGGGCCTTCACTGTGCACGGGCGCCGCCGTGCCAGGAATCCCACCGAGGTCCGCGTCCAAGGCCTATGCTGTCTAGTGAGGAGACTGCCGAATTAGCTGACTGCTCCTCGCTACAAAGGACAGTCAGCTCATTGATTAAATGTCGGGGACGCATAGATGACCCACGTCTCACAGAGCCTCTGCCGCATATCCTCCGGCGTAGTATCAGAGAGCAGCTAGCATACGCACGATCTGTGTGGCACGCAGACTGTGCGTGTACTGGCTGCATTTCGCTTTGTATTTGAGCTCTTTTGTCGTAATGGAGCAGCGCAGCTGAGGCGAGCACTTTAACTACATCCGCGCGCAGACTCAGATACGCAGAAAGGCTGTGCGCAACTACGAAGAGGCGTCTAACCAGTAGTTCAATACGTTGCCGAACCCTGTCTCAAAGCAGGTAAATGTTAGTAAGCGGACCGTTGACCTGATAGCCCAATCGGACAAGGCCTATGCAACCTTTTGCGCTTCGTGCGTCGTACAAACAATGTAATTGAATGCCTTGCTCATCGCTGTCATGCTCCAACCGCCTTGATCAAGATTCCACGGGGTTCTGATATTGCTATCTATATTGGCCTTTTGTACGGCCCTTCGTCGGAAAGAATGGGATAACAAGCCTACCGTCAAGCTGCACTTGTCTTAAATGCATTGAGAGCTTCACCTTCGAAGCACGTGGCTCACATACGCGTGAATGCCAGGTACGTTGGTAGTTCTTTCACGGGACCTGCATCTCCCGCAAGTGATGGCTGTGTGTGTGTGTGGCTCTGCTATCTCCCTAGTTTATAGAAGATCATGCAGAGGGATCTCGTCCTGGGGAATTGTCGGTAGGGTCAACCGTTTAGAGTAACTGGTCCAACGGAAATCCGCTCGGCGTCGAGTGGATCGCTGTCGCAACAGCGAGATTATGTTTAGGGCAGAATTAGAGATTTTTATGATCGCGATAGAGCGAAGCTGCTTGCTGTGATGCTGACTTCATGCGCTTGAAGCTGATGAATAAACACGCACCTGTCAAAATATATTTTTTACACAAATGTATTAGTGTACATGTATGAAATATCTCGGTATACCGAAACTTGGTTTTTCATCAAGTAAAGATTGTCAGAGGGCCGACCTAACAGATACAACAGAGGCTCGAGAAGGGCAGCATCTTTGTAGTCGTTTGCAGATGTCGCGTGCTTCACGATAGTACCGCATAGAGCGCGTAGGTCGCTTTTGGTGCAAGGAGCCGCTTGGTTCGTGAGCTCAGCTCTGCGCTTGCAGAAGTATTTTCAAGAATCGACGCAACCTTTAAAGTGTCGATTTGGTACTCCATCTAGAGCTGGAAACATTTCTAAAAGGTGTGTTTTTACGTCACCAAAATAGCTAGCGACAGAGTTCTTAACAGTAAATCGCCCATAGAGTTCTCTTTAAAAAGCTAGAGGGCGAACTTGTCAAGAACAAGATAAATCATGTTACCAGTCGTGTCTGTGCTGACTACCTCGTAAATTATCTTCAGTGTCAGACGCTCAGCGATTGCAAATCGTTCGAATGCGTTGAGTACCGTTGAGCGCGCTCGTTGCGTGTTCCCTGGA